TCTCTCCTGGGCCGTAGTCACCTATATTTAACTACTTTTTTAAATGATTTTACTCATCTACGCACCACCAAAGCCAAATTAATTGCATTTTTAACTACGAATTTTGACAACTCAACTTGACGAACTTTTATTAAAAAATCTTGATATTTTGTGCCCAGTGGAATCCACTTGTCGTATTAATAATAAAACTGATTACGCCTTGTTCCCGTGTTGATAAACTAAAAATTTTCGAGGCCGCCATTCGCCTCGGGTTATCCGAATCTAGGTGGCGGCGAGAAAGTGCATCTTATTCTCTTCTTGTGTATTATACCTTATACCACTTCTTCTTCTTCTTCTCAGTCTGTCTTCATTGAACGCCGAACAGTATAAAATTTGCCAAAAATTTGAGGAAAATGTACGGTCAGCCATATTTAATTTTATTACATAATTTATCATTTTTAATTTTCGTAATATCAAAAAAAAATTTAAATAACCTCGAATATAAAGTATTTTTTTTCATAAACATGTCCCACTGTGCGCTCGTACTCGCGCAATCACCGATTCTCATTTTTTTCCTTTCGTTTCACGTTTATCAACATCCGATCGTCGATTTTTTCGTCCCATGGGCCATGGCCGCGATGTCAACGCGAAAAAATTGCCGATCGCCAGACAAAAGAGCGCCGATGCTGCACTTTCTCTTTTTTTATCATTATAATAATTTTTATTAATACGCCTACAATTGATGATTTTCGATAGATTGTAGATTAAAAAAGTCAAGCCCACAATTTGTGGGCCACAAACAATCCACAAAAAAGATTTTTATTAAAAACTTTGTTAGGCTAATCTTCTTCTTCTTCTTTGGTGTTGTCGATATAAATCTCCGTATTTGTTTATAACCAAGACACAATTTTTATTATCATTATTTAATTTATCTGTTTGTGTTTATTGTCTATAACGAGTGATGGTTTCTCTTTTTGTTCTAATGCCATACATTTGACACCATACTTTGTTAAAACATTTGAGCTGCTTAAACAGGTACACAAAGGTCATCAACAAAGTAATTTCCATACTCTTTTGGATTTATCGTTTGTTGTTAACTGTAATTTAACAACAATGAAAGTCATGGAAAATACCAAAAAGCATAGAGTAAAGGTGGGTATCTTGGCGCAGTTTATATTGCAAAAAATATCAATTGAGAGGACGTATTTTTTATTATGTTATTCTTTTGGTCATTTGGATAGTTATTTTGTAGTAAGTTTGTAATTTTTCGCATTTAACTGTTTTGGTTTACTGTAAAAATAACTTTAAGTTATAACTTAAAATGCTGTTACCTAAATCATAAAATGATTTATAACATTTTGATAGCCACCTTAAAACACGTTTCAATAACTAATTCACAAAATATTTCTTATTACAAATCGTTGATTAAATTTCTAAAATACGTTTAACAAACTTCCTTCTTAGTCGCATCCACCTTGTAAACATATTTTTTTATTACTGGAAAGTTGGTTATCCTTACATAGTTATACAAATTTCAATTAAAAATCTAATTAAGTAAACCTATTTGCAAATAAAAAATCTAAATTGTTTATTAAATGTTGTTATGCCCATTCAATTTCGATTGAGAATTCGAAAAAAATATAAATAATAAGAATGCTATTAAATTTTTAATATTAATATACAGAATATAGTTATAAGTTAATTGGGTAGTAGAATATTAATTAGTTTGTGCTTTTATTTAATTTATAATTATAATAGACAAAACATCATTTTTATTTTATGTTTTATTTAAACTTTTTTTATTAATCCAATCAAGCTTAGTTTTGGCCTTTTGGTCCCTTTTTGGCAAAGAAAACAAATTTAAATGTAGTAAAGTGATTTTTTAATAAAGTTTGTGAAAATATTATAAATTAGTGACAATAGGACAATCAAAATTAATTTAACAATATTTTGACTAAATTTTTTTCGTGGGACAAGCCAGGATACTGAGAAAATTTTGAATAATTTTAAGTGGACAAAAAGATTTGTATAGAAAATTCAATTTGCTACAAAAAAGGTCGTATGGATTATTGCAATAAAATGTATAGTTTAAAAGATATAGAGCATTTAATAAATTTTACTGTCAAAGTCAAGTGGTACTTTAGTATTTTCGCTTGAAGAAAAGAAGTAGCTTACCTAGAATTATAAATGTCGTTTGCTTTCTTATCGAGTGATACTTATAATACTTTTATAAAAGTAGAAAACGCCTAATGATTTTTTCTCTTAGTTTTTAAATGGTAGGTAATGGATTCTTTCGCTCCATATTATTTCGCGACAGCGTTTAAGTTTTAATGCTGAAACGTTTTTTGCGTTCAATTTCTAATTGTCACCAGTTTTCTATAAATATCTCGCCAAGAAAGTATTCAATGCCGAACTATAGTCTTAAAATTACTTTGTTTTAAAAAGCGCATAATATTATTTATATTTTCTTATAATGCATCTTTTAAGTAACCTAAACAAATAATTTCCCAATCTTCCTCATAATATTAGACACTCAATTTACCAACTTTTGCGGAATTATTTATTATTTATTTAGCATAATGTTTCACAATCACAATTGAACAATTCGTTTGCGTGTAATTGAAATAAAAAAACAATAATTGATTAAATTTGTGTTTGCCCACACCGGTTATATAAATAAACATAAAAGTACAATGGCTTCTTAAAAAAGATTGTAAAATTTGGTCGATTTAAATGACTACCTATGTACAATATATACGTAGGCAATAACAACGTTCTGTGTTGCGAAATAATAAAAATAGAAATTTTTACGAGCGATAAAAAATTTTACATGTTTATTTTCTTTTTATGGATTTAATAAATTAATTTTATTATTAGGAATTTTATTAGGGAAAATAGCGCAATGGTGTTTTAAAACTAATGGGCTTGAACATACTCAAATATGTTTGGTATGATAATTATCATTTGTTTGATCCATTATAATGGATCAAACAAATGGTGTTATTTAGGGGAGTCATTATCAATAGGTAATTCACAATAGGGGGAATGATTTCCGGTGTGGTAGACATATTGACAAAACCAAAGGCAAGTGTATGGAGCCTCTATATATGGGCAAGTACAGGTGTAATATTCATGTTATAAAATTTATGATTTAAACTTTACATCATTTATTGGGTCCTTTACTTATTTAATTTTAATCAGGATGTCTTTAATAAACTGGATTAATAATTTCATTTACCCCTACTATACATTGACGAGCTGTGACTTTATGGCGTTTTAGTCAAGGGCTGAAGTTAGCAATAGTGGCTTTTGGGTATTTTAGTCACGGGCTGAAGTTAGCTTTATTATACATTTAGAAAAAGTGAGGTTATATCTGTTGACAGTTGACATATGAATGTTTAACAAATAATTCTTTTTAGTGTTCGTCGTAGATAAGGAATAGGATGCAAACTTCTCTAGGGCGCTTATAAAACTTGTTACATACCTCAAGGAATCTAAAGCCAATTTTATTTGATATTTTATCCGACATCTGACAGCTGTCAAGCAGATTTAACCTCACTTTTTCCAATTTTAACTCTAATCCCGTGGGCGAAATGTAATTTTGTATGAAATTTTAAATTATTGTTTAGGCCTAACCTAGGTTTAAGCTAAGCTTAAATTTAAGCCAAGCTTAAGTTTAAGCCAAGCTTAATATCAGGTCAAGCCTAACCTTAAGCTTAACGTTAAGCTAAACTTAAGTTTAAGCTGAGCTTAGGTTAAAGCTAAGTTTAGGTTTAAGCCAAGCTTAGGTTTAGGCTAAGCTTGAGTTACAGCCAAGCTTTAACATGGTTTAAGTTTGGACTTGGTTTAAAGCTTAAACTTAAGCCTAAACTTTAGTTTAAACAACAACGATTTTATTGTGGGACAAATTAATATGTGAAACTCGCATTATTTCCATATTACACAATACATTAATATTTGTTTAATTTATTTAAATCTGCCATCATCCGTTTTTTTTCGTTCAAGTGTAGAATTTGTTAAAATATACCGATATACTTAATAAAAACATAAAAAATCCCATAATTCACCAGTTGCAATTTGCTTACTTTCAATGAAGAACATTAGGCAAGAAAAAATGAAAACTGAAACTGATTATTTTATTATTAATTAATTAGCCGGTTTTTAAATTGTGAAACGAATCCTGTGCAACGCATCTCAATCGCAAGACAATAAAAATTTGCAAAAATTCTCACAGTTTTCATTTCGTTTTTAAACTGTCTAATTGTAGCAAAGCAGACTCACTTTTAATTCGAATTTAACAATGGCTTAGAATTAGAATTGAGATCGTTACGAAATCTCGTCTTATTTGTTAGCTCGAAACGAAATTCACAGAATATTACACCTACGCATATAAATACTGTTTACGTTTTTATTTGAAGATGGGTTTTGTGTGTTAATATGTATTAAAATGTATGCTAATTAGTTTTAACTGTGTGAAAGAAGAAAGTGTACCTTTTTGCTACTTCTGTTTAAAACATTATAATATTTTATTACACAAAAATGTCTACTTATGTAGAAGAATGTTAAAAATAGTATTGCATACAAGGTGTCAAACTTGACAACGCTGTGTGCATAATACCATGGTTGACAGATATGTCAAAAACCCAAAACCTTATTATTTTTAAAATGTTCTTGGAAAATTGTTTTTTTTATATAATTAAATAGCCTTTAAACAATAAAATAACAAAATTAACATTTGTAATATTTTTATACTGGATCTATTTTTTCTAAAAATCTAATAACCCCTTACATATAAGAACTATTATTATAAAAAACAAAGTAGGTATCGTTGTTTTTAAGATTTTGAGTTTTAAACTTTTCTTATTTATTTTACATCATTGTTAAATAAAAATGTTAAAATCAAGTTCATTGGCACTATTGGCAAGGTTACCAATACATACTTGTTATAATTTTGATTTATTTAATGTGATTTTATCAATTCATCATTAACATAAAATATGTATTAAAGTTAAACCACCTACCTTGAATATAATCCTAAAAAACGTTCACCAAAACCAAAACGTCATTAATAAACACACAGTTCAAAACAAAACAAACGCGTAAAAACACGGAAGTCCCCAAAAGAGTTCATCTAATTCACAATACACAAAAGCAAATGACAGCGTGACAGTGACACTTTTCGCGTTCGAAGATACGAATCAAGCTGGCGAGTTTTTCTGCGGCCAATAGAAGACCGGTCGTCAATGGTAACGAAGAAAAACAGAAGAATCCGATGGCAAGCAGTGGCAGATGAAAGACGGAGCGACACGACGTAGCCGTCGTCCAACGAGCGCGACCACTTCGCACAATCTCGTTCCTAGCGATTCCACATTGTTACCTGGATGTTCACCTGTTTCACGGCGGTGGTTTCAAGCGGCGTTCCTGGTACTTCTTTGGATGAGAATCTGTTTCGTGCTTTTTTGGAGTTTTCCATAGAAAAATCCTAATAATAGGTGGTAATAATTTTACTAAAAATTTGTCGTATATACGAAAACTACAAAAAGCATAGGTTAGGCTAGTTAAGTCATTGGATTCAATAAAAAATTAAAATATATGTTTAAATCCTAAGTTAGTTTTTGGAATGACACTTTTTGCTCACATTACTTCTTCGCGCGCATGCGCACTGTTGCCATCGCATTTATTTCGCAGTTAACACAGGAAATTGATAACTACACGCTGCATTTGTTTTTTTGTTGTTTTCTACATGTCAGGTTTAAAAAATATATAATTAGTCCAGTGCACATCAAAAAATCATTTGTTTATTAATATTTATAACAAAAGAAATTTCTTTTGTTATAAATTATAAAATTATAAATGGATTCCGGAAAACAGCAGAATAAAAATGGCCACTCCTATTTTTTCTTAAAAATATTGTTTTATTTTATTTTTTATCATTTTTTGATGAAATTATGCCAAATGCCACAATGGAAGAAAAAGTACATCGCCTTATGGACATTTTTGGAGTAAAAAAGTAACGAATTTGGTTTTATAAATATTACATCACACATTATTTTCACATTATTCACCATTGGACAACATTTACGTTCACAAAAAATTTTAATTTTTTTAAAATAAATTCTTTTCAAAGCGAAGATTATTATCCGCTAGGAATACTTTCTCTTCTGGGCCGTAAAGCAACCTATATTTAACTACCATTTTTATATGATTTTACTCATCCAAGCACCACCAGCCAAACTTTTGACAACTGCACAATGTAACCTACAATAATTTATACATAACCACAATTAGATTTATAACTAGCTTAGTTTGTTTTAATCAATGCGACCAACTTGACAACTCTATTAACTGCTTTTTAAACTCTATCTACTATTTTTTTGTCTATGGTCACCATGAATTCTATGACTTTAAATATTCTGGGAAATAATCGCTTGATCAGCTGTCACGTATGTTCTGCAGTGTTGCCAATGGGTGGAGAATGTTGTGGAGATTTTCTATTGTTGTTTTCTTCCTCTTTTACCTACCCGAATAATATAGTTAAATGTCTAGAATACACAAATTATATTTTGCTGATTGTAGGATGCGGAATTTGGCCGATAATCGGAGATTTTTTTGCGGTAGGGGAGAAAATATTGGCAACACTGGTGTTCTGCTCTGTCACGTGACCTTAAAATCTATTCAAAAGTTCGTAATTTTTTGCCGGTGTTGTACGTAAAAAACGTACATTTTTCTTGAAACCGCGTGTCAGCCAAATTAAAGGTAAAATTTGTGGCCATACAAATCAAAGTAAGCATCCAATTCGTCGAAATTTGCGAAATAAACTTTAAAGAACGTTTTTTTAACCTTCAATTCAGTGGTTGTAACAATGTTGTTTATTTGCAGATAATGAACGAATTGGTAATACCGCCTTCGTCCAATTGGTACGAGACGTCGATTATAGCATGTGCTAAAGATAACACTTTGGTTTACGGTGCCAGGAATGACATTGTTGTTGTAAAACCTACCGAACAAAGTAAACCTTCTGAAGTTAGGATTATAACTAAAGCGCATTCAAATAAGTAAATATGCGGTATATGGTGTGCTTTTAGGTGGTTAATGATGTTTTTGCAGGGTTATTTCAGTGAATGTTAATAAAAACTGGGGGGAACCTTTCAAACATGCTGTTACAGTGTCCGAAGACAAAATTATTAAGTTATGGGATGTAGAAACGTTAACTAAAAAACTATCGCACAAAGAACACGTAAATACAACGATTTATCATTATTTAAACATCTAATAATGTTTTTTTTAGATTATTCATGAACGGGTGGTTGGGGCAAATTTTGGTGGGGAAGATAGGGTTATAAGTGTCTCAGAAAACGGTAAAATTGTCGTTTGGAATATACTTTTGAATGAGTTTCAAAAGTTGGATATTTTTGGTAGCAAAGATGTTATCACTTGTATTTCCACATGTCCACATGCTGGCTGGTTGACTGCTTTTGGCATGAAAAACGGTTTGGTGGCCGTTTGCGACCTAAGAAGTGAGTATTTTTTAGTGTTTTTGTGTTATTTTTTTACCTTTTCATCGTAGAAAATGGTAAGGTGTTATACAAGCTAAGAGGCCACGATAAATCAGTGCTTTCGTTGGCATGGTGCCCAGCCCCTGTAAACATATTCCCCTCGAGCCCCCGCAACACGGTCGGCGAAAAAAAACCCCCATCTTTGTCCATAACACAAGACATCGACCAAATATGCGAGCAAATTTCCGTCAAATTGGAAATAACAACCCCTGAGAATGAAGTGACCAAAAAGAAGAAAGAAAATCCCTGGATCAATTTAAAACATGCCGATGACGACGAAGTTCCAGCGGATTTCGCCGATCGCGGCCGAGAAAAACCGATTAAGTACGAAGATGAAGAAGACGATTTTCTCAAAGAATGTCTGATGGTCAAAAAACAAATTTTGGGCGAAGTTATAACGGACATAAAAAAAGAAGTTGATGTGGAGGAAAGAAAACCTGAAGAAATAAAGAAAATATCTGAAGAAATTGAAGAAGCCTCTCAAGAACACACAAATGATGATATAAAGCCCAAAGATATGGAAATCAAGGAAGAAGGTGAAGGTACAGAAGAAACATCCAAAGAAACCACAGAAGAAATTAAGGAAACAATGAAAGTTGACCAAGAAGATGAGAAAACCGTCAAACAAACTCAAGAAGACACAAATGAAGATGTAAAGTGCAAAGATATGGAAACCAAGGAAGAATGTGAAGGTACAGAAGAAGCATCCAAAAAACCCTCAGAAGAAATTAAAGAAACAATAAAAGATGAGAAAAACGTCCAACAAACTCAAGAGGACACAAATGAAGATGTAAAGTGCAAAAATATGGAAATCAAGAAAGAATGCAAATATACAGAAGAAGCATCCAAAGAAACCACCGAAGAAATTAAGGAAACAATGAAAGTTGACCAAGAAGATGATAAAACCATCAAACAAAGTCAAGAAGACACAAATGAAGATGTAAAGTGCAAAGATATGGAAACCAAGGAAGAATGTGAAGGTACAGAAGAAGCATCCAAAGAAACCTCAGAAGAAATTAAAGAAACAATAAAAGATGTGAAAAACGTCCAACAAACTCAAGAAGACACAAATGAAGATGTAAAGTTTAAAGATATGGAAACCATAGAAGAAAATAAAGAAGTTGAGAAGAAAACCGTCAAGGAAACTAATGAAGAAGCTGGTAGAGTAATACATATTGAAGAAATAGAGGAAGAACCGCGTAAGGAGTTTCTTTTAGCTTCATCGGCACGCGAAAGGTACTAAATTGCCGCCAAAAAAGAAAAACTTGTTTATCTTTTGTATTTTCTCAGTAACATCTACATTTGGCGGGCAGGTACTGACGGTAGGATGCAGACTTTCGTTACCGTTCCGAACAAGCAAAATTACAGGAGATCTGGAAAGAACGCGAACGATAAAATTTGGATTTCGTTGTGTTGGCCTACAGCTACCACCTTGCTGTCGTCCTCCAAATCTGGGGAGCTTTTGGAGTGGAGTTTGCCCAAGAAAAAAGAGTGAGTACATTTTAGCGGTCTTATACAAAAGTAGTCATAAGTTTGTTGTGTGTTGATATTTTTTGACGAAATTTTTTGTGGGGATTCTTAAACTATTACACAACAAAATTTAGGCTAAAAATTAAATCAAAAAAATTCTCTCTTTGCAGAAATAAATGTCAAAGTTAGCACTCTAACATTTATAATATCTTTCTTACTTTTCATGTTTTTTTTATAAATTTTTATGAGAATCTCTTGAAAATCCAAAACATTATAATTATTTCCAGGAAAGCATGCTTCATTACACTAGTTTACAAAATCGAAAAAAAATTCTGCCCACCATATCCCATTTTAATTTTTCCATGTATTTTGACCCAATAAACACGAATATCACACTCAATTTTTTTGTTTTGACGATTTTGAGTATAGCTTTAATAATAATAATAATAATAATAATAATACTTTTGATATAGGATAAGAATTTTGACGCTAAAGATTTTAATAACTTAAAAAATTCGTTTTTATCGCAAAAATTGAGGTCGAAAATTTATATATCGTCCTGGAAAGGTTTAAATCAAACAGATAACTCCAGTGTGATTTTTTTTTCGTGAAGCCGACATTTTTACAAAAAAAAACAACCTAATGTTGATAAAAATACATTTACAAATGGCAAAGTTATGAATTTTTTAGTGCAAGACCAAAATTCAGCTTTTTGACGATTTTTATTTTATTTTTTTTCTTTTATTTTGTAATATGTTTATTCTTTAATGAAATATATTTAGTCAAGAAATTTAATTAAAAATTCAAATTAGATTTTTGTTTGAGCTTTTAAGATTTCTTGTGCTTGCAAGCTGTTTTTAAGCCTAAAATTCAAAAAAATGTTAAAAGTTTATTAAATTTTTTTTATAAATTTTGGAAATTTTGAAAACCAAGTATTTTAAAAGTGTCTCAATTTCAATTATACTATTATGCGAATTTTTCCCCCATTTTTTTAATTTTAAACTACTGTGTTAATTTGTTGTACTATTTTTTAATTTTGAACTACTGTGCGAGTTAAGTTTAAATACTTATTTTAGACAGGGCCGTATCTTTTTTGAGGCCTCGAGTAAAAGTCAATGATGTTTTTTTGCTGTAAACTTGTAAACTGTGGACTTTAAAGAAAAAATTACGTACATTTTTTGTAGGAATGTCAGTCTCCTGTAAAATAGGTCTAAAATTAATATTTTAAAAAAATAATCAAAATGTAGAATTTGGTAAAACATTATTTTGATTTAATCTATAAATAATTTAGAAATTCTAATTATATGATATTTTACTGCTATTTTTTGATATTTCAACAAGGTATTTTTATCATAGTTTTATTTAGTTAATAAAAAGTGTAAAATGAGTAAAATAAGTAGAGAGTTCGAGTGCGTAAATAACCCGGACAATCTGGGCGACGTAAGTGATGAGCACGGAGAACGTTTTCACCAGCAAATGAATACCATTTTGTTGTTTAAAATCGGCGTTTTTTAGAGAACTCAAACATAAAAATGGTTGATTTTAAGGTTCTGTTTGTGCAAAAATTATTTTTTACTAATTTCTTAAAAATGTCCAAACTTAAATATAAATTATATTAGGTAAAGTTATCATTGGTTAATTCTGCACCAACAAATGTACTTACCGAATTGGATCCTTTGGCGAAACATGAAAATGCAACGATTTAGTTCTTGAATTTTATTTACAATTAAAAACACAATAATTTACCATGATCCCTTTTATAAAATACACACACTAACGTAACTATATAAGCATTTAAGCGTTGAGTTTCTTAATCAATGATATAAAGAATTTAATTTTTTCCTTGAAACGTAAAACACAAATGAGGAGCATCCGTGCAAAACCGGCTAAATCCATTTTATTCAGTTTTTTTTTTTTTTTTTTTGATTTCGCATCTTTGGGTTCATTTCTATCGACAACCAAGATAATTCTGTTTAAATCCGACTATATCCATGTTAAAATCACATTTAAAAGGTAGCTTTAGGAGCAAAACCGGCTATATACAAAACATTTCTTGAAATTTTGGCCTTAATATAAAGTTTTTGAAAACGAAAGTATGTCTTATAAATCAAGTACCACAAAGCCCACAAAACTCAAGTTTGCTTTTTCTTTTATCTGTAAAGGCCAGGAAACCGAGAGTTTTTGCCATTTTCCCAACATTTTGTTAAAGTGGATATAGCCGGTTTTGCACGGATGCTCCTTAAATAATGTGCGCGATTTAGCTGTGCAATTGAACAAAATTTGTCGAGTAAGACTTCTGCCTTCCTCTCTTTTGTTAAAAAACTACCTATTTATTTAAAAATGATGTATAATCTGTGCTTTAAATGTATTGTTGACAATTCTTAAATTCACGCAATGCATTCGAAGTCCACCAGAGGGCGCGCGCGTTGCGAAAACCCGATACTTCTTTAGCGGATATTCGTCAAACTTGGCACTATAACTTTTAGAATCTTATTTATGCGTAACCGTCGATATCTTTCTTATTTTTTACCAAATTTTCATCAAATTTTATAAGTACATTCCCAAAACCCTCCTCTATAATAAACTCTAACAAAACCCATTACTCCTAGCAAAGACAAGCATTACAAGTTGGTCCACAAAGACCACAACACGATGCTGTTCAGCATCGCTGCCCCTTTCGTCCTCCTGGACAAAACCAACTGGAAAAGCAAGTTGGTGACCAACGCTTGGACTGTTGGTCTGGACCGCAACATTCTCAACACCAGTCTGACCCCGAAACGCACCACCTTGAGTTGCTTGCCCACTTTCGGCGGCCCCATCCACTGCATATCCGCGTCTCCGGTCGACCCGAATCGGTACGATTGATTCCCCAAATGTTTACAGTAGGGTGGAGCGAAATTTTTTTTTCCTTAGCCTGGGGGTGGAATTTGTAGCCTATAAAAAAAGAAAATTAAAAAAAAAAAAATTTTTACTCAACGTCTTGAGGTGGCCCACTGATTTTTTAAATTAAATTTAAGTTAAAATTATTTGAATAAAAAAAAAAAAAATTTTGGCTTGTAATCTTTAAATTTATCTAAAAATAAACAAATTTGATCGTGTTCAACTCGAAATTCGCTCTATTGCCTCAGAAAAGCATGTTACTATTTTGGAATTTTTTTAAAAACAACCTCAAGACGTTGAGTAAAATTTTTTTTTTTATTTCAAAAATTTTCTTTTTTTATAGGCTACGAATTCCACCCCCAGGCTAAGGAAAAAAAAATTTGTTTTTTTCGCTCCACCCTAGTTTACAGTAGCTCATAGGTTTGTGGTTTGTTTAGGGTCGCCTTCGGATCGGGAGAGGGGATCATCAAAGTGTGGGACATGAGCAAGCCTCACACGAAACACGTCACCATGGCGCATTTTTATCACAAGATACAGGCAAAGGTCACTTCCATGGCCTGGCATCCCGATAAAGAGTTGATGCTCGCCTACGCGACTCACGAGGGCAGGGTAAGTTGTTAGATACACCCTGTATATTTTTTTTGCTGATGTTATTTTGCAGATTGGCATTTTCGACTCGAGCAACTGCTCGAAAACTCCTACGTTGTTCAAGCATTACTTCAAAGGTCAAATACACAGGATCGAATTTGGGCCTTTGAAGAAAAATTCTTTGGGGATATTCGCAGTGGCCGAAGGAAAGTTGGTGGTTTTCGACGTTAAAAACCCTGATAGAGGTGAGTAAATACATTTTAATTAGATAATGGTGTCAATTTTTAAATGCTGAAATATATTTGGTCAAGAAATTTAATTAAAAATTCAAATTAGATTTTTGTTTGAGCTTTTAAGATTTCTTGTGTTTTCAAGCTGTTTTTAAGTCTAGAATTTAAAAAGTTTTTTATAAATTTTGGAATTTTTGAAAACCAAGTATTTTAAAAGTGTCTTATTTTCAATTATACTATTGTGCGATTTTTTCCCACATTTTTTTAATTTTAAACTACTGTGTTAATTTGTTGTACTATTTTTTTAATTTTGAACTACTGTGCGAGTTAAGTTTAAATATTCTAGACAGGGCCGTATTTATATTTTTTGAGGCCTCAAGTAAAATTCAATGATGTTTTTTTGCTGTAAACTTGTAAACTGTGGAAAAAATTACATAAATTGTTTGTAGGAATTTCAGCCTCCTGTAAAATAGTTCTAAAATTAATATTTTAAAAGAATAATCAAAATTTAGAATTTGGTAAAACATTATTTTGATTTGATCTTTAAATATTTTAGAAATTCGAATTATATACATATATATTGACAAGTTGTGACTTTATGGCGCTTTAGTCACGGCTGAAGTTAGCAACAGTTGTCAAATGTTATACAGTAGTGCAGTTAACTAGATTTAACTGATAAAGCGTTAAAAATTTTGCTTACAGTGCCCATAAAACATTCTCTTCTCTTTCACTGTGAAAAACTGCTTCTATGTCGATTTCAAGGGATAAATTTTGATTTGCACGGAAAAATTTGAAATTTTAACGCCGTTAGATTCCCATTCTAACGGGAATTCCAATAAATACAACTGTCACTTTTTGTACCTTTAATTATGGTAATAAAGTTATTTTAATTTCAATATCAATAATTGTTAAGTTAAATTAAAATAATAAGGGGCAATGTTAATGGTGAAAATTACTTTATTTTCGTATAGATGTCGCTTTAAACAAATATTTAACTTAAATAATTTAAATATTGTAACTAAAATGGCGTTTATAAAACTTGACACATAACAATATATTTGGCCAAAAGGCCAAAACTATGCTGGATTGGATTAATAAAAGAAAGTTAAAAAAAACATAAAATGTGTTTTTTTCTACAGGGTGTTATGTAATTAATGTAATATATTAAAATACTTAATACCTTTTGACGTAAGGTGTAACGGAAAATATTTAAAAAAATATTTTCCCAAAGATAAAGAAAAAATATGTATTAGAATTTTTTTATATTTTTTGTAATATGCCACTGGTTACACACTTGTGTTCTGTGAGTACATAGATACCAACCAACAAAGTAGCTGCGCGTTGCCAGTTGTAAAAAATTGTTACTAAAAATTTTTCTTGCAAAAAATAAATAAAAACTCGATAAATACGAAAGTTTTGTGCCCTTAAAGCTCTAATACCCTTCTGTATTTATTTACTCATCCAGCTAATAGCATAAGCAATGATTAGAAAATTTAGTACCTACTTTAAAAACTCCATAACCACAAAATTAATTTTGTTCATCGGTTTTTAAACATTCAATTTGTGTAAATAAATCCAAAAGCACTTCCCTTAGTTGAGAGATTTACAATATGGGCCCATAACCTAAAATTTGGAAGAAACGCACTAGATTCTGTCTTAAAAGTGTACCTTAATTACAAAAATAAACAATTAACAAAACCGCCAAATTAACGATTTGGATTGTTGATTTTGTCGTTTTTGTAATTAAGCTAAATTTAAACAAAATTTGGCAACACGTGACGTTGTTTCAGACCCGGTCGAGGTCGAAACGCCGGACGACACCTTCGTGTACATGTTCGCGTGGAAACCCGACCTAAGCAAACTCGTGGTCAGCACCAAAGCTCAGACCTTGCTCGAATACGACCGCCACCTAAAATTGACAACCACGCACTACCTGAGGTTAAAGTTCGACCAGATCCTGTGGCATCCCGACGCCGTCAATAACAACGACGACGCGTCAAAATACTCGAACTGCTTCGCTGCCACTCTCAATTCCAAGGAGTTCGTGGTCTACGACACCGACAAATCCGACGGTAAGTTTTTAGAAAGCGATTTCTGTAGAAAGCTCTATGGGTCATTTTCAAAGTTCTTGTACTATGCTCCACACCTCCACGTGACGACGTATGGAACACAGTCTTTTGAAAATTTGGCATTTAAGGCTTTTCAGGTCATGTATCTGTCAAAGTATAGTCAACGAAAGAAATAATATTATGTTTAGAAGTTAAAAATGTATAAATCTTTATAACATTACAATAACAATGGATGGTTAAGAATTTAAGAATATAAATACTGCATTTAATGAAATTCTAAAGTGTATGGTGCCAAATAAGTAATATTTTTGTGCATTTGGTCCAAATATCTGGTTTTCTCCATAAAATAATTTTAACTAAACAGCATTTATTAAAAAAAATCTAGATTCTCTATTATGGAATAAGAATATCTGTTTTAAAGGTAGGTTAATGTATTATAACAAAAATATCATCTAATTTTGTAATTTTAAGGTTAGAAAAATTTATTTTGACCAAAATAAATAAGTATTTTGGATTATTTAAAAGACTGTATAATATGGTATTTAAAAATGTGGTGGTTTTTTTTATCCAGCTTAAAGTGTACCTACATAAAGTTTTGTCAATACAAATAGTTAAAAAGGTTCAACTGAACTTGATCTACATCAAAAAATCATTATAAATTTAAAAATTTTAATAAATCACATGTCATGGGAGTATTAAATATTTTCACATTGCAAGTTTCTCTAAAAATTGTTTGTTTTCTTATATTCTAACTTAAAGTAGGTATGCCGAGAGGTATGCGCAAGTTTTGTCCTTAGAAGTATAAAAGCTTCAATTTAATTTGAACCATATTTAACAATTATTTAGTATACCTATATTTATTTATGACCATATTAACACACTCTTCCAAATAATCCACTTATTTATTTTGGTCAAAATAGATTTTTTTAACCTTAAAATACAAAATTAGGTGATATTTTTTGTTCTAATACATTAACCTACCTTTGATACAGATATTCTTATTTCATAATAGAGAAGTTAGATTTTTTTTAATAAATGCTGTTTAGTTAAAACTATTTTATGGAGAAATGTAGACCCAATGCACAAAAATATCACTTATATTGCACCTTACACTTTGAAATTTCATTAAATGCAGTATTTATATTCCTAAATTCTTAAACCAACCATTGTTGTTGTGATACTATAAAGATTTATTAACTTTTAACGCGGTAACACTATAAATATTATTTCTTTCATTGACTATACTTTGACAGATACATAACCTGAAAAGCCTTAAATGCCAAATTTTTAAAAGACTGCGTTCCGTACTTAGTCACGTGGTGGGACTTTGAGGTGTGGAGCATAGTACATTTAAAGAAGAAAAAGTACAAACAAAAACATAATCTACAAACCTGTTTTTTCCAAATTTTGTTTATTATTTTACTTTACTGTTAAATAGCATTAAGTCGTAAATATTGCAAGTGGGACAGCTACTTCTCTGTACTGTTGGGGAAAGCTTATTTTTTTATATAGTTAAATTTTACAATTTTGCTAAATAAAATATTTGATTTTTTTATTGTTTTTGAACTAAAATCCACAGGGGACAAAAATAACGAAGCAAAAATATTCAAAGGATTCGAGGAAAATGTGAATGCGGTGTCTTGGAGTCCATTTAATGGGAACCACATTGTTTCAGTGGGCGAAGATGGTGTCGCGCAGGTTAATAATACACAGGGTGTGCAAAAAAACTCGTTGTTTTTATTTTTTTTTGTATAAATTAGGTTTGGGATGTCGGAACGAAAACAATATTGGCTACTCACGTTCACGAGGGATTCGAACCCATCTTGTCCGCGATATGGAGTCCCGTAAACGAGGACTGCATAATAATTGGCGGGAAAAATTACGTGACGAGCGTGTGGAAAATTTCGGAAAATCCTCCCAGAGACGAGAACGGTAAGTGCTACTTTCTATAGAGAATGATGTCTATTAGACTGGGCCAAAAAAATTGGCTATTTTTTTTTTTGAAAAATATATCTAGAATGTCAGTCAGAATGACAAAAAAAAAATTCGTGAAAATTTGAGCCCTTAATATTAATTTTAAGAGGTCTATCATCTCTATTTTTGATTTTTAGTCATAATTTGATGTTTTACGTTAGAACTATCAAAACATTAAAGTGAAAAAAAATCCTTTTCACTTATTTTTATATAAAATTAAATTCTCTACAAAAAAGATCTAATTAAAAATTTTCGTCAGACGAGCCGTTTCCGAGTAATTGAGCTTAATAAAACGATGTGTTTTTTCGATTTGCCCTTTTTACTTTGAAATTTTGTAACTAATGAATCAATGAATATTTAAAAAAGCTCACGTCGGATTCTTAAAGGAAATTTAATGTTCTACAAAAAAGGTCTCTTAACATTTTTGCCTAAATTTAATTCTTCAAAAGTTATTCACGATTAAAATCGAAGAAAAACTTAAAATTTCAATTTTTGATTAAATTAATTAATAATCAGACATTTTTTGTAGAGAATTTAATTTTATGTAAAAATAAGTGAAAAGGAATTTTTTTCACTTTAATCTTTTGACAGTTCTAACGTAAAACATCAAATTATGACTAAAAATCAAAAATAGCGATGTTAGACCTCTTAAAATTAATATTAAGGGCTCAAATTTTCACGAAAATTTTTTTTGTCATTCTGAATGACATTTTTCAAAAAAAAATAGTCAATTTTTTTGGCCCAGTATAGAAAGCAATAAACCAATCAAAACACTATGGTTTATTTCCTCAATTGATGCTCTAGGACCATCTAAAACGCATTTAAAAAAATAAAAACTGTTGTTTTTCGATTGAAATATAGTTAATTATACGTAATAGGTCCTATTTAACAAAGTAAAAAATGAAAAAATTAATATTTTTTTGCAATCAAAAATTTGGTTATTTCCGCAATTGACGCTCTATGAACATCTCAAAAAGCATTTAAAAATTAAAAACCTTTATGTTTGTTTTATTGAAATATAGTTAATTATATGTAATAATTCTTATATAATAGGTACAGTAAAAAAGAAAAAAATTAATATTTATTTTTAATACAAAAGTTTGTGAATTATTTCTGCAAAACAGTGCTTTATAGTAATCTGAAAACGCATTTAAAAAGGAAAAAATTAATATTTATTTGTAACAAAAAAGTTATTGAATTTTGTCCGCAAAACTCTGCTTTTTGGCTAAGGTGCTGTGGAAAATGCCGTGCTCTGATTGGTTTATTTTCTATACAAAGTAATATAAACAAAAACCACAGTGGGGCAAATTTTTTTTAGATCTTTCGAAGGAAAGAAAGGCGGTTTTGGCGGCCATACAAACCGAGTCGGGCGATCTGCTGCCGAAAACCGCGAAGTTGTTCGACGAAATCGAAAAAGCGAAACCGAACAAACCGCTGAAAAAGAGTTTGCTGCCGGCTTTCTACAACGCGAAAGATTCCGAATCTCACATCGACGATCTAAAGAAACTCTTTGCTTGGAGCAAGGAAAAATCAGAATCGTGCTCAGTTGGAAAAAGCGGCGAGTTGGATTCCAAGGTCGGTTCATTACAAAATGATATTTTGAAGATTTACGGCACCAGCGAGGATATGGCCGATATTCTCAACACAAACTGTAAGTCAATCACGGTACAAGTTAAAAAAAAAAATAATATTTTTTTCTTTAGTGTTGTTAAATAGGCAGAAGGGGAAGTATAACAACGGCAACATTGTAGCGTTAATGAAAGGCGACATGAAGGGTACAGTTTTAAGTGCTATAGAAGAAAAAAGGGTTAATCCTTGGATTATATCAGTTTCGCCAATGATATCTACAGAGTGAGTACAAAAAATCATATTTTATACCCTTTTTGCAAGTTGCAACGTTGCCATATTTGATCTTCCATTGACGATTAAACAGCGTATTTAAATGGACAAAATATTGTGTTTTTCTTATGAAAAACAATAAAAAATCCTAGAAAAACATTTTCAAATTTGTAAAAACAATTAAACAAATAATTTTGTATTTTTCTGTGTACATTTTTGATAATTTTATTTTAAAAACATAATTTATGGTTATTTAACGGTTTTTTAAATGACAGGTTTAAAACAAACATTTTAAACAGTTTAAAACAAAGTTTTACTGCATGTATTAAAAAATATTACATTTTTGTCTTGGTTTGGTTATTATAAAATGTTTTAAACTAACCACAAAAAAACAACTTGCAAAAACAAAATTTAATTTGTCATTTTATTATATTTGATTTAAAAAACAGAATTTTTTTTAACTGATTTTAAAATCATTTTTTATTTTAAACACAAAAACTCGAATTAAAAAAAGTTCAAAATAGTATTTAAACGCGACAACATTTCGAGTTAATAGTTGGTTTCCATGGCAACGCTTTTTACAGTGACAGTGACATTTCTTTATGTAGTGTTATTTAAAATCCCAAAATGAATTGTGAAAACGAATTATTATGTTTTGTGAAACGAATAAAGTCCTCTACAAAGAAAAAAATTAAAAAGAGGTATGAAAACCAAAAATAAAGCAATAGAAAACAAAGATAAGAAAGTATTTAAAAAAAAATTATAATAAATAACAATACAATTGTGTTTTTTTAAATAGTTTATTTTAAAAACGAAATTATGGTAGTCACCAAATAAATCAAACCAATTATCCCTAGAAACACGTATTAAATATTAAAAAAAATGTATGAAAACCAAAAATAAAGCAATAGAAAAAAAAGATAAGAAATCTGTAAAAGGTAGAAGGATTGTCTAAGCATTTAAAAAAAAATACAAATAACAATACAATTGTTTTTTTTTAATATTTTACTTTAAAAACGAAATTATGGTAGTCACCAAATAAATCAAACCAAATATCCCTAGATAACACGTATTCGTAATCCAGTGTTGCCGGATCTGCTACATGAAAATGACAGATTGATAATTTTGATTAGACACAGTCGATATTTATTATTGCAAAATTGTGCGGTAAAAGTTGACAAAAATTTATAAATTATTGCATACTGACTAGTTGTCTTATAAAGGGTGTCCCATTAAGACCGCCTATTTTAAAATTTAAAAAAAATGCCGTGTTTATTTAAAAAGTTAAGATATTTTTATTGCAATAAAGAGGGAAGACATGGAGGTTAAATATGGAACAAATATTAGATAAATGGCCGCCTCGTGACTGACGGCACACGTTAATTCTTTTGACAAAATTTTCGATTACATTTTGGCATAGTGCCGGCCAGAGATAAACGTGCCGGCTCATTTTCATCAATGACCCGTCAAATCTCATGTTTTAGTTTAGGAACTGTTCTTGGGTTATTAGCATAAACCTTTTCCTTCAAAAAACCCCAAAGAAAGAAATCTAACGGCGTCAAATCGCATGATCGGCCTGGCCACATCACATCCTCGCGGCGCGAGATAACTCTGCCTTCAAATTTTGTCCTCAATAATTCCATGGTTTCGTTGCTGTGCATGGTCTGCTGTCTTTAAATATTGTTTCAACTGAATCTTGTACTCATGAAAATGCAGGTCTTTGGCCAAAATTCGCTGTAAACTGCTTCGAGAGAGTTTCAATTGCTGGGAACGGTGGCGAATCGAGGTGGAAGAATTATGTTCAACACTTTCACTAACTGCTGCAATATTTTCAGCAGACCGAGCTGCACGAACACGGACATGTCTCTTTTTGGTTTGAATTGACCCAATCGTTTCAAATTGCTCGATTAATCGGACCACAGTACGGCGAGAAGGTGCCTTATGGTGAACGAAAAATCCACGATATCTTCAAACCGTTTCCGAAAAATTCTCACCATTTCGATAGTGGATTTTTACAATTTCTATGCGTTGTGCGACCGTGTAAATCTCCATTACTTAACCTCAATGTTCACACATGACAACTGTCCAACAACAACGCTGTACGATTGACACAAAAAAAATGACACCAAATTTAAAATAGGCGGTCTTAATGGGACACCCTTTATATATATTATATTTTTGGTAAAGGCAATTTTTGATTAATTTACTGCAAATAATATTTTTATTAGCTGTACTGAAGGAAAAAAAAATCATTGTTATAATATTTTATAAAGTCGTATAAAATTTTGTAAATTCCACAGAAATAAAAAGATTATGTCAAAAAAGTAATTGTGTAAAATTAGTACCAAACTCGTTAAATGTAATAAAAAAAATTAATTTATTGGAATCTCTTTTCAATAATTTTTATTTTTTCAATAATACAATAAAATCACATATTTTTAAAAATAAACAATTTATTTTTATAAAAATAATGATAATTTTGTAGTCAAAGTAAAAAAATCGAAAAAAATACTATAAGTTTAACATTAAATAACTTTTAAACCAGTAAATTTATCAGCTTTTTTGTACAGCGTTCAATTTCCTATTATTTCTGTATATTAACTTTCTCGGGAGATTTTGGGGGTGGTGCGAAAAAAAACCAAGTTGGTAAATAACTTATATTCTAGAGTGTGGCTAAAATCTTGCGCCACCTACGTGGAGCAGCTGAAAGAGCTTCACGAAGCCGATCCGCTGGAAATAACCACGTATCTGCTGGCCCAGCACAAAGTCTCCGAAGCGGTGGACATTCTGTGCGAACACGTCATGTTCCGCGAAGCGTTGGCCTTGGCCAAGTGTCGCTTGATCGGCGACGTAAAGACTGTCGAAAAAATCAACGAAAAATGGGCCGCGAACGCCGTCTCCACAGGGCAGTTCGAACTGGCAGCCCAATGGTAAGTCGCATGATCAATAGACTGTCAAAATAACTTTTTTTTTTCGATTAAATATATCTTCAATATGAAAAAAAAATCTACTAAAGTTTGAGCTCAATATCTCTAAAATTGACGTGGCGCAAAATACATGGGAACTTTTTTTTTAGTTCTAAAAAAACTACATGAATATATTTTTTTTAATTTTGTTTCTCACTACCTTATAGGAAATTTAGTTCTTAAAAGTTTCTTCAATTTGAAAAAAAAATCTCCTAAAGTTTGAGCTCAATATCTCTAAAATTGAGCCGGCGCAAAATACATGGCATCTTTTTTTTTAGTTTTAGCAAAACTAAATGAATAATTTTTGTTTTAATTTTGTTTCTCCCTACCTTTTAGGAAATTTAGTTCTCTACAAAATTGTCCATACGCATTTTTCTCTAAACTCATCAGAAACAAAGTTACATAGCACTGAATAGGAGGAAAAAAATAAAAATCGAATATTACAGTCGATAAAGTTGCTATGTAACTTTGTTTCTGATGAGTTTAGAGAAAAAATGCATTTGGACAATTTTGTAGAAAACTAAATTTTCTATAAGGTAGTAAGAAACAAATATTAAAAAAAAAATATTCATGTAGTTATTCTAAAACAAACGAAAACTCTTCGATACTTTTTATTTCAGCTACATTTTCCTGAATCAATACGAGAAGGCGGCTATGATTCTGTACAGGCGCACGGACCAAAAAACGCTGGAGTTCGCCGCCGAACTGGCGAAGAAATCCGGCAACACCGAGATGCACGACGAGATAACGAAAAGGTTGAACATTTTCAACCCTGTCGGCGAGCCGTCGAACTTGAACCCGGACGCGGAGGTTTTCGTGTACAGTCGCGAAAACTCGGACGATTCCGCGCACGAGATTTTGATGGACGAGGATTTGGTTGTCGTCGACGAAAACGACGTGATTGGAGGTTAAGTTTTTGCAGTATTTTTAAGTTTAACGTAACTGGTTTTTATTTCGTTAAGTTGGAATGTTTTTTGCTTTATTTTAATTAAACATATTGACTATGTTTTTATTTTGTTAACAGAATTTGTATTTTTTTAATAAATAACCTTTTTGAAATATTATTTTATTATTAAGCAATTTTTAAACATTAGCAAAAGCTTGAAACATAATCAAGTCATCTCCAGCAGTTATTGTCAAAGTTTCATTGACAGGTATAAAAAGTACAGTGCCTTTATCCAAAGTACCACCAGTGTTAGTACTGCCAACCCCAGAAATAACCAGCAAAATACTAGCACTGACTCTCTTAATTGTACTATAATTAACATTATTAGGAACCTAAAAATATCAATTAAACATTTATAAATATCATTTAAATATAATCTTTGATACTTTTATTTGCGCCACAGCAAAATCAGGTACAGGAGGTTTATACAGCTTGGTAAAATCGTCCTCTTCTTCAGGGGAAAACAAAATATCCCTGGGGGTTTCCCCCTTGTAAATCAACATTGACGTTAAAGTGTCGACATCTATGAATTTCGGCGTAAAACCAGCCCTCACAACGTTGTCAGAGCATGCCATGCATTCTATGCAATCTAGAAAATAAATAATTTAATTTTTTCCTCACTTTCTATATTATTAAATTTATATTATAAATTGTCATACATACCACCAGATAAATAAGCATGAGGTTTACTAGCTCCTAAAAACATGGCTTCTGAAGGCTGAAGTTTAACATAATTCAAAAAATAAACCACAAATAACCCAACATCATTGGGAAATTGTGTGTTTAGATTTTCTATTAAAGGCGCCATTATTAAATCCTTAGTGCATGCATCTAAAAAATACACAATAGCAACAAACAAAAATTACAGTATTTTTAAATATGTACCTAAAGTTTGTATTCTGCATATAAAAATATTTAACTCATTCTCTAAAACATCCTTTTGACAACTTAAAACAGCAATAAATGCCTGTCTCAAAAATTCATCATCATTTGAAATATTCTTTATTTGATCCCCTATAATTTTGCCCAACTCTGGTATATCTTAAATTTAAATAAATGTAATTAGGAAATAAGTCTAATTACAAAAATAAATATGTTGTACTTTCAACAAAATTTCTAATCTCACTAACAGGTCTAAAGCCACATAAAGCCTCAAATGGGGTCAATGCAATGGCTAGTTCAGGTTTATGATTATCGTCCTTATAGATATCAGGGAATTTTTTGTGTAAGTCTTCTGCCAATTGCTAGAATTTAAAAAAATTGAACTTTATATCTGCAGAAAAATCAGCATTTTATTTAAATTATTTGGTCTATTTCAAATGTTTTCCTCATAAAAAAATGCTTAATTTTAAAAAATAAGCAAATGGTTCAATATTGAACATAGCTTAAAAGCATAATAATTTCTTAATAAAAATTGTTAAAATTTAAATATAAATAATAATCATACAAACTTTAAAAATAAACCAGTCAGTGATAAGAAAAGATTGTTGGTAAAAACAAAAATTAAAAATGCTAATTTTTCAACAAAATAATTTTGAAATATGTAAGTGTATGGGCTTGGAAAATGTATTTAATATCTTTTTACCTTATCAGGATGGGCCTGTATGGACAGAGCCTTATTAACCGACAGAACCTTAAACAAGAAAGGCAAATCTTCTCCAAAAACCTCCACAACTTTTTCACCGATTAAACAAGTATTTTCTTTGATGTAATCCTTTAAATGTACACCTGTGCATTTGACAATGGAAGGCCCATTTACGTGTGTCCCCATCCATAATTCAGCATAGGGAACGTTATCATCTATTTCAGTGTAATTTTTAGCTAACTGCGCTACAGTACTGTTACTACCTATTTTTCCCCATTCGTAATTTTGTACTTGGCATTTTAACTCCATAATGCTTGTGTAAATGCAGAAAATATGGGGAAAACTGATACGTATTGAGGTTATGTACAAAATAAATATCGCCGCGTCTAGAGTCCCGTCAGACGGTTCTCTATTGCGCTCCCGTTAACAGAGTGACGTCATCAAATGACGCAATCTTAGGACGGGAAGCAGATCTTCCTTAACCAACATCCCGAGTCCGCCCGCTTCAAAACCAACCCAAACCCAACAACCCAACCCAACCGACCCCGCCCCATTGCCCCCCCCCCCCGCCCCATTGAGTAAAAATTTTTCAACGAAGGAATATTCATTTAATTACATTTTATATTATATAACTAGCAAAATGATTATGAGGAAAGGTAAATAAATTAAAATATTAATGTAAAATTAAATATAAATGCTTTTAATGCCACATTGTATTATTTCGGTATATAAATTCTTTAAAAAAAAATTAAAAAAGTTGTAGAGACGCGAAGGATCGAACCCCGTACCTCCCGCATGCAAAGCAGGCGCCCTTCCATTGAGCTACCGAGCTTATTGTAATAATTCTATCGCTTGAAAAATAATACCTATTTACAGTGTGTGACGTCACAAAGTTTTAACGGGAGCGCAATGGAGACCCGTCTGACGGGACTCTAGACATTATGAATAAATATAGGTTAGGTTTCTATGTCAACATTTTGAAAGAACAGGTCCGTACTCACATTTTTGGATGTAAATAAAAAACATTCAAATGTATATAAATATATATATATTCGTTACAATACAACCACACATAATTAAAAATATTTCATAAAAACAAAATTATTATTTTAATGGAATTCCATTAAGTGACAGCAAATGGTCGTCAGTGCTGGTGGGGCCTTCCCCTACATTTGTATGGATTATGTATTTTAAAAGTCCTGGTTCATTCCGAGTTAAATTCAGGGAATTTATAAGATCCTAAAAGTCCAATTTTGTAAAAAATCAGATGTATTTTATTATAAAATTTTTAATGTCAAAATTAAATTTTTTTTAAATTACTTCAAAATAATACTTTTCTTACAAAACAAAAACTTACATTTTTAATTTTCCTATTCTCAAGTGGCATGCCCGTCAAATATTCCACTTGATCCACCTCTGGCGGGGGAAACACATAATTAACAACGGACAAAAATTCCTCGACATCTTTCTCCAAAATGTACAAGCAAGCATTAGGGCCGGCATCAAAAGTATAGGCAACCCGGTTCTCATCGAACAACTCGTTGTACTTGTGCACCAAACCTGAAATGCTGTGAGAAACGTCATTCATATACACGCAGGGCGGGTACGTGTCCAAACAGGTCGCGTGAAATTGATTGGAATCTTGCATCGTCAACTTGGCGAAATTATGAAAATCTTTGTTTTTAATCGAAGTAATCATTTCTTCCATTCTTTTAGGTACAATTTTGTCCGATCTGTATAAGAGCAAATCGGACGTATCTACGCTGCGTTGCATGCCGGAAGTAGAACTGTCTTTCTTTTTTTTATCGTTTACCACCAAGATTAGTACGCGCATTTCCGGCCAGTGGCTAGATGGCACCACCTGCCGTGCTACGGAGTCTTCACCACAACTAAGCTCTCCTAAATATAAATATGTAAAAAAATCCTTACTGCTAAATTTTTTAGAGTAAAAAAACATATTTTACCTTTATGCCATCTAACCCATCCACCATATATACTCCTACAGGCACTACCGGACCCCAATCTTGCAATATCAGAAATTTCCCCCTCAATGTTATACAATTTAGCCAAGGCTGAAACTAAACATGCATATCCAGCTGCTGATGATGCCAATCTACAATTTAAACCACAACACTCTCAATAATAGTATATTATGTATCAAGTTTGATAAACGCCATTTTATACACGAATTTAATTTAGGCACGAGCGAGCTTGCGAGCGAGTGCTTAAGTTAATGAGTGTATAGAAAGGTTTATAAACGAGGTGCATACTATACTTTTTCTACGACAAATACTTATTATTATCTTAAAATGATTTAAATCAAAAAATTGTATAGAGCGCCATCTATGAAACAACAGGGGAACTGTCAAATGTCACATTTTTACCAATGTTTTTACATTTTATAAACACAATTATAAAGGTTATAAATCGAAATGTTTCTTGAAAATTGACAGTTTTTCACAGTGAAAGTAAAGGAAATGATTTATGAAGACTTTACAGTAGAGTCCGCGCCCGAATTTAAGTTATAGTTTACTGCCGGCGAAATTAAAAGGTCAGTACAATGTTCATATAAACTTTTCAAATATTGGCGTTGAGAAACTATTTAATACTTTTGTATTGAGATAATAAAATAATTTTCACATTAAGTATTATTTTACAAGAAAGGCACTTTATTTAAATGATTGTATGACATTTGACAACTGTCAACTAACTTCAGCCTGTGACTAAAAACCTGTTGCTAACTTCGGCCCGTGACTAAAGCGCCGTAAAGCCACAACTTGTCAATGTGTATTTAAAAGGTCACTTAGTGTCATGGAAACATGTACGATAAAGGGCGTTTTAAAGGTGGGAGTAGAAAAACTAACAAACAATCAGCTTACCCTGCAGCTGTGGGAAAATTATTCTCCGAACAAATAGCAATCTTCCACCCCAACACATCAGGGTTCATGTCTTTTGCTCTACGTTGCACTTCCCTCAAACAATTCTGCAATCTTTTGCCCTCAAACGACTCTTCTTTGCCATTCAACCAAAATTTGTTCTCCTTTAAATCAGGGCTCGCCAAAATCGTCGTTTTGGCGCACATGAAGTTTGTATTCAATGTGGCACTCAGAGAATCGTTGATTGGGAGAATTAGGTCTTCGTCCCTTTTACCCCAATATTTCATCACCGCTATGTTCACAGGGGCTATACACGTCACGATTTTCATCTTGGATTGTACTAATACTTATGGATATTGTAATGAGTTTCTTTTTTTATGTTAATTATTGACCTCTTAACCCACTGAACGCAAACTCCACTTAATACTGTTGGATTTATTGTTTTCTTCGTGGTTTTATCACGTAAGTGTTGGTTTTTATCGTTTTAACATTGTTGGCGTCATAAAAATAATGTAAATGCTGTTATCTGTTTGAATTATAATTTAAGGTTAAGGTACGTATTTTGACAGTAGTCCATTTAAACTAGCGTTGCCGTTGGCAACCACCCTACCATAGAAATAATAATAATATACTATAATAGTATTATTTCTATGACAATACAATTCATTAATATTAGAACCAATAAAATGCCAGTATTCCATAGTGACGTATTTTATCACAGCGGCAATAATTTTTATCATCTTGTTTACACGTTACTAAGAATTTTGACACTTTTTTTGATTTAACATCTGTTGTCATTTAAATTCTGTATTTGATATATATCAATAAAATAATGAATTATAAACTCTAAAAGATCGATGGGTAAGTGTAAACGATAATGAAATTAAGGTAAGTTTGAATAAATAAGGTTTATTAAAGTCTTTTTATATTTTAAAGCACATTTTAATTTCAAATGTCAAACTAAAAATTCGTTAAATCCTAAAATTCATTATATTTTCTCACTAAATATAACTCGTGGTATGATTAATTATCGATGATATTTACTCATTAAAACCGAAGCAGCACATTTCACTCGTCCTGCGGACTCGTGAAATCTGCAGCTCGGTTTCAATTCGAAAATATCATCGATGATAATCATACCACTAGTTATATCATTGAGTAAAGTCTTTCTTTACTCAATGGTTATATTATGGGTGACAATACAATTCATTATAATTAGAACCAATAAAATGCCAGTATTCCATAGTTACGCATTTTATCACAGCGACAATATTTTTTATCACCTTGTTTACACGTTGCTAAGGATTTTGACACTTTTCTTGATTTGACATTTGTTGACATTTAAATACTGTGTTTGTTAAATCATTAAAATAATGAATTTTAAACTCTAAAAGATCGATGGGTTGGTGTAAACGATAAAAAAATTAAGGTAAGTTTGAATAAATAAGGTTTATTAAAGTCTTTTTATATTTTAAAGCACATTTTAATTTCAAATGTCAAACTGACAATTCGTTAAATTCTAAAATTCATTATATTTTCTCACTAAATATAACTCGTGGTATGATTAATTATCGATGATATTTACTCATTGAAACTCGTGAAATCTGCAGGTCAGTTTCAATTCGAAAATATCATCGATGATAATCATACAACTTCTTATATTATGGGCGACTATAGGTAGGTATACCTATTACCTTTATTTGTTGCCTACTACTTTATCATTTTTTATTTTTAATATTTTTAAGAATAATTTGTTTAAACTTATTGGTAAATTTTACATTTATTCTATAATTCTATAATTATTAAAAAAGCTTTTAAAACAGTATAATGTTATCACACCATAAAAACAATTTATGCTGTGATATGCAAATATTCTTTACCTTATAAGGTCATTTACAGGGCTTGAGCAAGATACATACACCTTAAGATAGGATGGTGCGCATGTTGGGCGGGGCTTAAATACGTCACTTGTTGAGTGTTTTTAAATCTTTAACGTGCTTTTTAATTATCTGCTGCTAATTTTTTTGTTTTTGAGATGCTTTTGGATGTTAACTTGCTTTATTTTTTGTTTAACTTGTTGTTTTTATGTTACCGCGGTAAGGTTCGAATTACTTTTCAGTGCTCAAATTATTGTTATGGCGTTGTGTTAACCTGTTCTGTTTGTTTATTATTGTTTTTGTGTTGCGTTAACTTGTTTTGTTTGTGTTTTAGTTTGTGTCGTGCCATTTGCATTCATTAAAATGCGGTGTTGCATATTTGGATGCAATTCGGACAACCAGTTCAAGAAAAACCCTTTAAGTAAAAACATTAAATTTCATCGATTCCCGAAAAAGTTTGATTTGTGTAAACAGTGTTTAAATGCCACAAAAATAATAGACAATATTAACGTTAAGATCGCTCCTGTTTCCTATAAACATTTTCTGGACAGGGACTATAAGTTTAATTTAAAAAACCAGCCCTAAATGTTATCAAGGACTGAAAGCATCTATTATCCATATTATAACACTTTCTTCAATATTAAGTTTAATAAAAACGCACTATGTCCAGATATTTCTCTATTTTCTTTGATAATATTACTATTATTCGTGTATTCGCACGGCAACTACTCATCAAGTGACGTCATGCGCGGCACGAACCAAAATTCGTCCACGGGAGAATCCAGAATGTTGTTTAAGCACAGGGCCGTATTAAAATAAAACTAATTGCATAAAATACTTAAAATATATTGAAATTTAATAACTGGAAGACAATTATGCTTAAAAATACATTACAGACTTAAAATTAGTTGTGTACCGGCATGGAGACGGAAGATTTGGCCGCCGCCTGCCCCTTTCTCCACATCGACGTGATGGTTTTGGTTTGCGTGTAGAAATTGAGGCCCTGCTTGCCGTAGAAGTGCAAGTCGCCGTGGAAACTGCCGCGCGACCCGGTGAAGCTGAACATGGGGAGGGGCACGGGGATGGGCACGTTGACCCCCACCTGCCCCACGTCGACTTCGTTGACGAACTGCCTGGCGTGCGAGCCGCTCGTCGTGAAGACGGCCGTGCCGTTGCCGTAGGGGTTGGCGTTTATGATCGCGACGGCGTCTTCGAGCGTGTCGGCCGACATCACGCACAGCACCGGGCCGAAGATCTCCTCCTTGTAGCAGTCGTGGTGGGGTTGCACCTCGGTTAGGAGGGTGGGACCCACGAAGTTGCCGTTCGGGTATTTTTCAACCTTCACGTTGCGGCCGTCCAAGGGACATTTCGCGCCCTGAAACGATGTTTTTGGTTGACCAAAATTTGGCGTTACGGAAGATTACGAAAATTCCCGAAACCTGGGAATTTTTGCGACGTTGCCAAATTTACAAAAAATCCCAGAGTCAGGAATATTTATTTTTCATTTTTGCGACGTTGCCAAATTTACAAAAATTCCCGAAGTCGGAGACTTTTGTTTTTCATTTTTGCGACGTTGCCAAATTTACAAAAATTCTCAGAGTCAGGAATATTTGTTTTTCATTTTTGCGACGTTGCCAAATTTACAAAAAATCCCGAAGTCGGAGACTTTTGTTTTTCATTTATGCGGTGTTGCCAAATTTTCAAAAATTCTTTTGCATAGAGAAAGTACCTAAATGGGCCGGAGATTGACATATACTCCTTTTTTTCTTTTTTTGCATTTTTTTTAATTTTTCAATTTTTCTTTCAAAATTCACCGAACTTTTTGCGACGTTGCCAAATTTACGAAAATTACCAGAATTTTTCAAAATATTCAGGATATAATTTGACAAATGCGCGTCAATCATAATTTATGCAAAAATAATAACAAAAAAGGTTTAGGCTATTTATGATTCATAAATAGCTTATAACTTTTTTGTTATTAGGTTTGCGAATAAGAGGGTGAAATTTTTGTAATCTTAAAACATTGTTTAAAATTTTCTTTGTCAATTCAATTTGACATTTTTAACAAATTACCCAAGAAAACGTTAATAATTTTTTATTTTAAATGTAACATGTGCCTATATACAAATTTGTATTTTGGTTCATAATTAAAAAATTTTGGAAAACAGTAAAAAAATAAAAAAAATTAGGAAAAATGTTCAAAATTTCCAAAATTTGAATGACGAAGCCAAAATAATTCCAAGCTTAAATGAAAAATTAAAAAACGGAAGTGTGCGGTGTTGTCAGATTGTTTATGAAAACTATAAAATGGCAACGCCGCCAGGTCTGTCTTCTGGTTCTAGGGCTGGTAAAACTGTCAACCCTCAGTTTCTGCATTATACACCAAATATATTACAACCTACCTGTTTGATTCCGGCCTCGACCAGCTCCAAGATCCTCTGCTTCGACTGCGGCGTGATGACCGGGCCGACGTCGGTCCCGGGCTCGTGGCCCGCGCTGACCTTCAACCGGCTGGCCCGCTCGACGATCTCGGGGATCCACTGCTGCGCCTCGCCCACCAAGATGGCCACGCTCAAGGCCATGCAGCGTTGCCCGGCCGCGCCGAACGCCGCTCCGATCAGCTGATCGATGGTGGCGCCACGGTCGGCGTCGGGCAGCACCACGGCGTGGTTCTTGGCGCCCATGTTCGACTGCACGCGCTTGCCGCTGGCGGCGCCGCGCTCGTAGATGTACTTTCCCGCGCGGTCCGAGCCGACGAAAGAGATGGCGCGGATATCCGGGCTGTCGCAGATGAAGTTCACCGAATCGTGAGTGCCGTGGATTACCTTATAAGTTTATAGAGGATCAAGTTTTATTTGTTTTGTTATGGCATAAGTATTCTCTTACATTTACAAGACCTGGTGGGGCTCCAATTTCGTTCATCAACTCCATAATCATCATGGTAGCGCCTGGGTCTCTTTCTGAAGGTTTAAGAACCATTGTGTTACCAGCAATAAGAGCCAGAGGGAACATCCATAATGGAATCATGGCAGGGAAGTTGAACGGGCAAATTCCCGCGGTAACACCTACAATTATAATATTTTTTCATAAACTCTTGACGAGATAAGACATAGTAACCGAGATCTCGATTAAAAATTTCACATCCCGCAGTAAACTACACCTACAGTGCAAATAAACTATAATGCATTGTATCTACAGTGAATTAAAAGTCACGGAAGTAATGGAGTGTGAAGTGACTGCATACCTGGCGGACTAACCACCTGACAATAGGAAGCATTCCATGTGAAGAACAAACAGGGCTAATCAAAAGTGGAAAAACCTTTAAAACTGACTGCATGACCTAAAACCCTAGTAAATAAAAACTAAAAAAAACAATGTAAAACAAATAGCAAAAGCAACATAAAAACACAAAAAAAAACAATAAATCCAAATCTTATCGCTGGCATTCACGGGATTACAACTAAGCAAGACAAATAAATCAGTCAAACAAATATGTCACAAAATCCATAAATTTAAAATTCCAAAATTTTAGTTTACACACTTATTCTCATATACCCATACAAAAATAATAAGGTAGTAGTTTTTTAACATGAAATTTAAATATATTTGTATACATACCCAGAGGTAGCTTGTATGAAACTATGTCCATGTCTTTAGCGATGTTTTGTAAGGATTCCCCTTGTAGAAGGGTGCCGGCGGAGCAACTATGTTCGACCACCTCTGAAAAGAAATTGTGATGTAATTTACAAAAATACAAAATTTTCGTATGTTTAAGAACAATTAGGTAGGTACCTAAACCAAATATAAAATTGTAATGGGGTAGTTAAATTTTTTCTGATCTATACTTTTTATGGTTTTATTCAAGGCGTTTTGTAATTTTAAACATTTCTGTGAAATCGGAATTTCAATTGAGTTTACCGTTTTCGAGATATTTACAAAAAAAAATCTCCTAATTACGTCACTAGGCTATTAACAACGTTGCCAGCTTTTTCTATGGTTGCCAGTGTGTTTAGTTTAAGATTCTTACGATAGATGGCGCCACGTTATAATATTTTAGTTTTAAAACCACTTGATCTATAATTTTAGTTGAGAAGAAGAAGAATTGATTTTTTGACGTTTCTTTTTTTCGGGTTATGTTTTTTTTTTAAATTTAGATTATTGAAAATCAATGTAATTATTATGTTATTTGTAATTGATATTAGATAAGTGATTTATTAATAACGGACTCCAAAGCAAAGGAATCTTGTGGAATGTTTGGTTACATTGAACATTGGAGCTTTTAAACAAATAAAGTAAGTACCTATAATTATAATCATATTTTGTCTTAAATGCATTTCATTAGTATACTAGGCATTATATATGTCAGAGATTAACGAGGGCAACTGAGGGTTAGGCTGCCTAGACATTTTAAAAGAATGCACGACACTGGTTTTTAATATAAAGTTATTTACTAAAACACGTAGTGTAGCCATATGAATGCATCCCTTGTTTGCAAGACGTTGTCAACACGTCGATTAGGACCACAATTTATGGCCCTCCGAAGTTATTTGTTTGTTTATGTCTGGCAGAGAGGCGGGCGACGTCGGCAAGTGTCGAATATACGTTTTTAAGAAAAGCAGGGCATTCAATTAGAACCTTTCGATAGATACACTAGACTTTAGTTTTTGTTTGATTGTTTTATTCTAAATAGTAATTAAAGCTTATTTTAAATCATAGTCTAATTTCCTTTATTTTAAATTAACATAGTTTACAGTTCAGGTGGGGGGTAAACTTACGTGAATTTACGGTTACCTGTGTTTTAGTTAAGTTAATTATTTAGTGATTAGTGTTAAGTTACGTGAGTGTAAAACAAAAAGAGAAACGATGGGCAAAGGAAAACGACGTTGTCGCCCTCGTAGCTCTAGCTCTTCGAGTAGTGATTCCAGCAGCGAATCGTCAAGCTCTACTGATAACAGATACAGACGTACGCGATCTGAACGGGGCTATACTCCACCGAGACGAGACAATAGGCCACCCTCTAAGGAAGGAGCCGGTACACGCAAGCGACAGTTACGCACGTCGCGAGAAAAGGTAGCATCAAGCACATCTCGCGGTTTGAGTTACGTATCAAACAAAAGCGATATTGAAGAAAATACTAGGTCCAGCCAATGTTCGAGCGATACATACGAGGCCAGGATAAAACAACTAGAAACAATAATAGCGGGAATGTCGAATCAAAATCACAATTCCGGAAATCGTAGGTTAGCAGTAAAGAGTGATTGTATTCCTGAATTTTGTCCCGAAAATGAAAATATGTCCGCCGTTAAGTGGCTAGAGAAAATTGAGGAGCTTAAACAAATTAACGATTGGGACGAAGTAACGACAATTTACCACATGCAAGCTCGATTTTCTGGAATGGCGAAATCTTGGTATCACAGTTTAAGTTCGATACGACATACCTGGCCCGAATGGAAAGTTTTAGTTGCCAAGACTTTTCCCGACCATGTCGATTACGCTAAGGCCCTTAGGAAAATGTTAAACAGAGAAAAACTGTTAACTGAAACAATGACAGCATATTATTTCGGCAAGATGGAATTATTAAGAACTTGTCAAGTAACAGGAAAGAATGCAGTTTCATGCATAATAGATGGTATTCCAAATGCCGCTATTCAAAATGCTGCTCGTGCGGGTCGTTATGACAAACCAGAGAAACTTTTTGAAGGATATTTATCAATGTTACGTGAGGAAAGTACCATTGAAGTATCGACACAAAAGACAGAGGGTTCGATAAGGCGACCCCCAAAAGTGGATTTACGTCATTCACTTACACGTAATAGTAAACCGTACGCAAAATCAGATGTTTTAAATGTGAGATGCTTTAACTGTAAAATGAAAGGTCATTTTCAGTCAAAGTGTCCGAAACCACGTGTTAGTTGTTCAAAATGCCATCTGTTAGGACACGAGGCCGATCGTTGCACTGTAAATGTGGGAAAACGACCAGCTGATCGACAAAATAAGGGTGAGTCGAAACCAATTTTAATATTGTCAAATAATCAGTTGTCTAGTACTTGTTATTTTATTGATTGTATAATCAACGATGAACCTATACGGGGCTTTGTAGATTCAGGTTGTGCCGCAGTCACAATTCGTGAATCGGATGCGCGTAAATTAAATTTACAGGGTGAACCTACACTAGTACGTTTGTGTGGTTATGCAGGAGGTTCTGTTGTAGCACGTTCAAAGGTTACAATAAAATTAAATGTTGATTTAGCTTTTGCTACCGTAGACGCACTCGTGGTACCTGATAATGTACAGGATGTTCCTATTATTATAGGCCAGCCATTTTTAAATAATGATAATGTCACAGTTTTAGTTAGGGGTCACCAGGTCCGACTTTTTAATCAAAATAACGTCAATATCACCAATATCGATGACTTTTTATCTAAGAAAATTGATTTATGTGTCGAGGAAACTGCTATTATCCCACCGAATTTTATAGGTCATATTTCGCTAATTAGACATGAAAACGTTAGGGATGTTTTTGTAGATCTAAAGTATCGAAATTGGAATAATAATTTTCACATTATTTTACCGTGCGTTATAAATATGAATAATAGTAGTAGCATCCCTGTTGCCAATATATCCGATAAGCCTGTTTGTTATGAAAAAGGCAGGGTACTTGCCAGAGGCTATACATGTAATGCAGATTCGAAAATACCATCTAAAACTTGCTTAACAACAAATATTGCTGATTTGCCACTTTTTACATTATTAGATATCGAAAGACAAACTAATTTAGAACTAGACAGCATTACACGTTCTAAATTACTTAAATTAATTAACGAATATAGGGATTGTTTTGCTACAAACTTAGGGGAGGTTGGTAAAACAAACGTAACGGAAATGTCGATCTCACTATCCGATAGTGAACCAGTAACGTATCGCCCTTACCGTATGCCTTTCACAAAACGCGAAAAAGTCCGCACAATAGTCCAAGACCTTATTGATCATGGTATAGTTCAAGAGTCAGAGTCTCCTTATGCTAGTCCTATACTGCTAGTAAAGAAAAAGAACGGCGAAGAAAGAATGTGCATAGATTATAGGGCCATAAATCGCAAAACTATTAAAAATAAATACCCACTGCCACGAATTGATGACCTTCTAGATAATCTAGAAGGAAATACTTATTATACAACGTTAGACCTCGCCTCTGGGTATCATCAAATCCCGATGGAAGAAAGTTCCATATCGAAAACTGCTTTTGTAACTCCAGATGGCCATTACGAATATTTAAGGATGCCTTTTGGGTTGGTAAATGCACCAGCAGTCTTCCAAAGGGCTATGAATAAAATATTAGGTCCTTTACGCTTTGACAGTGCGATGGCATATCTTGATGATGTACTTATACCGTCAGTGTCTCTAGAACAAGGCATGGAACGGCTCGAAAATGTCCTAAATCTTTTTAGAGATGCTGGATTGACATTAAGATTTAATAAGTGCCATTTTCTTCAGTCTAAAATTGAATACCTAGGTCACGAAATAACTGGAGGGGGTATTAGACCTGGTCGCGATAAAATAAAAGCCGTAGCAGATTTTGCAGCACCCAAGGATGTTCACGAAGTTAGGCGATTTTTAGGACTTGCCAGTTATTTTAGAAAATTTATCGAAGGATTCGCCGCCATCGCTAAGCCTTTAACTAAGCTAACATGCAAAAACACTCCCTTTGTATGGGAAGAACAACAGCAGAGTACGTTTGACAATTTAAAAAAGAAGCTAGTAGAACGGCCCATTCTGGCCATTTATAACAGAGAAGCGGAAACGGAAGTACATTGTGACGCCAGTAAGGTTGGGCTAGGGGGAATCCTTTTACAACGGCAAAAGGATAATATTCTTAAACCAGTGCAATATTTTAGTAGAGCCACCACCAAAGAAGAGCAACAATACCACTCTTATGAGCTTGAAACTTTAGCCGCTGTATGCGCTCTAAAGAAGTTCAGGATATATTTAATTGGTATAAAGTTTAAAATTGTTACCGACTGTAACTCACTACGTCACACCCTTATGAAACGAGACTTAGTTCCCCGTATTGCTAGGTGGTGGTTATCAATTCAAGAGTTTGACTTTGATATCGAATACCGTGCCGGAACTAAAATGAGCCATGTAGACGCATTGAGCCGAAGTACCATTATACCTACAGATCAATCACTTGACGTAATGATTGTAAATATTGAGGAGGATGACTGGGTGCTTTCAGCGCAACTCCAAGACAACACATGTAAAAACATTATAGATATTTTGTTAAGAGAACCTAAAGATAACGATGAACGAAGGATCCATAAGGATTATTGTTTAAGAGATAGACGACTTTATCGAAAAACAGAGAACGGAAAAAGATGGGTTATTCCAAGAACAGCTCGACGAAGAATACTTATGTACTATCATGATGATGCCGGTCATTTTGCAGTAGATAAAACTGTGGAATCGATAAGTTCAAGATATTGGTTTCCGTCGATGCGCCGATATGTTAAAAATTACATTAATTCTTGTTTGGGCTGTCTTTATAATAAAACCCCTTCTGGTAAAGTTCCCGGTAGTCTAAATCCTATAGAAAAACAGCCTAGACCTATGGATACATTACATTTGGATCATGTAGGCCCATTCATAAATAGTATTAGGAAAAACTCGTATCTTATAGTAGCAGTTGACGGCTTTACCAAATTTGTATTTTTAAAGGCGGTTCCTAATACAAAAACCGGCCCTGTATTGAAATTTCTAGATGAGGTAATAGAAATGTTCGGGGTTCCCCGCAGATTTATCTGCGACCGTGGCACGGCTTTTACAAGCAAGAATTTTAAAGAATACTGTTTAACTTTAGGTGTTAAACAAGTGTTGTGTGCCACCGCAACCCCTCGCGCCAACGGTCAGGTAGAACGAATGAATCGTTCCATTCTTTCGGCGATTATGGCTTCAACTAACGACGAAAATCGTTGGGACGAGGCAGTAGCAGCTGTAAAATGGGGAATTAATTCGACGGTTAATTCCACCACAGGGAAAAGTCCCTATGAATTATTTTTAGGATACCGTCCTAGAGGAGTTAACGATGCCTTTTTGACGGCTGAGGTCTGCGACGATAACGAACGTCCAGATTTAGAAACTTTCAGAGTTGAGGTCTCTGAAAAGATAAAAGATAAGCAAAGGTACCAAAAGACGTATTACGATAAAAAGCATGCTTCTCCAATTACGTTTGGAGTTGGACAACATGTGCTTGTCCGAAGGGCTAAGGGCTCTAATGATGGTCATAGCAGAAAGCTTGAACCTAAGTACAAAGGTCCCTTTGTCATTACGAAAGTACTCGATAATGACCGTTACGTGGTTGCAGAGTTGCCTGGCTCGAAACGTTCGAGAACAGTTTATACGGGGATTCGTCCCTCTGACCAAATGAAATTGTTCGTTACGAAAGTATCGTCAGACGATAGCAGTTCCTCTAACGAATAATTTCGTTTTCTGACTAAAAGTAGGCTAATTGTTTTTTTTGTGTGTGTTACAGGTTATTCTTCACGAGGACGTGAAGATTTGTCAGGTTAGCCGACTGTAGCCATATGAATGCATCCCTTGTTTGCAAGACGTTGTCAACACGTCGATTAGGACCACAATTTATGGCCCTCCGAAGTTATTTGTTTGTTTATGTCTGGCAGAGAGGCGGGCGACGTCGGCAAGTGTCGAATATACGTTTTTAAGAAAAGCAGGGCATTCAATTAGAACCTTTCGATAGATACACTAGACTTTAGTTTTTGTTTGATTGTTTTATTCTAAATAGTAATTAAAGCTTATTTTAAATCATAGTCTAATTTCCTTTATTTTAAATTAACATAGTTTACAGTAGTCAGATTAATCTGCACAGAACACAAAAATTAATATTAATCGTCCCAAACTAATTATTAGCTATAAAAAGGAAAACCAACGATCCGCGACCCGCTAGACCAACAATAGTCAATCAAAAATCAATTCAGAGATTCGACTTGTCTCAATCGAACTCAAAATGACTCTGGGCTCGTTTCGTTCGCTCAGCTTATCGCCAAGCGGTTTTCCTTAAAAAAACATTTTACCCCTCCTAACATATTTTCTACGTCTTGAAGAACTATAACTAATTTGTCTAGACAAATTCACATAAATCATATCAGCTAAAATAAATGTATCGTAAAACTTAGTAATAAACACCTAATGACATTCTCCACATGCGTGGGACTTTTTTAGCCTAAACATCGTTACAAAAACAAATAAACAAAAGGGTGAGAAAGAATCACAAGCGTAGACCAATAATTAATAAGGGCGCCGACATATATAATGCCTAGTTCTTTATATTCTTTTAGATATATCTTGGACTCTAAAATATCAAACAGTAGTATGATACCTCATATTATGAGGCTCATAATAAGGAAGATAGGTACTTAATGAATTTGGTGACCATCTTTCACTCAACTGACAGTGACAGTATTTGTACATATCCTCTTCGGGTATTTTCTTACATTAGAATGTTGGTCACATGGCGAGGTTTGTGACGTCATAAAAATTTATATTTTTTGTAAACATCTCGAAAACGGTAAACTCAATTGAAATTCTGATTTCACAGAAATGTTTAATATTACAAAAAGCCTTGAATACAACCATAAAAAGAATAGGTCAGAAAAAATTTAACTACCCCATTAAATAGTACATTATGGATCAAGTTTGATAAATCTATACTTTTTTTTACGACAAAATCCTCTTATTAAAATGATTTAAATTAAATATTTGTAAATAGCGACATCTATAAAAAAGTAGAGTAACTAGCGTAACAATTTCTAACTAGAAATCTGTATTACCGGCACCAGTCAAAATGTCAAATTTGTATGTGTAAATCAAAATTTATCCTTTTAAAATGAAATAAAACCCGTTTAAATAATGATATAGAAGCAGTTTTTCAAAATAAAATTGTAGAGAATGTTTACGGGAAATCGCCACCCGAAATTTTGATTGCTTTCAGTTAAATCTAGTTTATTGCAGGCAAAATCATTAGGTTAGTACAAACTTGCATTTCAACTTTTTAAATAGGTAATAATGAGGAAATTATTCTATTACCTTATTACAAAAATAAGTATAAAATAGTCAATATATTGACTATTTTAAACTTATTTTTGTAACAAGGTAATAAAATAATTTCCCCATTATTATTTTACAAGAAGGGCACTTTATTTTAACGATTGTATTACACCTAATATCTTATTCTTTTTTTATTTTATAAATTCTTAAAATTTTTAAATAAGATTTGTTAAATTTTAATTACTTAAATGGACATTTAATTAATCTTAAACGAAATTTATTATTTTGGAAAATTTACAAATATTGCAAATGTTTACAAAAACCTTAGACCATAAACTTCTAGATCCAGTAGGTATAATCCTGTCAACCTAATTTTTACTTTTTTATTTTTAGCTCTTTTTATTTGTAATTGATTTTAATTTTTATATGAGTTTTTGTCTTATTTTTTTAAATTTATTTTTAGCTTATTTTTAGAAATTAATTAAATTTTATGGTAAATTTTTTCTTAAATTTTTGTAATTATTTATTTACCTAGGTACTTTTTTGGCTTAAGTTAAGTATATTTATAATATATTATATATATACTTAATATAATATTATTTTAGGAAAACCTTAGACCACAAACTTCTAGACAACACAATACATAATTAGTCAGTGGTTCAAGGTCTAAGCAAAAAACATTTTACACTGAAAATCTAAAAAACTTACGCAACCCTCTCATAACATCCCCCTCGGCGTCACTTAACGTCTTTCCTTGCTCCAACGTAATATTAGCAGCCAGCTTCTTGATATCCCTCCTGATGACGGCTTGCAGCTTCAGCATCAGCTGCTGCCTGGTTAATACTGACGTCTGCTTCCAACTGTCGAAGGCCTTTTTGGCGCTGTCCACAGCCGCCTGCATCTCATTTTGCGTGCTGTTCGGCACTTTAGTCACCAGGTTGTTGGTGGCCGGGTCGTGGAGGTCGACCCACGATGACGTTTTCGAGTCCACGAACTGGCCATCTATGAATAGCTTGGTGGTCGGCGCTACGTTCGAGTAGGACCGTCTTAATACTGATAAGGCGGGGCTGGCCTAGGAATAAAGGTTTTGTTTTGTTTAACATGTTCATGTGGGTCATCTAAGAAGCAAATCTTATTAAATATACCTTATTAATAAGTGTTGTTTAATATAAAAACGCTCGGGCAATATCTGGCAACAATGCTCAATTAGCCCCTCCCACATGACCAAAATAACCAAAACAAAATAATATCAATCCCTTCAAGATTTTAAATGTTTTGTATTACATATTTATAAAGCGTGTACTTAATGTTTATCAGAAAATCCATGACGACGTACGTTTAAATAAACAATTTCAAAAGTATTATGCAAATTTAGATTACCCTGGGTCAAATGTCGAACGTTTTCATAATGTTTTTACCAAAAGTGATTAAATCTTTAAAAATTAATTTACATTTTTGAAATTCATTGCTTTGTATTGTATGATAATTTGGTGATTTTAAAACCTATGCCCTAAAAATATTTGTTTAATACATCTTGATAAATGGGTACATAAATAAACGAAATAGTTGACTATTTAGATAAGAATTGTTATGATATTAATTTTTGTTTTTCTATGTAGGTATACATATATAATATTATAATAATAACGAATAATTTTTATGTATTATATAATACATAAAAATTATTTGTTCCTTACATAATTTGCCCACTGTGCAATTTTTAATAAAATAATTAACCCACTGTGCAAAACATATATTTTAAACACTTTTTTGCACACTTTAAGGCTTTATATTTTAAATTAAAATATAATCTTGCACATAAATAAACCATTTAAATAATTTTAATGTAAATTATCAAGGTCATTACCGAAACTAACCTATAAAAACATTTTTTAAATATCTAAAACTCTAAACTTACCGAAGACCTAAACATTTTCACTAATAAATCACTAAAGTCCCAACTTAACTCTAAACGTTCAACTGCACTTTTAATTTAATTAATTTATCAATTTAATCAAATTCAATTCCCCCCACTTCTATAGTTTATAAACTGTTATCATTAATTTACATAATTCTTTATACCCCTCGCTGTAACAGTTTACGCAACATTTATCACACAAAAGCAGTCAAGAGTTTTTAATATAAGTATTTATTTGGTTAGTTTATAGGTACGTTTTTTATCTCAAATTTATTTTTGTTTCAATGTCAACCACTTGTTCAATGCTTATTAATATTTATTTGTTTACACTGGCGCATTTTTCAGTAAAATTTGTAATAAAAGAATACTTATTTGGTTAGGTATCTACATTTAAGAAGTTTAATTATTGATTTTTGTTAAATTATAACCCTATGTAGGTGGGTTTAAATAAATCACAATAAATGCGTTATAAATATGTTTTATTTCTAGATTTACTACAATATTATCACATATTTACTATATTTAACGTTTTTTATTCCCTAAATACATTGTTTACTATAAATAATCTATAAATGTGATTAAAAAACACAAACTTTCGCAAAACCCCTCGTATTTCCCACGCATATTTGATCATTACGCAACACATCAACGCTTCGGTGCAATCTTGGTTGCGTCGATATGACATTTAAACCGAACTACCAACGTTACAGCGCGAAACTCCCTGCCTTTAAAAGTAACCAAAACGTCGAGCATGGCTTCAATTTTGAGGTCTTCTAAATTCGTACGGTATATCGCTGGTTTTGCGAAAAATGTGGTTGTCAACACGCCTCGGGAGTTCGACGGTACTTTAGTGAACACCACGCAATGTTTTTGCGGAGCTTTACCAAGGTATTTATGATGATATAATTTAATAAAATTGCCGGTAAAATGTGACTGCATTACGCAATATTAGGCCAGTGTAAATATTATACTAGGTTTTTATTTTTTTTAATTAAACTTTGACGAGACGTCGAAAATTTGAGGGTTTGGTTGCTAATGCCACAGATTATAAAGGTTAATGCTAATGTAACTAATAACTTTATTTTACTTTTTTGTTTTTAGAGCTTTGGCCACACAAGCTCAAGCCAGTGGACACCACGACCAAACCTTGGAGAAAAACTTGAGAAGAATTGATCAAGATGTAAGAAAAAGTGGAAGAATTTCACGTAGAGATATAGAAGATGTTTTAGAAGACATTCGAAATGCCAGAACAGCGACAAGTTCACAATCTCTGCTTGTTATCCGATGTTGTGGTAACTTGGTTCCTGAAGAGTTACCGGAAGTGAGAACAAAACTAGTCCAAGAAATATGGAACACATTGCACAAATTAAACGTCCCCATGGACGTTTCTCATTACAATGCTTTGCTGAGGGTGTATCTTGAAAATGAGTTTGAATTTTCGCCGACAGACTTTTTGAATAATCTTGAAAGTAAGGGGATTGAACCAAACAGAGTCACTTATCAAAGATTGATAGCTAGGTATTGTCAAGTTGGCAATATTGATGGTGCCACTAAGATTTTGGAGTACATGAGGGAGAAACAGTTGCCAGTGAACGAAAATGTTTTTAATGCCTTGATTGTGGGGCATTCACAAGCTGAGTAAGTACTTTTAAAATAGTTTTATATATAAAAAATACTTTATCAGTGTTTTATAGCAAACAATTGATTTGTTATGAACATTTTTTGATGTTAAATTAATATAATTGGAATAATTTAAATTCTTATTGGAAACAATTTACTAGGAATATAAATATTGATTTTGGTTTTTCCATAGTAATAATTCTACAATTTAATGAATAAATCTAAACAAAAAATCATTAAAATGTTTATAGTTATTAAATTCCATTACAAATTGAAATCAATTATTTTATTATATTTTTATGAAACAATGACTTACTTTAAAATTTCAGATTAATAATAAATACCTAAAGGTTAGATTATAAACTAAACCTAAAAATGTACAAAAATTTAAAAAAAACTGTTTTATTATAAAGCTTTTTTATTTTATTTTTAAAGGGTGATTAAACACAGTCAAATAGGTTATTAATGCCAAACACCTTAACAAAAGTTGGATAATAAGAGAGATAGATTGTTTTAGTTTTTTTTAAGATTTCATTTTCAAATAAATTATTTTATTATTATGTTAACTCCACTTACAAATATATGTATATATATTTTTTAAAATGGAAATAATTTTTACAGTATTTTGGACAAATGCTTCCTTGTTCTTGTTTGGTTTTATTGTTTCTAAAATGACTTTAGTAGATAATATTTGTCAGTAAAAAGATAAATACATTAACAGCATATTTTAGCATAAAATTCATATTTTGTTCGCACCTATAGTAATGTACTTTTCGTCGATTTTCAAACAATTTAAATACTTTAAAGAATATTGAACATAACCTAGAAACAGATGATGGATTAATTCGTAATTCTTGACAAATCTGTTATAACATCGTGACGTCACGATCTCTCTTCAAGGCAGGGTTCGACCGATCTATAACATGATATTTATCACGATATATCGATATTTATAAGCAATGATGTTTATAAAACTGTTACAATTAGATATTTAACAGCTTTTTTCAAATTTGATCTATTATAACATTTTAAAAAAGTATACATAATATATTATAATTTTCTTAATAGATACCTTTAATTTAGAGTCTTTATTTCCATTCTACGAATTTAATAAATATATTTAGATTTTATTAAACACAAAATTTACAGTTAATAACTTAAAAATTATCGTTTTATTGTGTTAGTTTTATATTCTTAATCTATGGCTGTGTTAAAATTGTCGTGGTAAAAGTAATAAAAATAAAATGCCAAAGAAAAAAAATAATTTATATTTTTTGAAATAAAAATTTAATGTTATAATTTTTTTGTTAAGAATTTATGTTTTGTTTTTTAAGTGTTTTGTTTACTTTTTTAAATAATTTTATTAAAAATATTTTTGTTCTCGCTAATATAATTAATTTTTGACCAAAACCTTAAAAGAAATAAATAAAAAAAAAAATATCAAGATTTTTATATATATCGGATATATATCCGATATTTTGATATTGATATAAATATCATATTTTCGAATCCTGCTTCAAGGTCATCTAAACGTTTTGAATCTTGCGGTTTTTAAAACGCTGTAGCGTTCTCAAAAATTGTTTAAATAACGTAGGAAGAAAATTAGTTGGGCAGTATTTTATTTTGGATTAAATGTGTGTTTTTATGATTTTATTTGACAATATTTTTACAAAATATATTTATTTGGTTTATTTTTGTTCAAAATTTAGTTTCTTTAATATTCTATAACTAATTTAGTTATATTAAGCCCCTAGCATTGCATTTTGTACAACTTAACCAAAAAAACGGAAAACAAACAATAATTGTTTTTCTAGCGACATGGAATCAGCCTACGGGATCCTTTCGGTAATGACTCAAGCAGGCTTGGAACCTAGCGCGGACACTTACACCACCCTACTATGCGGCTACGCGAAAAAAGGCAGTATGTCCGACATAACCAAAATCTTCGACGAATGCGAATTGAAGGAAGTGTTCCTATTGGACAAGGACTACCTCGACATAATATACAGCCTGGCCGTGAACGGACATGCGCAGCACGTACCGGAGATCTTAAATAAAGTTCGCAGAGCCATCGGTTACAATCAAGACGCCATCAACTTGATTTTGAGGTTAGTCATCAAAGGGCAAGACGAGGCGGCGTTCTTGGTGCTGAAGTCGATGACAAGGGGCTCTAGATCCGACGGTACCCCCTCTCCAACGGGTCATTTCTTCGTAAAACAACTAATAAAAGCCAACAGACCGTTCGAAACCGTTTTATCCCTCTGCAGAAAACTCGAAGCTGAAGACATGTACGACAGAGCGCTTCTGTTGGCAGCTGAAACCAGCTTGGAGCTGGGCAACGACAAACTGGCCTATCCTCTGCTGGAAGAGCTGCAAAAAGGCGGCACGGAGGTCAGAACGCACTACTTTTGGCCGCTGATAATGTCGAAAAACAACGACAAAGATATCGTCGACGTTCTCAACAAAATGAGGGATTTCAACGTCACCCCGAACAGCGAAACCATCAGGGATTACGTCATACCGAAGCTGAAGGGCAAGAGCACCGATATATTGGCAACACTGCGCGACGCAAACGTGTCCTTGGGTTCGTCTGCTTGCAGCTTGGTGCTGTCATTGTTGCAAAGGTAAGACTTTGTTTTATTTAATAATATATTAAACAAATAGTAGAACTATGTAATGTAATATATTAAAATACTAAATACCCTTTGACATAAGGTGTAACCAAAAAATATTTTCCCAAAGATAAAGAAAAAATATGCATTAGAAGTATATAAAAATACAAATGTTTTGTGCACTTAAAGCTCTATTTATTTACTAATCCAGCTATTAGCTTAAGCAATGATTAGAAAGTTTGGTATCTATTTTAAAAACTTCGGTTTTTTCTTTCTGTTTACTCAGATAAAATTAGGACAAGTTCACAGCTATTAGCTTAAGCAATGATTAGAAAGTTTGGTATCTATTTTAAAAACTTCGGTTTTTTCTTTCTGTTTACTCAGATAAAATTAGGACAAGTTCACAGGTTAAACTTTAAACATTCAATTTGTGTAAATAAATCTTAGTTGAGATATTTACAATTTGGGCCCATAACCTAAAATTTGACAGAAATTCACTAGATTATGTCATAAAAGTTGCCAGATTGTTTGAATTTGAACATTTTTAGGAACGAAATTGCCGAGGCAGCGGTCATAGCGGGCAGGGTTGCCGCCTACTACAACCCGGAGTTTATAAAGCGCCCTCTAACGGTGGCCTTTTACCGCACCAAGGACATCGAAAACTACATCACTCTATTGAGGGTGGTCTACGATAATTTGGAGAGGAAACAGCAGATGGAGGGCGATCAGGTGCCGCACGATAAAGACGAAGTGGTCGGCGAATTTTTGATCGATTTGGCGAACAACAAGAGCGCTTTTCAGGAAAACATCGAACGTGAGTTTTTTTTTTGTTTTTATGCCCTATTGTGCGATTTTTGTTCCTTGAATTTTACGAATGAGTGGCTCAGTGTGCGTAAAATTTTTCACACGCATGAGCCAGTGTGCGAGAGCTTTTTCATTGGGTTTTATGAAAGGAAAAATGTGTTATTTAAGTTTTAAAAAATTACATTTTTATTTTTAAGACTGAACCATTGTGCGAAGATTTTTTATTTATTATTTATTATCTCATTGTGCTGTAAACACCATTTTGGCAATTGCGGCTTTTTTTAACGAATAATTTATTATGCTGCGGAATTTTTATTAACGTTATTTTTGCGTTTTCCGTTTGCCAGCTAGAGGAAAATTTTCCGTTTTCGGAAATTTTCAATACAAAAAGGAAAAAGGGAAACATTCTTGTTTTTATCTCTCAAAAAATCGTTTTTAAAGCAATTCCATTAAAACTAATTGTTTTAATAGTTTAAAACATTCAAGTGTAGGAAAAAAGTTGATTTAAAGTTAGGATTTAAAACTGGCGAAAAAAAGGAAAAATTGGAATTTTTTTCGAAAAATTGACTTTTGCAATTATTTTCATATTATTTAAAGGGTAATTCGATAAAATGCAAAAGTCAATTTCTCTAAAAATTTACAAATTTTTACGGATAGGTACTTTCTGACAGACAATCAGTGTACAGAAAGTTTCTGTACACTGATTTCGAGAAAAAAGTGAATTTTCAACGCTGAGTATAATCATAATATTATGATTATAATAATTATTCATTTTATTTTAATACAGTTAAAATATTCTACCGGGTCGCAAAAAAACATATTCGGTGTTTTATTAACATAACTTTCGTTTTATTTGACACATTGATTAATAAATTTACAATTTTGTAATTTAACTTTATAAATCATTCATTATTTTGTAATTTAAAAAAAGACCCAACGTTTACATTTTTTTGTCTGAAATTAACTTAATTCAATGTTTAGTTTTTTTCTGTAAGGATTTTTTTAAATTAAAATAATAAGTTGTTGATTGCCACGTTTTAAAAATGTGAATATCTTCAAAAAAAAAATAATTTTTCTACACTTTAAACCCCTACTTAAAGGTTGGTAACACTGAGTAATGAAAGTTTTTAATTTTGAAATTATTTGACCCATTGTGCTCTGAATGATGGAGCCTACACAAGGGGGGAAATGATAGAATCGCATAATTTCCGTGTTCTTTTTTTTACCACTGGCGGCGCTGTTTTCCCTTTTGTACCGACTTCTGCTGTTTCGGTACAAACCAAACAACAAACGACACCAGCGTCCTCTTGTTTTAGGAAACCGTTTGTACACATGGAGTTCGGACTCCTTGTATAGACTCCATGGATGTTTAGTGGAATTTTTGCTATATCGATGTTTCAAGGTTGAATAAAAATAATAAAATTGTTTCAACTTTTGATTGATTCTGCGTGCGCTGAATGATTTATTGTGTGATTGTTGTGCGAGAAAAAGTGAACTCTGGCACCTAAAATGCCAGAGTTATGTACATACAGGGTGTTTCAACAGTCAAGGACGCTAGAGCACGCCTGTGATTGGTTACTTTTTTTTTATTTATAACTAATTAATGGTGCGTCTGATCAAAAAACGGCAAAGACTATTCGACTAAGAATCCCAACCTCTATCCACCCCTTGACAGTTGAGACACCCTGTATAACCTTGAAAAATGACTGAAACGTAAGTGTTACACTTCTTATCACTTAACTTTACATAAAAACTGAAAGACAAACGTTTTTTCGCGGGTTTAGGTGTTTTGGGAGAGGTCGTGAAACAAGGCCTGAGCATTTCCTCGAGCTCTGCTCAAAAAATTGAGGAAAAACTGGGCGAAAAGATGACCGAAGCCATCTCCGACCTCCTGGGCAAACTTACATCTGGCGATTTAACCCCGATACCGGTGGAAAGAAAAGCGCCCACCTACACGCCGTCGCACCAGATGAACCCGGCGCAGCTGGAGAGGCTCATCGCCAACTTGGAGGCGAAAAAGCAGGAGACGTTGGGGTTAAAGAGGCAGCTGCTGATGCTCTACTATAGAAGCAAAGATTTGGAGAAAACCGAGGCTCTTATTAAGAGTCTATCGGGCGAGGAGAAGTTTGTTTTCTCCAGCGGAGTGTACGCGCAGCTGATGGACATATACGCCTCCCACGATAAAGCCGATGAAGCTATGGAGTACTTCCGTAAACTCGGGGAGATGGAGAGCGAGAACTTTAAGATTGACGAGTTGAAGGTGGTCAGATTGGCTCAGGCTTTGGTGAAGAATGGTAGGTTAGATGAAGCCATTGGTATTCTGGAGAATACGGCTACGGATAAAAAAAATGAAGAGCACGGTTTTCCTTTCACGTCTTGTATGTGGAGGATGTTGAACTCGTTGGCCGAAGCGGGGAAAACGGAGGATTTGGATCGGTTGTTCGATGTGCTGGTGAAAAAGGAGTACATGGAACCCAACAATATACTTCTAGGACCTCTAATCAAAGTGCACATAGTCAATAACGATATTGACAAAGCTTTGGAGAAGTTCGAGTGGTGCGTGAACCAATTCAAAGCTACCCCGTGGAAGAACGAGTTAGCATGCAAACTAATAAACTCAGAGGACGCAGAAAAACTCCAAAAACTCACAGACCTGAGCACGTCGGTGCACGGGGAGATAAACAGTCTGTACGATTTGGTGTTCGCTTTCGTGGAATGCGGTAGAGTGAGGCAGGCGAGGAAGATTCTGGAGACGCCCGGGCTTCAAAGCAGGCACCAAAGAATCAACACGGCCTGCGAGAGGTACAGAAACGAGGGGATGTTGACGCCTCTGGAAGGTCTGCGCGACGCCACCAAAGACCTGAACCACATCGACAGATCCGACATATACTACCAGCTGCTGCTGAGCTACATCAAGACGGACGAGCCGGAGAAGGCGCTGGGTCTGTGGACGCAGATGCAGGAGGAGGATCTGCCCCCGTCCGAGCAGTTTTTGAGGACGTTGGGCGGCTTCCTCAAGAGGAAAAACCTGCAGGTGCCGTTCGCGGTTCCCGCGGGCAGGGAGCAGTCGAGGCAGAGGAAACCTCAGGCGCAGGCGGCGCCGGTAGCCGCCAGGGAAGTGACGAAGACGCCGCAGCAAATTTTGCGGCAGAAGTTGAAGGTGGGCGAGATAGACGGCGCGCTGGATATCTACAAGAGGAGCGCGGATAAATTCGCCATCGCCGACGTCTCGAGTTTGATCGAGAAGTTGACGCAGAACGACAGGGTGACGGACGCCAAAAACATCACGTTGGAATTGTTGGACAAAGGTAAGATATTCGTTATTCTTTCGCACAAAAGTACGATTTTATTCGCTACTACAACTAAAATTCCATATAAGCGATTATCAACCTTTCAACTCCAATTAATTGAACACTGTTAATTTTACGACACGGAATTGTTTTCACAGTCGATCAAATCTGTCAAACTTACCTTGAGAACTTTACTATTCAATCTAATTTCTCGCTAAAACAATTCAACGAATGAATTTGTGGTTATGTTTTTTCATTTAATCTGAAGCGCAACTACGAACGCCATCTATTCAAATTAATTCAAAGTTGTACGAATTTCGATGTTTCGGCTGTTCCTTTCGGTTTTTCCTAATGTATTTTTTATTTAAATCACCTCTGTATTGAGGCGAACAAAACGAAAAACAATATTTTAATCCGTGGGGTCATTTCCGAGTTTAATAGTTATTTAATTTGAAGCGCAGCTGCGAACGCCATCTATTCAAATTTGTACGAATTTCGATTTTTCTGCTGTTCCTTTCGGTTTTTCCAAATGTATTTTTTATTTAAATTACCCCTGTATTAAGACAAACAAAAATTTTTTTAAATCGGTTGAGCCATTTCCGAGTTTTTGCAGGACTAACGCACGGCGATTCATTTATATATATATATATTTATACAAAATACAAGGCCTACTATGTCAGTTTTTAAGAGTAAATTTTTAAGAATTCATATTAGCGATTTTTTTAAACAAAATATAAACACGGCACTGGATTCACAACCCCTCAAAACTATCTTATACTAAATTTTATTGAAAAATTTTAAGAAAAAAAATTTATTTTGTCAAGTTATCCATGAAAAAAACATTGAAATAAAATTAAACTAATATTAACATGGTACTATTACTATAAGTTAAATTTTATTTCAACGTTTTTTCATGGATAACTTGACAAAATAAATTTTTGTAGTTATTATTCTGCATTTTTTAAAACTTTTTAATAAAATTTAGTTTAGGGTAGTTTTGAGGGGTGGTGAATCCAGTGCCGTGCTTAGATTTTGTTTAAAAAAATTGCTAATATGAACTCTTAAAAATTTACTCTTAAAAATTGACATAGTAGGCCTTGTATTTTGTAAAAATATGGCGTTTTTTGCTTCAAAAATACAGTTTATCAAGATCTACAGTTTAAAAGTATATATAGATATATAGATTAAACAAGTTGAATTTTTACTACAGGAAGGTTTTGTATTTTTTTACAAATGGTGATGGTGCATTTTTAACAGGGCTCCCACATCTCCTAAAGCTCATAAAATTCCTAAAATTTGAATTAAATCTTGAAAACTCCTAAAATTGCCATTAATCTCTTAAAACTTCGTTTAATTAACGTGCTAAAATATTTCTTTTTTTTAAATTCTTAATTAAATTCTTTTCAAAATGAAATATCAGAAGCTACATTTTTCCTAAAAAACAACAAAATATACCTAAAAAACAAAATCCATGTAGTAGCTCCTAGACTTCTACAAAAATGTAAATTTTAGCCATATTTCGTTAATTTTTGACAAAAATAATATTTTTTAAACTATACCGTGTTATATATCATACAAAAGGATTTTTAATTTTTTTAAAATAATCTAAAGAATGTTTTGCTGTATAATGCAAACTTTATATTTCTTCTATTATGAGATTTTTGAGTATCAAGATCCACATTACAATTATTGTTAGTTATTAACAACGGTTAACATTTTTTTCTCAAAATATAAATTTAACATCATTTGACTTTGGCCCTTATTTTTATCTAATTCTATCGACGCGTTTTTTTAAATAACTATTTTTTTTATGATTTTACTCATCTAGGCACCACCAAAGCCAAATTAATTGCATTTTTAACTAGGAATTTTGACAACTCAACTTGACAAACGTTTAATGTAACCTACAATAATGTAAACATAACCTCAATTACATTTATAACTAGTTTCCAATTTACTGAAATAATATGATCGAATAAAATCGTACTTGAAAAAATTGCAATTTCACATTATCGTGCTTGTTGGGGAAAAATGTGCAACTCTTTTAGGAAGCATACCCGTAAACAGAGTGTTCAGATTCCTCCTGAACAAGTTGGCAGCAGCCGGCGATTTGGAAACCTTAAACCTGATCGGCACGAAAATAAGTCAGGAAGCGAAACGTTTGGTTTCCTTCGACAACAGAATTTGCCACGCGAACCTAGTAGCTGGCAAAGCGGAGGAGTACTTGCAGCATTTGGAAAAGGAAATCGACAATGCCTCGGAAAAAGATGTCGCCTCCATTAGCGAGAAGTTCCCGAGAGGGGGCGCTTACGGCATTTTGGAAAGGAACCCCGAACTCATCGAAAAATGTAAGTAAATGTTGTATATTTTCACTTTTTAGAATATATAATTTTTTATAATTTTAATTACATATGTCTGACATACACTGAAAAAAAAAATTCTTGTATCAAATAAATTTATTTGATTCAAAACAATATTTGTCTCATATATAACAAAGAGAATATATTCTTTAAAATGGTATTTTCTTAATTCAAGTTGATTTACTTTAAGAATCTTTTCTTAATGTAAGAAAATTAAATTTCTTTAAATAAAACTTTGTTTGTTTAAAAGCAAGAATATATATGTATATTTTTTTAAATAAGGCAGGAATATTTACTTAATTCAAGAAAATGTATTTTCTTTAACCAAATAATTGGTTGTTTTAAAGCAAGAATGTTTTTTTTTAAATAAGTTAGTGGTATTCTTAATTAAAAAAGATACTTACTTAATTCAAGAATAAATTTTCTTAAAACAAAAACATGTGATATTGAAATAAGGCAATAATTTTCTTAAATCAAGATGTTTTCTATAACCCAATATTTTTTTTTATTAATAGATTCAGATTTAAAATTTTATTTCATTGATTACAAAATAATATTTATGTTTCAAAAAATCTATCATTTTGTATTTAAAGTAGATAAATATACTAAAAATTATTTATTTTATTATAATAAAAACATCTTTATATTTAGGAATATTACTGCAAAAGAAATAAAATTTAAAATAAAAATACGTCTAAACACTTGAAGGGGACTGGAGTAATTTTAAATAGGTATCCTGTAATTTTTTAAGGATTTTTGTCTAATATTAAACAAAACTTTATATTTAAATACTTACGGATTATTCAAAATTGAGCCAAACTTACTGAAGTGCCAAAGAATACGTTGTATCGTTTATAGGTGGTGCAGTAAGCAAAAAAATTTAGGTTAGAAAATAAAGAAATAAACGTTGAACAAACACATTTATTTTGTTTTTAATACAAGAAAAATCTAAAATGTATACACTATTATAAATTAACGTATGGAACTTAATCATTATTATCGACATATTTTTCTTTTTAAATAATTTGTAATATTTTAGGCATAGTAGAAAATCAATTACCAATTTTATAAAATAATTTAAGGCTATTGCCAATGAACTCCACCCTATATGAATCAAAATTAATGTTATACCCCAAAGTGTGTAGCAAAATTACTTCTAAAACAAAATCTTTTTAAATGTCATAAAATAAATTAAGTTTATTAACTTAAAATTATAGAGCCATGCAAATCAAAGTGTTAAACATATAAGATATTTTGGTTATCACTGCAAAGCCTATTTATTTATTAATAAAATAATTTTAATGTATATTAGTAAATATTTAAACAATAAACCTACCTACCTACACGTAAATGCGACGCTAAATTTAAAAAAGGCTGGTATATTAATAACAACTTACTTACCTTCAACTTTTTTTATTATTTCCTTCGATGCTGACCACTATTCTAATAATTTTTTAATGAAATACCCCCTTTCCCTCACAAAGAGAAAGAAACATTGCATGATTGGGCATAAAATTTCAGAGGAACGTGTCAGCATCTCCACTCCTACACGATTTCAAAAATATGTATTCTTGGCAAAAGAAAATACTGTTTATTAAAACGAATAAACAATTTAAGAATATCTAATTCTTAATATAAAAAATTAAACAAAAAAAAAAATAAGAATATCTTATTCTTGGTATAAAAAATATTAACAAGAAACCAACTAATATTTCCTTCAAGAATACTTAATATTTGGATTGAAACATGCAACTTTTTAAAACAAGAAATGTTTCCGAATATTAGAATATTTCCAAAACTACAAAATTCTTTTTTTAAAGAAGTTACAAATTTTTAGTTGAAATATATATTCTTATTTTAAAGCAAATTGACTTGAATTAAAAAAATATTTTCAAGTTGATAGGTATTCTAAATATAAGAAATCTTTTTTTCAGTGTAATAATAATTAAATAAAATTATGTCAAGCATAAATTTAATTCAAATTTAATGGAAACAGGTAAAAAATAGCAAATTATTATTATGTCTAGGCATAATAATAGTTATATTTTACCTGATGAATATTTAACTTAATATTTTTTATCTGATTAAAAAGTTAAACAGCATACCATAATCATAGGTGTTTTTATAATTTTTTTACCATAACTTTTTTAATTTCAATTTTATCGTTTGAAATGGGTTAAACTTTCATTGATAAATTTTCTTCCAGATGAAACCGTAGCTATAAAATACGCGAAAAAAAACATTGTAGCGCCTTTGAATGTTCTGTGGACGCACTATTTCATTCAAGGAAACTTTGATAAAGCCTCCCAAGTTTGGAGGGATTTCCTTCAAAATTCTCCTAGGATAATGTTCCAGAGGATAGTGCAAACGGCTAGGGAAAAGCAGGACGAAGACCTAACCAAAAAATTAATAGAGCACTTAAAAATCAGTAATGTTACCGAAGGGGCTATCGGTAATGCGTACAGTTGCCTTTTGGATATTTTGCATCAAAAAAACAAGGAGGATGAATTAGTTAATGCGTTTGAAGCGGCCATCAAAGATATTAAGATTGAGAGTTTAAATAGGTCAGTAATACCCAAGTTTTATTAACTTTCTGGCAAAAATTCTTTAATTTATATTTTTTAGGACGGCCATATTTAGAGTTAAGGAAGTTTATGACAAGTTAGGTAAACCTTTCAACCACACTATTCCCCCAAAAGTAACCAAGACGGGAACAATCGATTCCAGTTCCTCATCATCAGATGATAAAGCTAAAAAAGTGAATAAATAGTTTGTATAGTTTTCGTTTTATTTACTTCAAATCATCACCCAAAGATTCATTATTTTATCTCATTTATTATTCCTATTACTAATTACTTAATGTTGTTTTTCATCTATTGTAGAATGTTATTTTATAAGTATATTATTTACTTAAGTTGAATAAATTTGTTTTTTATGAAAAATAAAGAAATGTTTTACTCTTAATATAATTTAATAAAATAAAAATATCTACAAGTATGTACAAATTATTATAGCTACGAAATTTTCTACCTATATTTTTTCATTAGCATCAATAGTCGTTCGTAGAGCAAGTTTTTTGCGTCTATACCCCACATAAAGTCCATGTGATTAAAGTTTTTGTAGGGTATTGGGATTTCCACGGCGTTTGGTAGTTTTTTGGCCAAATATTTGATGTCCTATAACAAAAAAAATCTGGTAACATAAATATTTTCCCTACATTCATGGGACCCAACAAAACAGTACTGTAATATGTATAAATTTATACATTTTAATAGTATACAGGATGTTCATTTACGCCACTGATCGACTAGGAAATTTAGGCTAATCTGGTTGCCTAATTTTATTTATTTTGTTATGGTTGGTAACAACCTGCGTTTCCATATTCTGTCAAAAAAAGTTGCCAGATTTTGTTTAAATTTAGTTTAATTACAAAAATGACAAAATCAACAATGAAAATTGTTAATTTGGCGTTTTTATTAATTGTTTATTATGTCATTTTTGTAATGAAGGTAAATTCAAACAAAATTTGGCAACTTTTATGACAGAAGACAATTCCATATTACTAAATTCTACTAAATACATACCGATTCGGTAACAAAATTATCCCCTGTCCCATAGAGAAGCAAAACTGGGTGGGACACCTTAGATATATTATAAGACGGAGGTATGGTATTATTGTATTGGTTTAAATTTAAGGTACTGTTGCCATAATCCAGGGAGGCGAATTTTCCTACAACAATTCACAAAATTAAACAAAGTTGTCAAATCACAGACGGCGCTTTTACCTGACACATAAAGTTGTATGGTATGCAACGCTAAATACATCGACGTCCCTGAGGGGTAGTAGTTAAGTAAAGTTGGGATTGAAGACTAAAATGTTAATTTTATTTTCATTTGAACAGTTTTCAGTCAAACGGAACCTACCGTATTGAATTGCGGGTAATCGGCACCCACCATTAAAAAAATGGCGGCAACGCACAGAGGTTGAGTCGGCATACCATCCTTACAAATCATTTCCATCATGTTCGAAAAATATTTCCTCCTCGGAAAAATACCATGGATTTTTTCTTGCCGCAGAACGCTCTAAAATAAAACTGTATAAATTAGTTTTTAACTGTTTTCAAGAAGGCGTTTATTTTACAGCCAAAAGTCAATATTCTAGACTTTTGAATGTAATTTTTCAGATTGGAAATGACACGCAACCCATATTACACTTTGTGTGTACACCGGTTGCCTACATTCATCAGTTAACTTACGCTTAAAAAAGTCATCGGCGAAAACACGAGCTTGTGCGTAAACGATATGGGGTGGTTTGCGTATACCAGGGGCGCCAACGCGAGGTGGGCTTTGATTTTTGCGTTGTATTCCGGTCTCATTGCGCATAGCATCAGACCCACCGTCGAACCTACAGAGTGTCCCAAAAAATAGAGGCTCTGCTGTTTGGCGATCGTGAGCACGTAGTCGATTATTTCTGGTAGATCGTATTTTGCCACTTCTTCAAGACTAAACATTTATTTAGTTTATTAAAAAATAATTATTATTAAATACAGCGTGTTATGTAATTAATGTAATATCTTTTTTAATTCTAAAGACTAAAAATAATTTATAATAACATTTGTCCTACCAAACAGGAACTTTAGGCTAATCTGGTTGCCTAATTTAATTTATTATGTTATGGTTGGTAACAACCAGCCTTTCCAGATTCTGGTAAAAAAGTTGCCAAATTTTGTTTATATTTATCTTAATTAATTGTTTTAATAGTTTATTATGTCAAACAAAATCTGGCAACTTTTATGACATAATCTAGAGCATTACTTTCAAATTTTAGGTTATGGGCCCAAATTGTAAATATCTCAACTAAGGGAAGTGCTTTTGGATTTATTTACACAAATTGAATGTTTTATCTTTGGGAATTTTTTTTTTTAATATTTTTCCGTTACACCTTATGTCAAAAGGTATTCAGTATTTTAATATATTACATTAATTACATAACACCCTGTATTTCTCACCCAAAATTCCAATATTGTTCATCCCGCTTTGAATCATATTTAACATGTTTATTAGAATAGATGTTCCCCCTCATATTACTCAACCAAACATCATACCCAGCGTTTGACAAAATGTACGCTAAAAAATGCAAATAAAAAAATTCAAATCGCAAACAATATTTTTTTCTTACGTAAATCGGCGTCCTCCCCTCTAAACAACCACGAGTCCGACGCGGCTAGAAGGCCGTGCTGAAACAACGCCACAGGCCTTCTTTGATTGTTTCCGAGAGGGATTTTTTCTTTGGCGTGCGGTATCCTGTGCAATGTTAAGATGTGGCCGGTTTTTGACGTAACGTCGTGACTTTCAAAACGAAAACCTTGGGATTCCACCAAGATTTGCTAGAAAAAATTATACAGAAATTTTTTTATGACATTTTTGACAGTTGCACCTGAGACTGGCAATTTTGACATTGATTTTTGACTATTAAAATTCTGTGATTTTTTATATTTTAATTTTTTTTTGTAAACTGGAGGAAAACAAACAATTAACAAAAACTATAAATATTTTTGTATTTTTAAAAAGCTTTAACAAAATGTACTAAATAAATCAATAAAATGAACATAATTGTTGTATCTCTTAATGCAAAAAAGTTACAATGTAGCGTCCAAAAGTTTTGGACATGGCGTACAAAAAAAATAACGTACATACATGGCGTACAAAAAAAATAACGCTTGTTATATTAAATCTCGCATAAGTTTTTATCTCCTATTGCAACAAAGAATTTCACAAATTGGCGCCCGACAGGTTTAAATTCTTTAAAACCCCTGTATCTTCTACAATTTTTAGTTGATTTTAACAAAATTTACATAGCATTCTAAAAATAACGCTCTTTTTATTACATCAAGCTTAATTTTTTATCTCGTATTGCAACAAAAAAATTTCACAAATTGGCGCCCGACAGGTTTCAATTTTTTAAACCCCCTGTATCTTCTACAATTTTTCGCCGATTTTAACAAAATTTACGAAGTATATTAAAAAAAGTTCGCTCTTTTTAATAAAACAAACATCATTTTCCCAACTCTTAATGCAAGAAAGTTACAAGTCCATTTATCCGTCAACACACAAAATTTGGCTGTCGGATTATTTTGACTGCTCAAAAGTACCGTAGCGTTGGCTAATGAAATTGAAATATCTGAAATATTTGGTTGATGACTGTTGTAACGCACTACTTTCACGGCGCTTCCACCGCACACACACACGGTCCCGATCGAGAACCGTGCGGCTGGCAATCGTCATTGTCAAGTTCAAGGATAGGTGAAATTTCAATCGTTTTATTGATTTTATTTAATTATACATAAAGTAAAGCGATTGGTAAATACACTGCACAACAAAAAAATAGTTTTTTGAAATCAATTTTTTTTAAATGCACAACAATTTTAATTGTCATATATTTTTGATTGACGTTTAATTGACAGTTAACCTTGATTTAGTTTTTTTAGTTTCAATTTTTTTTAGGTTCGATTTTTTATGAACATTGTTTTGGAAGTCGAATAGTTTTTTAATATTAGTATTTAGATTTTAACAAAATTCACATAGCATACAAAAAAAACGCAATTTTTATTAAATTAAAATATTTCACAAATTGGCGCCCAACAGGTTTTGATTTTTGAAAACCTCTGTATCTTCTACAATTTTTATTTGATTTTAACAAAATTCACAGAGCATACTAAAAAAATAACGCTCTTTTTATTAAATCAAGCATACGATTTTTATCTTTAATTACAACAACAAAATTTCACAATTTGGCGCCCAACAGGTTTCAATTTTTTAAAACCCCTGTATCTTCTAAAATTTTTAGTCGATTTTAACAACATTCACAGAGCATACAAAAAAATGCTATTTTTATTTAATTAAAATATTTCACAAATTGGCGCCCAACAGGTTTTAATTTTTAAAACCTCTGTATCTTCTACAATTTTTATTCGATTTTAACAAAATTCACAGAGCATACTAAAAAAATAACGGTCTTTTTATTAAATCAAGCATAAGTTTTTTATCTTTAATTACAGCAACAAAATTTCACAATTTGGCGCCCAACAGGTTTCAATTTTTTAAAACCCCTGTATCTTTTAAAATTTTTAGTCGATTTTAACAACATTCACAGACCATACAAAAAAACGCTATTTTTATTAGATGAATTATGATTTTTTGATCTCCTATTGCAACAAAAAAAAAATTCACAAATTGGCGCCCACAGGTTTCAATTTTGAAAACCCCTGTATCTTCTAAAATTCACAGAGCCCACTAAAAAATAACGCTCTTTTTATTAAATCAAGCATAATTTGTTTATCTCCTATTGCAACAAAAATATTTCACAATTTGGCGCCCAACAGGTTTCAATTTTTGAAAACCTTGTATCTTCTACAATTTTTGGTCGATTTTAACAAAATTTAGAAAGGATCTTAACCCCCAAATTTTTCACGTCAAATTCCGAATAAAGAAAAATAAACCGTAAATCTTGACACAGGCTTTTTCAGTGCTATTTTTTATTTGATTGCATTGAAATAAACTAGATAAATAAAGCTACAAAATTTCGTAAATTTTATTAAAATCGGACAAAAATAATTTGTATTAGTATTGTTTTCGAAAGTGCAATTTTTATTTTATTGAGTATATTTATGTTTATAATTTATTTTTTTTGTTTAAGTTGTTGGCCACCCTGTGGCAAAATGTTTGATGACCAGTGTAATTACTGACACCAAAAATGTTGTGTTGTGTTTATTATTGAAGCGACAGATGTCACCAGCAGTTCTTTTTCTATCCTTTGTATTTTATTAATTATAATTAATTGATCAGCTGACACGAATGTTTTCTAATATTGTTCCCATCGGAAATCGCGGCGATTAAAATTTTTTAAGGGATTATTATTGTAACCTTAATAATAATGGAAAGTTAAAATCACGGTAATTTACATTCCTCGAAAACGAACAGGATGTTTTTAAACAACTTCAGAATAAGAAGAATAAAGTGAGTCAGAAACAAATAAAGCATTTTTTAATAATCGTGCTAAAAAGTGAAACTAAAGTAACGAAATAAGTTATACATATTATCTAACTAAATAGTATTTAAAATTGGTATTTTGCTTCCCATATTTAAAATTGGGTAATTTTTAATTGCATTTTTTCAATAGGCAGAGAAAATTTGTACGTAAAAAACAATAATAAATCATTGCTTTAACCACTTACTAAACTTAACTATTTTTTACTATTTACTTTAGTAAAGTATATTTAGATAATTCTAGAGAAAACAAATAAGGTACTTGCAGTTATATTAATTAATATTATATATCTTTATTTCTTAAACAAGATAAATTAACATAATTGAAATATTAACCATGTCAGGGTAAATATACAATTAGGTATAAGAAAACTAAATATTTACTATTAAAGAATAATACGAATACCAATTTTTTGTTAAAAATATTAAACAAATTAAAATAAACTATTTTTCTTTTTTTTCTTGAAAATTAAACAAAATAGTTCTATTTTTAATTTCTTAATCTAAAAATAATGTTAAACTTATAAAAAAACAGTATTTTATTTTTAAACCAAGGATTTTTTGAATGTTTTGTAAACATCAAAAAATTTGACAACTGTATCTTGAAAACGAAACTTTACTACAAGTTCATAGAAACCTTTTTCTTATTTTTGCCAGTTCTATTTACGAAATTTTCCCGATTAAAATATTTTGGTTTTTTTTTCATAACATTTCAAAAAGCAATATTAAACGAACCAAAATATTAATGTGGGGTACCACAAGGACCTGCCCTAGAACCACTTAAATATGTATAACCCATATATGACTGAGTATTTTATTAATTCAACCACATTTTCAAACAATTTATAAACTATAATTTAATGTAAAACCAACAATAAATTTAATTTGAAACTGTATAAACAATTGTTTATACAGTTTTAGCATAATTATTGTGAAAAAGAGCGTAACACCATTATTAGGATTATACTAGGTACTCCAGTAATTTGTTTGATGTAAAAATTAATGAACTCACCTGCTCTTATGAGATAAATAAATACTAAATTATATTATAATATATACAGGGTGATTTAACTTGAAACTGAAATATCTCAGTTATTATGCATTTTAAGAAAAAATGTTTGAAATAAAAATTATATGATTCGAGGAGGGAAATCAATCAGTACTAAAATACTCTCCTCCTTATAGGGGGAACAGGGGGTAACATTTAAACCAATGGAACACCCTATAAAATGCATACTAACAGATATTTCAAACTTTCATAATAAATCTACTTACTGCTGGGGTGACTTCGTAATGTTTGGGCCGGACAGAACCGTGCTGGGTCAGCTTGGGCCCAAACACGAACTCCAAGACGCTAAAGGCACCGCTGGCACCAACAAAACAAGCAACCAACAAAAAACCGCACACTACTATTGTTGACATGTCGGCCAGTCAAATTCGGGTCATCGAGTCGAAGAAGAAGAGGTTTTAGATGTCTCGCGTGCTCGAGTATTGTAATCGAACATTTTATTTAGTTGTCAATGTGTTATGATCGTCATAACGGCGCGGACGAGATTAAGACGCGCTGGCTAGTGCATCAGGAGTTATTTAATGGTTTTTCGAAGAGAGTGGGTGGGGATAGAATTTCATTAAACCATGAGCCTGAGAATATTTTAACCATGGTTTAAGCAATTATAATACCATGATACCATTTTTATGGAAATTTCAAAAAACAATTTGTTTAGCACATTTTTAAATTAATTAAATAAAAAAACAAAATACAGGGTGTTTCTTTTAACTTGAGACAGCTCAATATCTCGAGAAATACGCATTTCACGGAAAAATGTCTTAAATAAAAGGTTAATGAGACCAAAGGGGACATTATTTGGTGCTACCGCTAGCCACCCCCTACCCCTCCTTAAGGGTGAAACGGGGGTAACTTTGGAAAGTCAAATGGAATGACCCGATTTTTTTCATAGAGTTTGGTAGTACATAAAAAAATAAATAACTTTTATTTAAAACTTTTTTCAATTTATCAACAGATGGCGCTGTAATTCAAAATTTAAGAAAAATGAGTTTCCTTGTAAAATGTATTATTTGAAACGTTTGAAAAACAAAAATTAACATTAACAACAATAGTCGGCTATGAAAACAATTTATAACAAATGTTCGAAATGTCGTCATTCCATTTCAACACATTTTTGAATGCGGGTAATGAATTCTGGCACACAACTCGCGAACATATCGGGCGGTATCGCCGCACAGGCGTTCCTGATCCGCTCCACCATGTCCTCCCAAGTTGTAGGAATTGCAGCGTAAACTTTTTCTTTTAAGTAATCCCACTGGAAGAAGTCTGGTGGCGTAAGATCAGGTGATCGAGCAGGCCAAATTACTGGACCACGTCTACCGATCCACCGCGGTGCACCGGCCATTGAACTTCCGATCCAACACCTCTCGAGCAATTGTCGAATAATGTGCAGGACAACCATCTTGCTGTTACCACCTGTTTTGGAGCCGTGCTAGTGGTACATCCTCCAAAAGGTCCGTCAGATCGTTTTCTAGAAAATTCCGGTACTTTTCGCCATTTAATGCACCGTCAATAAAGAAGGGTCCGATTAATCGTTCGCTTAAGGTACCGCACCAAACGTTTACCGACCAGGGACGCTGGTGCTCCACTTGGTGTCGAAATGGAAGGACGACATTTCGAACATTTGTTATAAATTGTTTTCAGAGCCGACTATTGTTAATTTAATGTTAATTTTTGTTTTTCAAACGTTTCAAATAATACATTTTACAAGGAAACCCCTTTTTCTTAAATTTTGAATTACAGCGCCATCTGTTCATAAATTGAAAAAAACTTTCAAATAAAAGTTATTCATTTTTTTATGTACTACCAAACTCTGTAAAAAAAATCGGGTCATTCCATTTGACTTTCCAAAGTTACCCCCGTTTCACCCTTAAGGAGGGGTAGGGGGTGGCTAGAGGTAGCACCAAATAATGTCCCCTTTGGTCACATTAACCTTTTATTAAAGACATTTTTCCGTGAAATGCGTATTTCTCGAGATATTGAGCTGTCTCAAGTTAAAAGAAACACCCTGTATATAACTAAAAAAAAAACCAAATATATGACCTTATTTTGCCATTATAACAACAAATTAACAATGTATTAATTGAATCTGTTTTAGTATGCTCTGTGAATTTGGTTAAAATCGAAAGAAAATTGTAGAAGATACAGAGGTTCTAAAAAATTGAAACCTATTGGGCGCCAAATTGTGAAATATTTTTGTTGCACTAAGAGATAAACAAATTATGCTTGATTTAATAAAAAGAGAGTCATCTTTTTAGTAAGCTCTGTGAATTTTGTTAAAATCTAATAAAATTGTAGAAGATCCAGGGGTTTTAAAAAATTGAAACCTGTTGGTCGCCAATTTGTGAAATTTTGTTGTTGCAATAAAAGATAAAAACGGATGCTTGATTTAGTAAAAAGAGCGTTATTTTCTTAGTATGCTCTGTGAGTTTTGTTAAAATCGAATAAAAATTGTATTAGATACAGTGGTTTTAAAAAATTTAAACCTGTTGGGCGCTAATTTGTGAAATATTTTTGTTGCTATAGGAGATAAACAAATTATTTAATAACAAAAGCGTTATCTTTTTAGTATGCCCTGTAAATTTTGTTAAAATCTACTAAAAATTGTAGTTGTAGGTTTTAAAAAATTGAAACCTGTTGGGCGCCAATTTGTGAAATTTTTTTGTTGCAATAAAAGATAAAAAGCGGATGCTTGATTTAGTAAAAAGAGCGTTATTTTCTTAGTATGCTCTGTGAGTTTTGTTAAAATCGAATAAAAATTGTAGAAGATACAGAGGTTTTAAAAAATTGAAACCTGTTGGGCGCTAATTTGTGAAATATTTTTGTTGCAATAAGAAATAAACAAATAATGCTTGATTTAATAAAAAGAGCGTCATTTTTAAGTATGACCTGTGAATTTTGTTAAAATCGCCTAAAAATTGTAGAAGATACAGGGGTTCTAAAAAATTGAAATCTGTTGGGCGCCAAATTGTGAAATTTTTTTCTTGTATTTAAAGATAAAAAACGTATGCTTGATTTAATAAAAAGAGCGTTATTTTTTAGTATGCTCTGTGAATTTTGTTAAAATCGAATAAAAATTGTAGAAGATACAGAGGTTTTAAAAAAATAAAACCTGTTGGGCGCCAATTTTTAATTTAATAAAAAGAGCGTTATTTTTTAGTATGCTCTGTGAATTTTGTTAAAATCGAATAAAAATTGTAGAATATACAGGGGTTTTAAAAAATTAAAACCTGTTGGGCGCCAATTTGTGAAATTTTTTTGTTGCAATAAAAGATCAAAAATCATGATCGATTTTGCCATTATAACAACAAATTAACAATTTAAATTATTACTTATTTAGTTTTTATGTTGTTTTTAGTTCTTAAAGATACTTTAATTTGTAATATAGTAGTAATTTGTTAACAACACAACCTTACATTTTTACTACAATGGCACCACTAATTTGCTGCCTCGGCCTACTGTTTTATATATTTATCGGAGAAAAAATTTTTTTTTTTCAATTTTTGAAAGAAATTGTAAATTTGAAATGTTGTCGCTTTGCTTTAAATATGTATTTAAAAAAAAGACAGTTTTACAAAATTACAATTTTTCCATATGTAATATTTAAATGTCAACATTTCGTTTTAAAACGGTTTTTCGCAACTTATTCTTGAGTAAATAGGTTTTTCTAGACGCGAAATTTTAGTGTCAACCATAATTATTTTTAACCTTGCTCTAGAATTTTTTTTGATCTACAATTTATTTAATTGCTTAAATGCAAAGTATTTTTTATGCCCAAGATTCTAAACTTTACCATTTCACTATTTGTAAAACTTTGTATACCTACTAGCATTCCTTGCACATACCCAATGGTGTCGTAAGACCCAGTTACCAAAAATTATTAAAATTACCCTTTTAAAACAAAACAAACAATAACAAAAACCTTGAATATAATATTTAAATTAATTAATAAAGTTATCCATGATTCTTTTTGTGGCGACTGCGTGCGTGAGTTAAGAGGTCAAAGAAAATGCAAGAAAACAATCGAAAATTTAAACACGTACTTTTTATCTTGACAATTACAACATGTGAAACAAATATACGTTAGCTGGCAAAGGTCTTTGTACCATTTTGGTGCACCTAATTGTTTATGTTTTGTGAATAACAATTTTCAAACACACACTGAAGAAATTTTGTTGAACTCTTTGGCCCATTCAATGTCAACGCAAATCGGTTTTTTGCTTCTTCTGTGATACTTTTTCTTTTCAGCTCTTTCCAATGCCATTCTTTCAAGGTCCGTTTTGTGCTTTATTTTCAACGGCTTGTTCTTTTGATTTTCCTTATTTTTTTCTTCATTTTGAACTTTTGGTTCTCGGAAATCTCCTCTTAGTGTTTGGTAGGCCACCCTGCCTATCTCGTCCTGATACGTTGATAGTTTTGGACCAAATCTAGAGGGTCTATTGTAACCAAACACTAGGTATATAAGAACATTTTAAATGTTTTATTAATAATATTTTACAGGGTGTCCCATGAATTTTTTAGCATTCTCCCAACACAATATACGTATCACAATATCTAACATAATTAAAATCTATTTAATAAGACTTAAAACAATAGAAACAAGGTTAAAACTCATTATTTTTTTTAATTCATTGGAACACCCTTTATAGAATTAAAATAATAAAACATTACTCTCTCTAAAAGTGTTCAAAGTAGGCAGCTTGGGCTTATGTACAGGATTATATAAAAATTCTGCTTGGGTTAGAAGCACCATGTCATTATTTTTTAATTCACTTGGTACTTTTGATGCTTTTTTTGACATGGTCTCCTCCTCTTCATCTTCTTTATTAAAGCGATGATTTTTCAAAAACATTTCTACACAAATTTTTAATCAATATCAATTTTACCAATACAAAATTATTCACCTTTCCCATGGCAGATAGTGTCTGTATATGTGGAAATATACATATGTTTTCTTAGTTTGTGTATTTCTTTTTTTAGATCATTGTAGTTTAACTGAAATGAAATACATTATACATTTTAAAACAACGTTTTTAAAGTAAACGTAAAGGTGACTTCCACACACCCTGTATATTATTTTTATTTATACCTCTGAAGGTTTGTTAGAGGAATCGATAATGTCCTCTTCAATCCACTCTCCTTTTTCAGAGGGGGACGGTTTTTTGAAATACTTGGTATACAAAGATTCAAATCTATAAATAATTTATAAATTAATAATAATAAATCTCTAATATGGTAAGTAAAACGGTAGGTTATTGTGTATTTATTCCTGAAAAATTATTGTTTAGCATTTTACTTGAATTTATAAATATTTAATGTTGATTTTTTTAACTACTTACGGCCCTTCTCTAGCTTCCAATGAATGCCATCTATATGAGTCCATAGTTGTTGTAACGAAAGCCTGAGCCATTTTAATTTTTTTAATTGAAAATTTTTAAAAAAGAAAGTGATTTTTATGGAGTTCGTTTTTTAGTCGGAATTTGACACATTTGATTTTGTTGGTACTGTATGTCAATATACTACTATACTGGTATTTTTAATATTTTAAATTGGTACTCCTGTTCTCCTTTGACATTTATGATTTAATTGTCAGAATTATAATATAGATCACAATCCACACAACAAGGTCTGTTCTATCTCGTACTAAAAATACAAAAAATCACTGCAACACTGCACAGTTTAACGGCGGCCATTTTTGTTGTTTACAATTTTTGTGCTTTGGGTTTGTGCTCTGTTTATACAGATTAATAATCGTTTTAAACGTTGTGTTTCTCATAGTAAGCCTTAAAAGAGTCCTTAAAGTGCTAAGAATAACCATTTTACTCCTCTATTGTAAGGGCTGTCATAAAACTGTCAAATGTCAATTTTAAGGTTAAATTATAACCTTCAAATTGTCATTTGACAGCCCTGATAGAATAAGGTATATTTATTATAAAAGAGGAGTAAAATGGTTGTCCTTAGCACTTAAAGGCCTTATTTGAGTGCCTCTGTAAGAAACACAACGTTTAAAACAATTATTAAACAGCACAAACCCAAAGCACAAGAATTGTAAACAACAAAAATGGCCGCCGTTAAACTCTGTGCAGTGATTTTTAGTATTTTTAGCATGAGATAGAACAGACCTTGTTGTGTGGATTGTGGTTTTAAGCCAATTATAAATTTGGGGTCCCTAGAATTTGCCAACTAAACCCCCAAATTTTTGACGCATGACGAATAAAAAAAATCAAACTGTAGCAATAATTTGACAAGTCTGATATTAAGTGGTATCCCTGTGTATGTATTTTGACATAATTTTCTTCCTTTGAAAACAAATAAAACACATTTTTATATTGATAATTTCTTTTTTATTTCATATATATATTTATATATTTACATATCTCAAAAATATATTAAAAGCTTATTACATAAAGCAATAAAAATTAATAACTACCTTTAAAAAAAATCAAGAATCAACAAAAAACCTTTCACTTTACAATATAGACCTATATTGAGCAAAGGTGTGTAAAAAACCTATACAATTAGTCGTATTTATAAATTTATAATATTTATAGTAAGTAAGTAGCAAGAATGCACTTAAAAACAAACGTATATATTTTTAATCCTCACTTCTGTTCACTCTTGGATATAACTGAAACAAAATAAAAAAATGCACAGTTAGAATGTTTTTTGTATTAATTAATAGCATAATATCATTAAGTATCAAGTTTGATAAACGCCATTATAGTCAGTAGTGTTTTAAGATACTTACCCCTAAGAGATTTCTTGGAACATAACCCTCTTTATCTCCTAACTTCGACCACCACCATTCCCTTTCACTTTCGTCCCCTTTGCGCAGTACGGTAAACTGCTGTCCGGCCTTGAAACTTAACTCATCCGCTTGCTGCGCAGTGTAGTCGAAAACTGCGTACACTACACCACCAGACAGGATTCCCAGCTTCTCTTGAACACCTAGAAAAAGAAAAATAAAGTCTCACATGTATCGCCCTGTATCTCGTTTATTGTAAACATTTTACCAAGACATATTTCCCTGATAGAAAAAATTTGATTTTAAGAATCTTCTAAGAAGATATGACCCGAAATAATGGTATATTCTTAGAACCTTCCCTTATTGCTTAGGGACTTTTAAAACATTCAATAGCCACGTTCTAATATGTTGTATTCTACATTCGTAAAATTCTTCAGGAGACGACAAATACGCCTCACTGTCATAATATGACAGTGAAATGTATTTGTCGTCCCCTTAAAAAATTTTGCGACATATTAATATATATTTATTTAAAAATATTACATAAACAATTTGACCTCTAAACCATAAGTTGTATGACATTATTTCATAAAAAGTAAAATTGAAAAATTTTGTGGGATAAGTCAGATTAGATTGAAGTTGAAGATATTTAAGATTATTATACATAAAAATGTTAATTCAGAAATAAAAAATCGGTATACAAATTAATAAATATTTATTTTTAACATAAAATAAAATACCTATAGTAAAAGTATTTTTGTTATCGAATATTGTTTTATTTTGACAAATAACTATAAAAAAATATTTTGGATTGTGTTTTTTACTTAGTATTTAATACTAATTACTAATTAGGTACTTAAGTATAGGTAGTTTATGGTATATTTTACTATTATATAGGTAACTGAACTAAATTTGCTTAACAGAAATATTCCTAAATGAACTTTCTATAGCAATTACTTTCTAAACATTCTAAGCATTTGTTTAGAGTAGACTAATTTTTACCACTAAAACTTTGCACCTTCTAAGAACCTGCCTATAGGCTAGTAAGAATATTCTTAGGATCATGCTATATGTCTTTTAAGCATGTTCTTTAGAAGAATTATAGCATGATCCTAAGAATATTCTCACTGGAAGGTTTAAAGAACATTCTTAGAATAAAGTGTGCTATCAGGGGTGTGGTATCTCGTGAAGCATAAATGCTTTCGTCACAAGACGCAGAATAACAGTGATTTAAATACAGTGCATGATAGAGAACAAAAAAGACTAATGGCAACAAAATTAATAAATTCGGAAAATACTTTTAACATACCATTCAAAAAAATATTAGATATATATAAATCATCCTGTTCCGGCCTAAACATTATAAATTTATAATGTTTAGGCCGGAACAGGATGATTTATATATAGGGTATCTAATATTTTTTTGAATGGTATGTTAAAAGTATTTTCCGAATTTATTAATTTTGTTGCCATTAGTCTTTTTTGTTCTCTATCATGCACTGTATTTAAATCACTGTTATTCTGCGTCTTGTGACGAAAAAATCACTATATTACTTACTCTCTAAAAATGAATTAGTTAAAAATGTCAAAGCGAAAAAGCAGCCACTAATAATTCTAGTCGACAGCAATTTGTAACCAGGAAATATTATTCGCTGAATCGGCAAACACGGTGCTGTTCTGAGAGGTGATTTTTGGACTTTTTGTGAAACCTAATTTTTTTTATATTCTTGTTAATTAGGTCATAACTAAAATTTTAAGAGCAAAATAAAAAAAAATTGACGGTTAATTTTGTTTTAATTGGATGTTTATTAAAAATATGTATGCACACTTTCAATTCTCCAATTAAAACTTGCGATTCTGAGAGAACAAAAATTATAGAATACGTATACTAAAAATGATAATTCAAACGTCAAATAAATTTTTAATAGATCTAAGTTTCATGGCAACCTTTAAGGATATATTAATTAAGGGAACATAAATGTATATGTCAAAGGTTAGATTAAAAGTTTGAACGTTTATTGCAACAAAACAGTAAAATATATAAAAAAAAATTGTAAAAACCTTTTTTTTTAGTTATGCAAATTTTAAATATTTAAATTAAATCGCTAGTTTTAAAAGAGTGCATAATATTTTTAATAAACAGCCAATTAAAACAATTCAAACCGTCAGATTTTTTTTATTTTGCTCTTAAATTCTTAGTTATGACCTAATTAACAAGAATATAAAAAAGTTAGGTTTCATAGAAAGTCCAAAAATCACCTCTCAGAACAGCACCGTGCAAATGTCGTTATAAAAGTAGAACAGTTTTGGAAATATAATCAATTTTACATATAATATGGAATTGACTATATCTCAAAAACTGCTTAACTTTTATAGTTTGTGATGGTCTTTTCGGATTCAGGGGACAATTTTACATAAGAATTGGCTGGTAAATGTCCGGGATATAAATAGAGTATGATATTGGACATATGTCCAATAATAGATATTTACATTTTTTACCAACCAGTAATTGGACACTGGCCATTTTACTGTTTGTTTTCAGAATTAATATTGAAACGCATTAAAGTGACAATGTTTAAACCATGAGGAACACATTTATACCACACACTGATCTGTACACTTTTTAGAAATATTTTTATTGTTATTTAACACAGCCCTGCTCTTAATAAAAACACAAAAATCTTACCACCAAAGTAACGTCGAACTTTTTTGTCCTATACTGGACCCAAAACAAAGTAGTTCTATATTATTACCGACTGAGATAGTTATAATTGTATACAGCGTCATCTAATGATTTGACTTTAAGGTAACTATTTATAGAACTCTCGTTTTTACAGTATTAATGTTAATTGTCCAATAACTATAAAGTGTCCGATAACTGTCTACTTTACCCCACGTTAGTAACCCTTGTGAAAATTTTTCTCTTAAAAAGTTTTAGTGCTCATTCATAATGGACGTAACCATAAGATGTCCGTAAAACGTAAACATAATATCACCATAATTTGTACGTAACGATGAGTTGTGTTTACAATGAACGTATGCCTTATGTATATATTAATAAGGCGCGCATGTCCAAGTTCACTAAAATGGCAGCATTGACAGATTTCGTCTAATTATTATGTCTTAAAACTTAAAAGTTTTAAGACATAATAATTATAATTATATATATAAATTAAGTTAAAACTATCAGTGTTATCATAACCTTAGTGTAGTGGAGTGTAAAACCAGTGAATAGGGACAGAGAAAAAAAGGGCGAATTTCGTCGAATAATACTCGAACTAAAACTTTAGGATGAGGAATGGTTCTTTAGAATGTTTGTTCTGTGGATACACCAGAATACACTTGAAAAAGATCTGTCATCTGTTTGCATGGCTACTACCCTGATTGCTACCAACAATGTTCGAGTGAAATCATGAAAATTACTAAAGAGATGATTTTAACTTTACGTATTTTTTACGGTCACCCATAAGATCTTATGTTCGAACGTAAAACGTAAAAATTACGGCTACTCATTATAAACAGGCACACTGGTTTTGTTAATATTCAACTTTACGTTTTACGTATTTCTTACGGGCATCTTATGAATGAGCACTTAATATGTAAAAATAACCCAGACAGCACATATATCCATTGGACGTCCAGCGGACGACCATTGTACATCCAAACGTCCAATGTAAGTCCATTTGACGTCCAATGGACATCTTGTGCTGTATGGGAAGAGTTTTTAAAGTCTTAAACAGTCTTATTAACTCTCCAGAAGACTCCCAAATGTTGCTATTAGTCTTCTTCCGACTTAATAAGTCTTATTCTGACTTTTTCCGACTTAATAAGTATTATTCAGACTTCTTAAGAGAAAGTAAGACTTTAAAAACTCTTATTAAAACTTTCTCAGAGAAAAATTTCCACAAGGGAAAATAAACAAATATTTTTTTCAATCTGTACTTACTGTACAAATACTCTGAGCAGCCGTCGAAGCCCTCCTCGTCCTCCTCGCACTTCTCGGCCGCGGTTTCGTGGTCGCTCAAGGTCGTCGCGAAGATGCATGCGCCGTGCTCGACGAGGAACTTCACCATGGTGACGTTGTTGCAGCTGGCCGCGCAGTGCAGCGGCGTCCAGCCGTCCGAGTCCTGCGCGTTCACGTCGCAACCGAACTCGACCAGGAACTTGACGATCTCGATGTGCCCCGCGCAGATGGCGTTGTGCAGGGCGGTGATTCCCTCGTCGTTCGCCGCGCTCGGATTCGTCACCTGCGTCGCGGTCTTCTTCACCAGTTCCAGCTCGCCTGAAACGAGAAAAAAATGTTTCTTCTTCTTCTTCTTCTCTGGTTTGATTGGCCTTTCCCTTCCGGGAATTAGCCAGCTGTATTTTATTATTATTATACTGGAGCAAGCGAGTCTAGGATAACCTATAGCTTCTCCTTTTCTTCTTGGTTTTATAGTTTATTAATTATTATTATTTATGTCACTTTTAGATTCTTTTTTCACTTATAGTCTTTTTATTCACTTATGAAAAAAATGTTTCAAGTCGTAGTCTTTGCCAAGATCAGTGTTGCCAGCGTCAGTACGTTTGTACCGAATTCAGTACGCAAATATAGTCGCGGCCAAATCTGTATGGGTGCACGTCATCAAGTCAAGTTTTGGTACTCGCGTCGAAATAAATAAATAAACTAGTAGTGATATATAAATAATTAGTAGTTAAGTGTTTAGTTAGTTTTATAGTTTCTTCGTGTTTTAAGTGTAATTAAGTTATAAAAATAAATAGTTTGTTCGTTAATAAACCAGTGCGTGTTTTAATTCACACTACGAACAGTAAAAACGTTACAATATCTCACCTTCTAAACTGGCATCAAGCAGTAACGCTAAGGGGTCAAAACTGACCCTCCTCGACAAGTTGGACTTCCCAGTTTGCTTCAGGTTGCCCTTTTTGCACCGCCTGACAACGCCATCTATCGGCACCTTAACCTCACTTTCCTCCACCGAACTCCGATCAGTTTCATCTTTAGCATCTTTAGAAGCGTCGTTCTCGGCACTTTTCTCCTGGTTGCATTGGTTGATTTCGGCGTTGAAATGTATCTGGGGCAGCTCTGATCGCCTATTCAGCAAACCGTTGGTTTTGTTGAAATTATTGCTTGTTCTTAACCTAGGCTGCTCGCTCAAGGGCTGCTTCTTGATGGTGAGCGGTTTGGCTTTGATGATCATCTCTGAACTCTGCGCAGGCGTGAACTTGATGGGCGACTTCAGAGGCGGCTGTGGAGACGTTTTGCTCGCCTCGTCTGGCGGCTCGGTGGTGGGGAGGGGAGGGGGTTGCACCGTCTCGGCGGTCTCGAAAGTTTGAGTTTGAGTCTGCCTGGGAGGGGGTTTGATGGCCGGCTTGGGAGGCAGGGCGGGCTTGGGGGTTTTGTCTTGGGACACTTCGGGCGTGCTCAAGGGGGTGCTGCTCGATTGAGGGGGGGATAGAGCCAGTTGAGGGGAGTGATTCGGCAGGGCGGGGGGTTGCTTTGATGGGATTAAGGTTTGCGGTTCCACCGGTTGCACTTTTATCGATGATGTTTGATAGATGTTCGATAATAGGTTGCTGTGGTGGATTGAGGTCGGTGCTACGCTGCTTATGGGTTTCTAAAAAAAATTATTCAAGTGAAATAAATTTAAAAAATTCAGAAGTATGCGATATTTAATATATTTCCATAGAAATAAAAAATCATAGACATAAAAAAATAAGTAAAACATTAAAAATTACAGATTGTAAGAATTTCAAATTTTTCGGAATAAAAAAAATAATAAAATAAAAAGTGATTAAAGTAAATCCTAAAATGAATCGGTAAATATAGAAGTATAATATAGTAGTTCCAAAAATTCTTGCCAAAAACGCAAGTGTAAAAAAGTTTTAAAAACTGTCTAAATAAGCTAAAAATATCCAAAATATGCAAAAGTTCTTTCTAAAATTAAAAAAAAAATCTCAAAATGTTGAAATAGTGAAAACTAATATATTTTGTATGAATAAGAATAGTTATTTTGCGCGTTACAAACAAGAAGCGTTTGTTTTTGAAGGATATCTTTCGTCACATCAAGTATTTGCAGTATTTAATTTTCCAATTTCTTTCTTTTTTAATTAATTCAATGTTTTATGTGCATTTGTTGTATCACTTGGAAAATAGATTTTTTTATTGTGAAAAATGTCTCCTTCGTCACCAAAATTTTAATTTTTTTTTTTAAATGTTTAAAATTGACAATTTTTTTTAATTTTCATAAAGATTTGCAAAAACTTTAAGGTTAAAAAAAAATAAATTCCAAAATTTTCAATTTTTTTTAAAAAATCAATATTTTTCAGTTAAGTTTTAAAAATTACAAAATTTCCAAAATTTTCAAATTTCCCATACTAAACTACTAAGAATAATATTAAAAAATTGTGAAAATATAAAATCCGCAATTAAAAAAAACAAAGAAAATTCATGTACAATTAATAAAAAACGAAAAATACTAAAAATAAATAAACAAACTAAAAATAAATTTTGAAAAACAATGAACAGGTAAAATTAGAAATAGTTTTAAAGAATCCTGCCAAATATACCTATCCAAAAATTCTTGCCAAAAACGCACGTGTAAAAAATGTCTAAAATAAGCAAAATCTTTAAATTTTCCAAAAATTTGAAGATGGAAATAAAAAAAATGAAATTTTCATTTTTTTTTATTTAAAAAAAAATCTTAAGATTTCAACAATGTTTTGAAAGTTTTAACAATTTTGAAAATTGCAAATACACAAAAATTTAAAATTGTTTGAGAAATTTTTAAAATTTATAATGAAAAAAAATTTAAATTGAATTTTTTTTTAATCTCAAAATTTGAAAACTTAGTTAAAGTTTCTACAATTTTGAAAATTTACAATTTTTTTTAATGTTTTAAATTCACAAAATTTACAAATTCGATAGTTTATTGTTTATATGTATCTATTGCGAAATGAAAAAAAAATGAAATTTAATTTTTTTAAATCTCAAAATTTGAAAACTTACTTAGTTAAAGTTAAAAAATTTCCTCAATTTTGATTTTTTTTTATTATTAGTTGTTGATCCTTCTTGATAATAATTTAAAATGAAAAAAAAAATTAATTTTATTTTTTTTAAATCTCAAAATTTGAAAACTTGGTTAGTTAAATTTCCTCAATTTTTTTTTAATGTTTAAAATTCACAAAACTTACAATTTTTTTGAATTTTCATAAAGATGCAAAATTTTAAATTAAATTAAATTTTTTTAAATCTCAATACCTATTTGAAAACTTAGTTAAAGTTCAAAATTTTCCACAATTTTTAAAATTTCCAAAAATTGAAATTTCAAAATTTTCATTTTTTATAATTTACAAAATTTTTAGAAACTTAAAATTTTTGTGTTGCAAGATTGGAAAAATTTCTAAATTAAAAAAAAACGGTTTACAAAAAAAATTATTTTTCCAAATTTTTAAAATCAAATAAATTGAGGTTGAAAAGTTTTAAAACATGTTTCAAAGTAAACTACTAAGAATAATATTAAATGTAATTTAAAAATTGTTAAAATATAAAATCCGCAAATCCAAAAGAACAAAGAAAATTTATGTACAATTAATAAAAAACGAAAAATACTAAAAATAAATAAACAAACAAAAAATAAATTTTGAAAAACAATGAACAGGTAAAATTAGATATAGTTTTAAAGAATTTTGCCAAATAATGCCTATTAAAAAAACAAACTCTTACCTGATACGTAATAAAAGCATTTCCACTAGTAACAGGATAATTCTCCTTCTGTTTGCCACCGACATCCTCCCCATTAATCGGCTCGCTATTTTTCCGCGACAACAAGTTATGCTGGCCCAGCGGCGTCGCGATGTTCTTGTTCACCACGTTCAAGGGAGCGCTGTGCACCGTCTGCATGTTCAAATTCCCGTTCACGTGATTGGCCGTTGGCACGTTCTCGTTCTCCTTCTCGCCGCTGTTCGCGTTCGCCTCCGCTTTATTAGTCCTGTTGGGCGCCAGCAAATTCACCGTAAACTTCGTGTTGTACGGCAGCGTTTGATATTTCGGGTCCGACTTCGATACCGTGAATTCTTTGAGCAAATCCGCCTCGTCCGATTTTTGCGACACATACAGATTCGACAGTTTGTTGCTTATATCTACGGGGTCTTTGTTGCTATTAGGCGAGTCTTGATCCTTCTTGATATGGTTCAGTTGATGATATACGGGGTGATATGCGGAATTTTGCTGAAACAAAATAAACCATAAACCCAATATTAAAAAACCAATTATATCTTACCTCTTGTCCATTAGTATTAACTCTAATTTGATGATTGGATACGGGAACATGGTTGTAAGGCTCAACTGCAGCTATATTACCGCGCGATAAACCATTGGATTGCTGATTCGGCGGCTTCCTTGCGAACTGATGATTGCCCTGATCTGCAGAGCCAGTTAGCCTGCAAAACACAAAAAATGCTAAAAAAATTGCATATTCTTAAAGAGGGCGAAATTTCACGAAGTTAGATACGTCACTCGACCACATTCTAAATTTGCACCCAATTAATATACAGGGTGTTACACAAAACCCTTAATCTTATATCCATCGAAATCAAACAAATAAATAGTCAATTTTATCTATTTTTCAACGGGGATTTAAAAAATGTTAACCAAAACACGATCAAACGTCAAACAAAAAGTTTTTTACCTTACAAGTTAGCCTGCAAAATACAAAATGCTAAAAAATTGCATATTCTTAAAGAGGGCGAAATTTCACGAAGTTGGATACGTCACTCGACCACATTCTAAATTTGCACCCAATTAATATACAGGGTGTTACACAAAACGCTTAATCTTATATTCATCGCAATCAAACAAATGAATACTCAATTTTATCTATTTTTCAACGGGGATTTCAAAAATGTTAACCAAAACACGATCAAACGTCAAACAAAAAGTTTTTTACCTTACAAGTTGATGATATGCAGCTTTGTGAGAGGCAGCGCTGATCTGATTGGCCAGTTGTTGGTTGAGGATGCGTTTTTTGTGCAACCTCTCTTGCAGTTCAGATATTCTCTTGTCGATTGCGCTCATTTCTTCTTGCCTTGCTGTAAGTGCCTCTCTTTGTTGATACAGCCTTTGGTTTTGTTGTTCGTTCAGTTTGTTTCGATACTAAAAATAAAGTTTTATTGAATTGATATTTTTGTCAACCATGGTATATTAAAACTAAAGCTTGTTCATGTTCATTTGTTAAAAGTAATTAAAATTTGTTTGATAAAATTTAAACAATTTTTGGTCGGGATATTGCATTATGTGTGCAATATTGGAAATGTTAATTAGTGAATGAAATTTTTTTGGTATAATTAATATTGTTAAACCTGCCTTTATTTTCATTTCGTAAATTAAAAATTTATTTTGTTGAAATATTTTATGGTTATGTAATGTTTTGTTTTTTATTTGTTTTTATGCCTCGTCGCATAATAAGAATTCTTATAAATTCCACTATTGAATTTAATCTTAATTAACTCGGCCCTTAAGGATTTAAAGGATTTTACCCTGGATGCATTAAAACTGCATAGCTCTGCAATATTGCTCTAGTAAATTGTCATAAAAGCTTTTAAAACCTTTTAAGTTAGATTTAAAATTTAATAACTAAGTGCTGCCACGATTCTAAAACAGAGATAATAAACCAGTTAAAAAGATGGTGTATACAAAAAGCAAAGCAAACTTCTTCTGTATAAACTTAGCCATCTTAAGGCACTTTACCCTACTTATTTTCGGTTGATATAAAATCCATAAACCCGGTAAAAAATGATTATTTACGGTGTATATATTTCTCCTTTATATCTGGAACACGTTATTCAACAGCTACGTGTTCAGATTTTCCATGATTTTTTCGGACCTTCTTGTGCAAGCTCCAACGAACAAAATTAATTGTTGCCTCTATCTTTAAATATTTTACGATCACGTCTCGAGCGCTGAAACTTTATCCCGAGCAAGATTTACTGCAAGATTTTACATTTTATATCGGAATTTATTCGTTTTTGAGGATATATCGAAAACAATTTATTGTGTTGAAAAATGGTCTGCGTTTTAAGAAAGACGGAACAATTTCCCGAATTTTGATATGCGACATGACTACATTCTATAATTTCTCCCAATAAATATACAGGGTGTTACACAAAATACCTAGGTTTATTTTTATTAGGTACAATTGAACAAATAAACAATTTATAATTTCTCCCAATAAATATACAGGGTGTTACACAAAATACCTAGGTTTATTTTTATTACCTACAATTGAACAAATAAACAATTTATAATTTCTGGTAAAAAAAACAAAAAATAATAAAACATCAAATAAAAAAGTTAATTTATTGGGGGATTGTGGTTTTTGAGAATATATCGTAAAGGATTTAATATGTTGAAAAATGGTCTATGATTTAAGAAAGACGGCAAAATTTCACGAATTTTGATATGTCACATGACCATATTCTATACTTTTGACTTATTAGTATACGGGGTGTTACACAAAACACCTATGTTTATTTTTATTTCAACCCAACAAATGAACACTTTATATTGTCCAGTTTTTAAGGAGGATTTCAAAAATTTAAACCGAAAAATAATCAGAATTCAAACAATAAAGTTATGGACACTTATTAATTTATTCATTTTTGGGGATATATCGAAAACAATTTATTGTGCTGAAAAATGGTCTACGTTTTAAGAAAGACGGAACAATTTCCCGAATTTTGATATGCAACATGACTATAATCTATAATTTCTCCCAATAAATATACAGGGTGTCACACAAAATATCTAGGTTTATTTTTATTACAATCGAACAAATAAACAATTTATAATTTCTCGTAAAAAAAATAATAAAACATCAAATAAAAAAAGTTAATTTATCGGGGGATTGTAGTTTTTGAGAATATATCGTAAAGGTTTTAATATGTTGAAAAATGAAAGAAAGCCGGCAAAATTTCACGAATTTTGATATGTCACATGACCATATTCTATACTTTTGACTTATTATTATACGGGGTGTTACACAAAACACCTATGTTTATTTTTATTACAATCCAACAAATGAACACTTTATATTGTCCTGTTTTTAAGGAGGATTACAAAAATTTAAACCAATAAATAATCAAAATTGAAACAATAAAGTTATGGACAAACACTTACCATTAACTCTCTACGGAGTTTATCCAACTCCAAAGCGCTTGGAGGTGGCGGGTCCCTCGAAGATCGTCCTCTACGTAACTCCTCGAGTTGCCTAGTCAACTCTTCCACCTTGGCCACAGCCAAAGATAGCTCTTTTTCTTTGTCATTGAATAACGCTCTTGTAGAGTCTAAATCGCTAGCTGTAAAAAAAATGTAATTTCAATAAAGTTAGTCAACTAATTCAGAGCAATAATCATAAAGTTAGGGTACTTCATTGAAATACAATGCGGGAATTGTATAAAATGCAATCCCCTGATGGTGGTTGTTGCAGCGAATGATTTGAATTGAAACCGTTTCTGTGTGATAATCGATTTGGACCGGTGATTTGCCTCAAAACAAAGAACTAAACTATGCCATAATCCTCGCACAAACTATGCATGGATTACCCGCTCGATTTTTCCATTTGGTTGTTTAAAACATGGCAAAGTCCAACATCTGGGGATTTATTGGATAATTCCAGATTTAATTTCAAGAGTTGTCTAAATGTTTTAAAATTTAAAAATAAAAGTTTTATTTAAACGCTTGAAAACATCTAATAAGAATTATGTTGAAAAATGATTTATGATTTAAGAAAGACGGCAAAATTTCACAAATTTTGATATGTCACACGACTTTGTTCCAAAATTTTCCCTAATTTAATATACAGGGTACTACACAAAACGTTTTTGTTTATTTTTATCGCAATACCACATATGAATACTCTAGATTGCCTATTTTTCAACAAGGATTTTAAAAAATTTAACCAAAAAATAAAAAAATTTATTTATCAGGGGAGTTTTTGGGAAAACATCCAATACAAATTATTATGTTGAAAAATGGTTTATGGTTTAAGAAAGACGGCTAAATTTCACAAATTTTAATACGTCACATGACTTTCCCATAATTTAATATGTATATACAGGGTACTACACGAAACACCTTTGTTTATTTTTATCGCAATACCACACATGAATACTTTATATTGCCTATTTTTCAACAAGGATTAAAAAAAATAACCAAAAAATAATTCTAATTGGTCGCTCGAGTTATGACGCCACACCCTAATTTTATTGACACGATTTAAAAATGAAGAATGAAGAAATTTAATTTTGCCCCCACAAATTAAATGTTGTGCAAAAAAGTTTGTTTTTCCAAAGTTATTTGTTGTCAATTTCCTAAATCTCCCAAAATAAATGTCGACTTAAAAACTGTTATGAAATTTAAAAAATATGTATATTTGTATCTAATAAGATCGTGTTTCCAATCCCAATTTAAGAGCCAAAACTAAAAAAAAAATATTTGACAAAAGGTTTTTTTTGAGGTCTGGTGCGTAAATCATCAATTTTATACGCCAATAATTGTTAGAAGCCACAAGTGGTAGCGCGTAAAAAAAAGATTTACGAGTCATCGTAAACATTTTTTCCTTCAGTTTATGGCCTTTTATACCTTGAAACCGCTTATCTGATGAAAATACATCGAAAAAATTATTTAAATTTAGGGGTAATTAAATTAAAATATTATTTTAGTCCTGTTTTGGTTTTTTTTGTTTTTAAAATAATACAGTAAGTTTTCCATTAAAATTTGATAAATTTTATACTGCGCATTATTAATTCACTTTACAGGTAAAATTTTCAAATAAATAAATGATGGCCTCTTTGTCTTAATGGCCGCATTGAATTCAATAAAAGCTCCATTAAAAGGCATTTTTCATCGGAAAATGCTTTAATATTGCATTCTCTTTCGCACGGCGCTCAATTCAAAAATAATAAAAAAAACTGACGGGGTTTAAAAAGTAGCGCAGTAAAATGCCACTTCATTCAAATTAAAAGAAATTTAATCTGCTTTTAATTAAAACAAAATTTCAATGAAATATTTCGACAAGAGCCGTTTAATAACATCGAAAACGATTTAAATCGCGAATCCCCATTAATAAAGCGTATTGTTTGATTTATTCGTTTTATAGCGTTGGCACTTTTTAAATCCTTCTCGTAAAATACGTGTTCATTGTATCTATAACCTAAAAATAAGTATTGTTATGGATTACTTTTAAAACACCCTGTATATTAAATAAAAAAATTATAGAATGTGGTCGTGTTACGTATCATTTTTTAGGGAATTTTAGTCCCATTTTAAATATATTTAAACAAATTCAATTACATTATTTATAAACAAGATATTCCCAAAAATATTGGGTAAATCATTTTATCTTTTTATTAATTAATTTGGCAATTTATGGGGGCAAAATATTAATTGAACGTTGTAGGTAACGTGTTAATGGAGCGTGCTAAATAATAAATCACCTAGTTGCAAACAACGTTGCGTTTAATGAGCCTTTTTGTTGCCTGGACTGAGTTAAATTTTCGGAGGGCCTAATTCACAACCAGTGTTAGTCTAAATTTTATTAATGGGTGTCTCACGAAAAATATGAAACGCTTTTAAACGCCCATAAGTATCAGGAGAGCACGAAGGCGCAGAGGTTACCTAAAAAATTTTCAAACAAATGTTAAGAAAGACAATCGATTAGACCAAATTTTAAAAAATTCCCTCTACTCTGTTCTTAAAGATATAAAACTATACTGGATATAAATATAATTATATTTATTCTAAGATTAGTAAATATTGGTACGACTGGCCTATTCTTAAAAATATCCCCCACTCACGAAAGTGTCAGACATTTTGGAAGATTGTTTCTTGTTTTAGTTAAGATTTGGTTTATAACTATGAAAGAGCTGCTTAATTAGTTGAATTTGATAGAATTAACCACCAAATGTATGTGTAGGTAATAATTATAACATAATTATATTTATGTGTGTAGTATTAGGTACAGAATTTTAGATGTTGGCGTGATATTAGGCTGGCCGAAGAATCATTAAAAACAATTATGTATATTTTATCTCTAGAATATAGGTACGAATAAAAATTTTGGTTAAACAGGCCAATATATCGTCTCGCAAACAAAATCAACGTGTCTGAAGGTTTAAAAAAATCATTGCAGTATATATGTCACGGCTAATGTGCAAACTTGGGTAGTTTATAAACTAGCTGGATAGTTTATAAACTAGCCAAACTGTCAGCTATTTTAATTGAAAATGTATTTTCAACTAAATTAGCGGATAGTTTACAAAATAACCAAGGATCTTTGCTAATTTACTTGAAATTATTAGGGAAACTAAAATAGCTGGATAGTTTGAATACTATCCAATTCAATTTGGCTAATATGAGAACCAAAATTTCTAGTAACACAAAATAGCCAAGCTTTAGCTAGTTTGTAAACTAACCAACTAATTATCTGGCTATTGCCCATTTAGTTGGGTTTTTTGCTCAATGGGGCGGGGGGGGGGCCAATGGGGCGGGGTCGGTTGGGTTGTGTTGTTGAGTTTGGGTTGGTTTGGGTTTTTTTCTCTCATTTTTGACCATTTGACCAATGGGGGGGGCAATGGGGCGGGGTCGGTAGGGTTGTGTTGTTGAGTTTTCTAACAAGAAAGCGTTAAAATTTTGCTTATGATTCATTTTAAAAACGTTAAAATGCACAAAACAAATCCGGTTAAGCCGGCAAAACGAAAAGCAATGCCGTAACCTCACTTTTTTAATAAATTAGCCAGAGAATTGATTGGTTAGTTTACAAACTAGCTAAAGCTAAAGCCAAACTGAATTGGATAGTATACAAACTATCCAGCTATTTTAGTTTCCCTAATAATTTCAAGTAAATTAGCCAAGATCCTTGGTTATTTTGTAAACTAGCCGCTAATTTAGTTGAAAATATGTTTTCAATTAAAATAGCTGACAGTTTGGCTAGTTTATAAACTTTCCAGCTAGTTTATAAACTATCCAAGTTTGCACATTAGCCGTAACATATATAATATATATAGGTAGATAGGTATTTGAAACATTGTAAAAAAGCTATGTAATAAAGACAATGCTATAGACCAATATCATTTTTTTCAGGTTAAGTTAAGCAATAATTGTTTCAAATATTGTCCATTCTTTTTTTAACTTTTGCTCGACTTTAAAGGTTAGGATATAATGACCATGTTTATTTTGAAAGGTAAAGAGTGGATTATCCTATCTATTTTTCTCCAGTCTTAGAAAAAAAAAGATAGCATGGTCATTATATCCTAACCTTTATTTAAAGTCGAGCAAAAGTTAAAAAAAGAATAGTCAATACTTGAAACAATTATTGCTTAACTTACATAAAGATACCTTATATTTAATCCAAAAGAAAATATTGTATCGCCGAGAATTATAATATTTGTATCAAAAAATAATTATTCTTAAATCAAGCATAGTGTATATTTTATTTAAGGGTGCTTGCATTTAAGATAATATGATAGTTTTTCTTGAAACTAGAATAAGTTTACCCTTGCAGTTTTTTTTCCGTGTAGGCTATAGAATAATAAATGTTCTGTAAATGAAAACCTAGTAAAGGTGTAACAGTCTTATTGGCTCTTTTTTGGTAAAAGTATCGATAACCGGCATATTACGTCCAGTCCTTTGCGACTTGCCTAATATTGGTCGTTGCGTGTCCCGGTATATCCTTGCACCCTCCCTGAGGACTTTTTCAATCAACTCGGACTCCAGAATTCGTCCTTCAACGAAGGAGAAAAATCGGAAAATAATCATCTGCTTTTCTGACTCGAATATTTGTTTCTATCCTTCCTATTTCGCGAATTTAAAGTGTGCAGTACTAGAGAGAGTACGGTCTCAGTTTAAATAACGACCTTGTTACGAAATCCTTAGAACGAAACTATTTTCAGTGGGGGAATTCGAGCGGAACAACTAAGCCAAATTGTTTTACTTTTTTTAGTATACTACAGTTTAGATATTTTAATCGTTTTTTCTTGTTATAGTTGTATTTTTAAAGAGTTTCTAGGATTTCAATCTCAGATTTAGTTATTTATTGTTTTACACAAAAATAACCTCAAATATACTTTATGTAGAAAATGCAATAATAACCTTGTTTTTAGACTGTAAAGTTGTAGTAAATTTTGTAAAATTTCTATTCATATTCGGAATTTAATTTTACCAAGATAATCAATAAAATTACTAACCAAAATTTGGTATTTTAATTACAATAAGTGTTTGGAAATATACAAATCATTATTTATTTTATACAACTTCTGTTTGCATTTGGGCAATTCCATGCGTAATAGCGTAATTTTCTTCAAATTTATATTAATCGAAATGTTCCAAATGTTATTAAACTAGGAGCATACATGTCTACTTGTGACTAGAAAATTATTACTTTATTTATTTAACCCAATATTCCATAAAATTTTAAATAATTAAAAAGTCTTAACTGCTTTTGAATTCTGCACTAAAAATATGTTATGTCCCATGAGTTATCATATTAACCAATTTTTTTAAAACCTCACACAATCAAAGCAGTTAAGTTGAATGTTTTTTTAATACACTATAGGCAAAGTATATTTTTAAAATAAGATTATGTTTCAAACAGTTTAGGATTCAGAGAAAAAGGTTGCTTCATTTAACCAATTTTTTAAAGAAAGTTTTTCGTGTCCCATGAGTTATCACACGTTTTGTCTGCATTTTGTCAGAGATCAATTGGTGAACTTATTCAAAAATGTTAAAAATGTACATTGGCCTATCCTTTAAAGTTTAAACATTTTATACATTCCTAATAAATATAGGTATTCTGGTATACCAAGTTAAATTTTATTTCTGTCATCTGAATGTCCCGTGAGTTATCATGGAATTGCCCATTTTTACTATACTAAATTTTACAATTGTTTTTCAAAACAAAGGATGAATAAAATTACAAATTGTATAATGTATACCAATACAAAATTATAATACAATTTGAGTAATCTTCCAAGACATGTTGGGAAATCTAAGATAAGATGAAATTTTACAATCTATATGTATTGTAATTTTACTAAACAGTTTGACAGTTTCTAATAAAAAGCATCTCAGATTTACAAACGTATTTGTCATTTGATTTGCTATAATGTTATGTAAAATGCATAGTATGTACCGATTGCGGCAATCACGTGATGTTCTTACATCTCGCCTCGGTTGACTTAGGTGGACAGTATATAAGCTCAGGTGTCTTTCGTTTTCGGTGTGTTCCAATACACCAAATTGACCGACATTGATAAGACCCAAATAGATCTATCTGTCTAGCTGTCTGTCGGTATTTGTTGGTGGAACGCACTCAAAACAAAAACTCTGGCGAGGTGAAGGTTCAATTTTTTTAAATCTTTACAGTAATGGGTCAAGAAAGTTTCTTGAAGAAACTAAGAAAATTGTAATCGTATATACTAAATATTTTTAGTGTAATTTGTTGTACAAAATAACATAATAAATCAAAAAAGCAAAAACCACCAAAACAGACAAGCAAAAGTTATTTGTATAGAAATTTAGGAAATAAAGTATCATAGAAGGGGCATTTTGTACGTTGTATCGCTTACCAAACATAAGATAAACTTTTTTACACAGACATTCGCAGAAAGAAAAGAAACCCAAACAATTTTCGAAGTTTCGTGTTGGGGAGTGTTTGGCGGATGAAATTGAAAAAATAACTGGGCCCTGAAAGGTTTCAATTCTACCAACCTAACCGAATAAAAATATGCAGGCCGAATTTTATTATTGCATCTTTGCCCTTAGATGCCGCATAAAACGTTCAACGACACCCTCAATTGTGTTTTTTTTTATTCGATATTCTATTGTTTTTCGTCCGAATTGACTATAATAAAATTGTAACTTTATAAATCTTTTGCATATACAAATATTTTAGTTTAATGTTGAATATTGGCCTGTTTGTAAAATATACATAATTGTTTTTATGTGATTCTTCGGCCAACCTAATATCACTCCAACATCTAAAATTCAATACATAATACTACACACATAAATATAATTATGTAATAATTATTACCTGCACATACATTTGGTGGTTAATTCTATCAAATTCCACTAATTTAGCAGCTCTTTCATAATTCCAAACCGAATATTAACTAACACAAGAAACAATCTTCCAAAATGTCGGACACTTTCGTGAGTGGGGGATATTTTTAATAATGGGCCAGTCGTGCCAATATTTACTAATCTTAGAATGAATATAATTATATTTATATCCAGTATAGTTCTATATCTTTGAGAACAGAATAGAGGGAATTTCCAAAATTTGGTATAATCGATTGTTTATCTTAAATTAATAATAAGATCTGCTTGTTTAAAGAAAGATTAATATTTAGTTTAATGTTTATGATAAAATAATTATACACAAACAATGGCAGTCTGTTTAATACGTGAAAAGTGAACAATAAAAGCTTGGGGTTTATGTAAAATCAGCGTAAAATAATCGCTCACAAAACAACTGGCTGATTTATCATGTTTTTTTATTCTAACCCACGATGCGAAAATTCTAGCAAAGTGATTGCCGCCTTAATTTTAAATAAAACCTTTTTTACGTCACGTCATAAATTTCCACGCAGTTCCCATGCTGTCTAGATCGTAAATAGCAAGTGTGAGCGTGTGCGAAAGGGCACTTTACAGGTACCTCAGTTTCACCTTTTTTCTAATTCTCCCGGATAAAATCCCGCTTATTGTTGAACAAGATTTATTTTCACGTTTTTACATACCAATACACAAAGGACCTTTACTTTTGTCCGGGACTTTTTTGTTTGTTTGTTGAACCGTTTTTACCTAAAACTCTCGTTAAGAAAATTATTAACCTTTGCTACGCCCCTACCCGTAGACAAGTGAGGTAAAAAACTCAAATTTATCCATCAAGAATGAAACTGAACTGTCTAAAACTTTCCAAAGCCATTACCTAGCAAAGATACTTTATTCCGTTGTAACATACTCCAAAACTTTTAAGTTAGACACACAGAGAAAAAAGTTCCCCAAACTAGACCTTAAAGTGGATATCGGAAGTTTGAATGGGGAAAAGCAGACTTTTTTTCCTATCTGTCTGTCTCTGGCAACCAGTATTAATTAACTTTGCCTGAAAAAAATGGCCCCGTATAAATCAGCTGGAATAACTCTTACTGGTTTTTCGACATTTATTAGCTCCTGGCTACACAAATTTTCTCTAGGGATTAAACGTTTTAATTTCGAATATTACTTTTTAGATTTACTTTAAAGATTCAACCTTTAATATTTTCATATTAATAAATAAAATTCCTATTTTCCAGAAAATTGAACAAAAATATATTGTTGCGCGGTTTATTTGTGTTTGTTTTATATAAAAAACGCCATTGCTTGCTGGAGAAAGAAAAACACGAAATATAAAAGATTAAAAAGAAGAAAGAATAATTTTATTTCTTTAGGTTTTATGTGTTTTACACATGATCGCGTGGCAGCAACTCAATAGCGAATTTTAAAAACGCCAAAAACAAATAGAAATAAAAAATAATGACGATTTTAACCTAATTTCAACAAAAACATTTTTTCTTCATTTATTTAAAAGAGGAATATTTTTGCAAAAAATACATCTACATATTTAAAAAGAGCACAAAATTGCCTTAAAAATGATACGTCACACGACAACATTCTATTTTTTTTTTTTTAAATATATATGTATACAGAGTGATACACAATCATCTTTTTAATTGCGCTCAGTTTTAAGCTAAAAAGCAAATTGGTGCTTAGCAGCAAATTATAAGCGAATTTTAAAAACGATTAAAACAAATAAAAAGAAAAAATAATGACGATTTTAACCTAATTTCAACCAAGTTTAAAGTGGATATTTTCACAAAAAATACAGCTACATATTTAAAAGGAGCACAAAATTGCCTTTAAAATGATACGTCACACGACAACATTATATTTTTCAAAAAAATAATATACAGAGTGATACACAATTACCTTATTAATTGCGCTCAGTTTTCAGCTAAAAAGCAAATTTTCGCGTGGCAGCAAATTTTAAAAACGATTAAAACAATTAGAAAGAAAAAATAATGACGATTTTAACTTAATTTCAATCAAAACGTTTTTTTCTCCATTTATTTAAAAGAGGAATATTTTTACAAAAAATACATCTACATATTTAAAAAGAGCACAAAATTGCCTTAAAAATGATACGTCACACGACAACATTCTATTTTTCAAAAAAAAAATAATATACAGAGTGATACACAATTACCTTATTAATTGCGCTCAATTTTAATCTAAAAAGCAAAATTTCGCGTAGCAGCAAATTATTAGCGAATTTTAAAAAAGATTAAAACAAATGGAAAGAAAAAATAATGACGATTTTAACCTAATTTCAACCAAGTTTAAAGTGGGATATTTTCGTAAGTAATATCATAAGGGCATCTAATTTTTCCGATAAAAATCGAAAAAACACGTTGCTAAGTAATATTTTAACAAAACGCATGAGTGCTGGTGGCAACAAAAATACGAGTCGAAGACGAGGATTTTTGCACCTGCACGAATGCATTTTGTTAAAAAAATATTACTTAGCATTGTGTTTTTTCAATTTTTTTCACAGGAAAAATTAGATGCCCGAATGGTATTTGACAAGACTATTTCATGAGTAACAGTTAACAATTAAAATATAAATTGAAATTTTTGTTGACAACAGCTGTCAAGTTTTGCCGCGGGTAAACTCGAAAAAACTGCTGACAGGTGCTGTCATACAGTTTTTTCACCTAGAAACCATTTGTAATTCAAAATTGCGCGTTTGTGATTGGTTGAAATTAAGACGAGGGAAATAGTCACAAAAAATACAGCTACATATTTAAAAGGAGCACAAAATTTCCTTTAAAATGATACGTCACACGACAACATTCTATTTAAAAAAAAATAATATACAGAGTGATACACAATTACCTTATTAATTGCGCTCAGTTTTCAGCTAAAAAGCAAATTTTCGCGTGGCAGCAAATTTTAAAAACGATTAAAACAATTAGAAAGAAAAAATAATGACGATTTTAACTTAATTTCAATCAAAACGTTTTTTCTCCATTTATTTAAAAGAGGAATATTTAAAAAAAAAATACATCTACATATTTAAAAAGACCACTAAATTGCCTTAAAAATGATACGTCACACGACAACATTCTATTTAAAAAAATATATATATATATATATATATATATATATATATATACAGAGTGATACCTTATTAATTGCGCTCAGTTTTAATCTAAAAGGCAAATTGTCTCGTGGCAGCAAATTATTAGCGAATTTTAAAAACGATTAAAACAAATAATAGAAAGAAAAAATAATTTCAACCAAAACGTTTATTTTTCATTTAGTTTAAATTGGGATAATTTTACAAAAAATACAGCAACATATTTAAAAGGAGCACAAAATTGCCTTTAAAATGATACGTCACACGACCACATTCTATTTTTCAGAAAAAATAATATACCGGGTGATGCACAATCACCTTTTTAACAGCGCTCAGTTTTAAGCTATGAAAGCATGCGAACACTCTATTTCATATATTTCAAAGCGAGAAATCCAAACGTGGACTCCAAAAAACAATCGCACGTCAAATAAAAAACCGAAACTCACTCAAACTGATGTTGTTCTGCTTCTGATGGTCCACCTGGCCCCTGAGCGCCCTCAGCTTTCTCAGCTTCAACTCCTGCGCGTCGACGCGGTCCCTCAAGCGCCTCAATCGCTCGCTCTCGGCCTGGACGCGCTGTTGCCGCGCCTCCTGCTCCTTGAGGTAGCGCAGCCGCTGCTCCTTGGCGGCGAGCAGCTGGTGCTGCGAGTCGATCTGCGCCTGCTGTCTGCACGCCATCTCGCGTAGCTCGTTCAATGTCAATTGAACCCCGTCAGGTAACTGAAGAAAAAAAATTAAAAAAATTAAGTTTGCTTATAAAAAAGAATAAATTTGGCAACGTCGCAATATTTAAAAATGTCGACTTGGCAACATTGCATGAAGAAAATGAACAATCTTGCAAAAAAATTAAAAAATCAAGTTTGCTTATAAAAAAGAATAAATTTGGCAACGTCGCAATATTTAAAAATGTCGACTTGCATGAAAAAAATTAACAATCTTGCAAATCTGCCAAGATTTGGCAATACAGGAAGCTTAAAAAATACTAAAATAAGTAAATTAACATAACATAATATATAACAAAAAATATTGTCAAAAGTAGAATTTTAATTTTTTACAAATTTTTGGAAAAATAGAAAAAATAAAGTTTGCTTATAAAAAAGAATAAATTTGGCAACGTCGCAATTTTCAAAATGTCGACTTGGCAACATTGCATGACGAAAATAAACAATCTTGCAAATCTGTTTAAAAAAATCTACAGAAAAAAATGCATACAAATTTTTAGAGATTTGGCAATGTAGCAAGCTTCAAAAATACTAAAATAAGTAAATTAACATAAAATAATAAATAACAAAAAATTTTGTCAAAAGTATAATTTTAATTTTGTACAATTTTTTGGAAAAAAATTAAAAAATGAAGTGTGCGTATAAAAAAGTCGCAATATTTAAAATATCTACTTTAAAAAAATCTACAGAAAAAAATGCATACAAATTTTCAGAGATTTGGCAATGCAGCAAGCATAAAAAGTACTAAAATAAGTAAATTAACATAACCTAATATAACAAAAAATATTGTAAAAATTAAGATTTTTATTATTTACAAATTTATTTATTTATAAAGAAATACCAAAGATTTTTTGTGTATAGAGATTCAAACTCAAATGAATTTTGGTACTGGCCTTTGTTTAAGTTCTCACAATAAGAAAAGGAGTATCAACGCCTGTAATTAAAACTTGTCAAAAGGAGAAAAGTCACACGTTCTTTGTACCCTTTTGTCTGTTTTAATTTAATTAAATAAAACTACATAGCTGAAACTTAACAAATTTGCATTCGCATTAAAGCTTCAAATTTTAACTACTAGACTACTACTGGAACAAGTGTTTTATTTATAAGCAGAAGCGGATGCGGAAGTATAAATACTATAATAAGTTTCGCTATTTCTAGAAAGATTCCATAATCTAATATAAAAATGCAAAAGCGGCTGTGAAAAAGTGTGCAGCAACAAAAGATATTCCTAATTATCTTAGTGCCATATTAATTTTGTAAAAACAAATAACATAACGTTATATAACTAAAATATTCGAGTTTTTGTCGGATATCATTGAAATAAATTTAGTCCAATTTAGTAAACCAGAGGAATTTCATAATTGTCACATAATCCAGTTATAATTGCTGTTAAGTTTTTAATACACAACACATTATTCCGTTCAAGAGCCACATTTAACGAGAACACGTGTAGTTTGTGTCTAGATAAAACATAGCAAAAAGTAATAACTGTCAAGAGCTGTTCTAGAATTTTAATCCTGCATGAAATGTTTTAATTAAGCATAATATAAATATAAAGGTATATTATAAAATGTTAAATGATGTTGGGAAAATTGTACATTTCTCAAAATCGCACATTGAAAATGTACATTTAGCCGTTTGGGACTATATTACTTAAATTCGGTTTGCTTACAAGACATAACAGATCTTCGCGACGAAGAGTGAGTAGTAAAAAAATGGGGGGGAGATCCCCCCCGAAAATCCCGGGCTCATCTAAAAAACATGCCGTAAACGGCTGGAGAATTGAAACTTTACATAAAAGTCTCGGGAACGAAATATTATTTGTCCGGAGCAGCTCATAACGAAAATCAATGATCTCGTGTATTTCGGAAATGAAAGAATTGAAATTTAAGGGACAAATTCCTTTTTCGATATCGATATCCAATAAACGGAGTGCCAGTTTATTCTCATTTTTATTATTCTCTTATTTTCTACGGTGTTTGCAAATGCAAAGGGGGCAGGGTTGTGACAGCTGCCCCCCAGCAGCCTGTACACAGAAAAATGGCACAAGAAGTTAGGGTCATCTTAAAATTTGAAATTTCAATTAAATCTTAAATGGACCAGCCAGAAACAAGAAAAATGTCACTCGTAAAAAAAAGGATGTTTCTGTCCATTTTTCAAAAATTTAAGCAAAAAGAAAAAATACGGGTCTCATCGATTTCCGTGGAAAAACTGTAAAAAAAATCGTTAAAAAGTAACTTCCTCTTTGTTTCCTATTTATTAACTTTTTTTAAATTGTTTTTTAAACCCATTTTTTAACTCTTTTTGTAATTCTTTTTTAACTATTTTTTAAACTGTTTTTAATTTTTTTTAACTCTTTTTTTTGCCTGGTTGATTTGAGATGGAAAGGCCCATAAATAATTAGGTATATTGTAAAATATAAAACGTCGTTGGGACAAATATACATTTGGCAACGTCGCACATTAAAAATGTCAATTTGGCAATGTCGCAAAATTTAAAATGTCAATATGTCAAAATATCGGGTTTTCGAAATATTTAAAAAAGTTTGGGGTAAATAATTAGGTATATAGTAAAATATAAAATGTTGTTGGGAAAAATATGCATTTGGCAACGTCGCACATTAAAAATGTCAATTTGGCAACGTCGCATAATTTAAAACGTCAATATGTCACTTTTTTCCATTCTTTTTATAAACTCCTTTTTAAAAACCTTTTCTGACTCTTTTTTTTCACTCTTTTTTTCAACTCTTTCTTTAACTATTTTTTAAACTGTTTTTTAACTCTTTTTTTTGCCTGGTTGATTTGAGATGGAAAGGCCCATAAATAATTAGGTATATTGTAAAATATAAAACGTCGTTGGGAAAAATATACATTTGGCAACGTCGCACATTAAAAATGTCAATTTGGCAACGTCACATAATTAAAAATGTCAATATGTCAAAATATTGGGTTTTCGAAATATTTTAAAAAGTTTGGGGTAAATAATTAGGTATATAGTAAAATATAAAATGTTGTTGGGAAAAATATGCATTTGGCAACGTCGCACATTAAAAATGTCAATTTGGCAACGTCGCATAATTTAAAACGTCAATATGTCACTTTTTTCCACTCTTTTTATAAAAACCTTTTCTAACTCTTTTTTTTTCACTCTTTTTTTCAACTCTTTCTTTAACTATTTTTTAAACTGTTTTTTTAACTTTTTTAACTCTTTTTTTGCCTGGTTGATTTGAGATGGAAAGGCCCATAAATAATTAGGTATACTGTAAAATATAAAACGTCGTTGGGAAAAATATACATTTGGCAACGTCGCACATTAAAAATGTCAATTTGGCAACGTCGCATAATTTAAAATGTTAAATGTCAAAATATCGGGTTTCCGAAATATTTAAAAAAGTTTGGGGTAAATAATTAGGTATATAGTAAAATATAAAATGTTGGGAAAAATATGCATTTGGCAACGTCGCACATTAAAAATGTCAATTTGGCAACGTCGCATAATTTAAAACGTCAATATGTCACTTTTTTCCACTCTTTTTATAAACTCCTTGAAAAAAAAGAGTTAGAAAAGTTTTTTACCTTTTCTAACTCTTCTTTTTTTCACTCTTTTTGTTAACTCTTTCTTTAACTATTTTTAAAACTGTTTTTTAACTTTTTTTAACTCTTTTTTTTGCCTGGTCGATTTGAGATGGAAAGGCCCATAAATAATTAGGTATATTGTAAAATATAAAACGTCGTTGGGAAAAATATACATTTGGCAACGTCGCACATTAAAAATGTCAATTTGGCAACGTCGCATAATTTAAAATGTCAAAATGTCGGGTTTCCGAAATATTTCCAAAGTTTGAGGTAGTTATCCACAAATAATTTTTTGTCCCAAATAAAATAAGTAAAAATATACATGATGTCCCATTTAAGCTTCAAACGAAAGGATATAAAGCTTAATTATTAAGTTTTGCTAATAAATTAGTCCAATTAAAAATTAAAATAACCTCGTTAATAAAAATAAAAACAAAAATTAGACGTATTTTCTATTGTTCTAATTTATAATCAGGCTAGCGGGAAAGTCGGTCGCGGGTGCTATATACTCTTTTTAATTTTCGGCCCAATTTGTGTACCATTTTTATTTACGACTGCCTGGTTTCTAGCGCACCTTAGAATAAGAATATATAGACAACTTTACGTTAAAATATCAAGTTAGATTGGTTTTTCTAATTAGTTTGTTTAAGTCAGTTTTCTATAGTTGGAAACAGTAAGATTTTATATTTAACCATTTTCACAATATTGTCAAGAATATTATGTTCAAAAATAAATGTTACTCTTTTGTACGATTTTTTAAATAATTCGTATAAATAGGTATAGTATAACTTTGAGTTGGAATATAAATTTTACAATATTGGACAACTTGTTCGGGTGTGAAGCATCACACCACCCAAGATAACCAATGAAATGATTTCCCGCTTGAAATAAGAAGCCGGCTGGTCGCTCAACTGCAATCTGCATCGTCAGTTTGCAGTTTTAGTTAGTGTTAGGAAGTGTATCATTGTAAGGTTAGTACCACATTTCTGGTGAGTAATTATTGAATATTATTTTTCCGAATAGGTGGGTAGGTATTTGCAAAATTGTTCAGGGACTGAGATAAATCAATAATTATGACCTGGTGATCAAATGAGGATAAAAAGTGTTTCTATATTCCTACTGTGCTACATTATTGTTCAGCTTACTATTTACTTTAGTTTGTAATTTATCTTTATTTTATGTTTTCAGTTCTTTTAACTTAATTCTATCCTTGCAACATTTTTGGGTTGGTCGCTGAATACATATTTAATCTATCGACATTTGTACTATTATACTTCATGTTGAATTATATTTCAATATTATTAGAATTAGTAGCTATACAAATTTTATTTTTCAGTTTGTAGTTTATGTTTTGTTATGTTTATTTTTTGTTGCCAGTGTCGTTTATACTAAGTTTAGGTATTCTATTTTCCATATTTTTTGTATAAGTCGCTGAATACATAGGTATCTAAATTAATAATTTAGTGTCATTTTCCTTTTTACCCTCCTTTTACCCCTTTTTTTAAATTGGAGAAATTATTATAATAATATGTTTTTGTATATTTCGGAAACTCGACGTTCAATTGTTTTTCTGTTTCCAACATTTTCATCAAAAGAAAAAATACCGCGAATTTGATCATTTAATCGACTTTGTAGCTCCAGTAATAACGAAGTTAGCAAGGGTAAGCAGATAACTTTTGACACCCTGTATATGGGTAACTTATTAAACAAATTCGAATCATTATAATTTAATTACTTTATTAGGCGGTATCAAACTTTAGTACTCTAAATCAATGTTTAAATTCTCTTGCTTGCTCTATCTACAGTATTCCTACTCTAAGGTACAAACTTATTGCAGGCTCACCCCTTTTGCCGTTACTTTTAAACGCCACCCCCGATATGTTTGCGCTGTGGGAGAAAACATAACACAAGTCACAAGGGGCGCACGTGACGTGCGGTAATAATTACGTTACGTAACAGGTGCTTAGATAATTGATCTATAACGGTTTTCAAAGGAAATGCATTTTAAGTTGAATACCTACGAAAATATTTTTTGAAATTGAGTACCTACGGGAAAAAACCTTTTTTTAGTTAACAGCTTTGATTATGGCAGATGTATGCCAATATTAATCCGAGAGTTTCAATTATAAAGTTTGTATAAAATTGTTTAAAAACTTTGACAATTAAAACAAGATAAAAATTTAAGAAACTATACAACTTTTTTTTTTCATCAAGTTTTAATTAATCCTTTGACAAAGCCAATCAAGTTTTAATTAGAAAAATACATTTTGATAACGATCAATTAACCTCAATTTTTCATTGTTTCATATTATTTTTTTGACTGTTTTATAGTAAAATATTAATACAAAAACCGATCAAGAGTTATTTTTTAAAAACACGAACACGCCAATCGTATTGACTGTACGCTTTCCAAATTAATTAAGTAATGGTTTTATACTATAAATGTCAAATGACAATCTTTGGTCCATTGTTTTTCCCTGAATAATGCGAAAATCCTGTCAGAATATAAGAAAGAGAATATAACGTTATTTAGGTTCAAAATTATTTTTTTATTATTTTGTTCAGTAAGGCTTAATGTTTGGATATAAAGTAGCTTAAAATTGTTATAAACTAAACAACCTGTGAAGTTAAGAAAATATGTCATAAATCGATTTTTTTTTAATATATGTAAATGGGTAGTTTTTTTTTCTAAATTCTAAAGACTAAAAATAATTTATAATAACCTTTATCCTACCAAAAAGTACGCAACTGATCGACTAGAAACTTTAGGCTAATCTGGTTGCCTAATTTAATTTATTATGTTATGGTTGGTAACAACCAGCGTTTCCAGATTCTGTCAAAAATGCCAAATTTTGTTTAAATTGAGCTGAATCACAAAAATGACAAAATCAACAATGCAAAGTGTTAATTTGGCGTTTTTAATAATTGTTGATTATGTCATTTTTGTAATGAAGGTAAATTTAAACAAAATCTGGCAACTTTTATGACAGAATCTAGTGTTTTTCTTTTAAATTTTAGGTTATGGGCCAAATTGTAAATATCTTAACTAAGGAAAGTGCTTTTGATTTATTTACACAAATTGAATGTTCAAAGTTTAACCTGTGAACTTGTCCTAATTTCATCTGAGTAAACAGAAAAAAAAACCGATGAAAAAAATTAATTTTGGGGTTATGGAGTTTTTAAAATGGGTACTAAATTTTTTAATCATTGCTTAAGCTAATAGCTGGACGAGTAAATAAATACAGAAGGCTATTAGAGCTTTAAGGGCACAAAACTTTGTATTTATTGAGTTTTTTTTATTTTTCGCAAGAAAATTTTTAGTAACAATTTTTTACAACTGGCAACGCGCAGCTACTTTGTTGGTTGGTATCTATGTACTCACAGAACACAAGTGTGTAACCAGTGGCGTATCACAATAAATATAAAAAACTTTTAATGCCTAATTTTTGGCTAATGTAAAAAATGCCATGCCTTAATTAAATTTTTTAAATAAAAATAACATTTTGCGTAACCTTGCGACATGCTAGCTCCATGCAATCTAGTAATAATAAATATATAGTACGAAATTGACATTCAATGAGTGCAAAATAAAAATCTTCGAATTGGAAACGAGCTATGTTTTTCGGTTTTGTTACCTTATTCGATAGCCTTTTCGATTTTCTATCACAGATCTTAGTTTCGACTGGCGTTGTTGGAGTCGTTTTTGTCGAATTTGGTTCCTTCGTTGGTTTTTTAACGTTACATAAGTCCGTTAGCTCTTTCTTTGCATTGCCATCAGTCTCTTTCAGCTCTTTCCTAGTAATATTGTCGTTGATACTTTTTCTAGAATCGAGATGCGGGCACGGTTTTTAATCAAAGAAATTTAAAAATATATATGGGTGAATCTCACGAAAAGTCCCCCGATGGTGTTACCCAGTGATATTTAATAAAACTAAATGAGTTTCACCTACACTTTTATTGTGTTTTGATCTATCATAATTAAGTAGATATTACAGCTCAGGTTACAGATTTTTAACCGCAATTCATTATTTTTTCCAATGTTTTAAAAGTCTAAAACCTATCCTCCGTGACTGTTACTCTTTCTAGCTTAACCTATACGTTTTCAAATATCGTAAGTAGTAAAAGCATAGTAAAATTATCAGTTCACTAAGTAAATTAAACACATCCAAAGCAATCGAATCAAATATAAAATATTATTAAAAATTAAAAGAAACAATTTTTATAACCATTTATCTAGGTGTTACAAAAATTAATTCTATCCTCCGTGAATCTGTTTTTGCTTTAAATTGTATGCAACGGATGGCGCTTTAATCATTTTAAATAAGCAAAAACCTCTGTTTACGACATTATAGATGCATGTGATTCCTAAAGGTCACTTTAGAATTTATATGCAGATGAGAGTGTTGCTGTTTTATAATTCAAAAGTTTAAGTTCATAAATTTGCTATTTAAAAACCTATCCACCGTAAAGTGTAATATCTCAGTAAGTAGATTTTTTTATAAATATTTTATGTATGTACAATTGTATTTTTAAAAAATATTAAGGTGTCAAAAGATTCAATAACTTATTTCAAATATACAAAGGGATGTTTAAAAAAACATACGAAATCCTAATCTCCGTGAAGCTCTAATATTCAAAATGTATGATTTCTTAAAATTATTGCATTAGTACAGAACCACCAAAAATAAAAAATAATCATTTTTACTTGGGGAACATCTCAATATATTCACCCATATAATTCCTTGTAATATTGTAAACGTTCTTTAAAAATAATAAATCTTAAAAAAAATTAATTAAAAAAAAAATGTCTACAAATTTAGGATAAAAAAACGCTTTTAGTTGCCAACTATGGCAATTTCAAAAAAATGATTCTATTGGTATTTTTTATAGAAAAATTTAGACATAATTAATAATTAAATAAAATACATACAAATTTTATCTATTCCCATTGCCTAATATTTTTTTTTCGTGAATAATAATAAACAATATAAATTCCCTGCCTAACAACGGGAATAATGAACTCATTATTCACGTTGTTAGGCCGATTTCAATATTCACTATTATTTGAATTTTAAATTGGGAGAAGGCAACTATAGTAAAATTTAAAATTGATAAAAAGTTGGGTTAAGCATTTGACAGATGTCAGATTTTATTTATTTATTTAAAAGGTTATAAAAATATATCAATATTAGTATTTTTCTAAAAAAATGCAAACAATAATTTAAATACATAGAAATTTAATGAATTAAGAAAAAACGTAATCTAGGGTTTCTGAAAAAAATCTTGACTTTTTCATTTTTTAAATTTTATTTAAATGAAAAAGTAAAAAAGCAATTTTTCTGGAAGTTTTTAAATTTTTACGGATAATATCCGTACACTGATATCGAGAAAAAAGTGAATTTCCGACGCTGATTATAATCATAATATTATGATTATAATAATTATTCATTTTATTTTAATTTAGTAAGAATATTCTACCGGGCCGCAAAAAAAACATATTCGGTGGTGTATTAACGTAACTTTTATAACTTCCATTTATAAAATTATAATTTAACCTTATAAATCATTCATTATTCTGTAGTTGGATATTTTTAATTTTTGCAAAAAAAAAAACAACCGACAGTATATTTCAAGTTTACGTTTATTTTCTTAAATCAATTTAATTTAATTATATAATACTTTTTTCAAATGTGTATACAGGGTGAGTTTTAAGTTGACGCGTTCCTTTTAACAGCGTGTAGAAATCAGATAAATAAATATTTTAAGTAAATTTTTTATCAAAACTCAAAAATAAGAGCCTTCCAAGTTTAATTAAATTTTGAGCCGGCCCTGGCTATTGTTAACAAAAAACATAACCATAAAAATAAAAATAACAAAATAAACAATGCAAAATGTCATCTATGACAACAAACATAACCATTTAAATCAAAATGACATTTAGCAATGAAAAATGTCAGTTTTTTTGTGCCTCAATTATTGTTAAAAATGGTTCATAATTATAGCAATAATGAATTAGTGGAAATGTTACTAATTTATGGAGAGTGTCGTCAAAATGCAAATGCTGCAACTTAAGTAAATAATGGCATTTTTTATTGCAAAATGTCATATTTTTATGGTTATGTTTTTCGTTAACAATAGCCAGGACCGGCTTAAAACTTAATTAAACTTTGATGGGCTATAACTTTTTTATTTTTGAGTTTTGATAAAAAAGTTACTTAAAATATTTATTTGTTTAGCTGATTTCTACACACTGTTAAAAGGAACGCGTCAACTTAAAACTCACCCTGTATTTTCAAAAAAAATAATTTTTCCAAAAAAAAAACAATTTTTCCTGAAAACATTAAAAATGTTACCAATTATCTATAATAATTGTAATAAAAACAGGGGAATAACAAAAAAAACTGCATATATTTGTGACTTTACCTCTCATGACTATTGCTGTTGTCGCAATAGGGGGGCGGGGGATACAATCTGACGATCCTGCCCGGTTTGGGGGTGGCCCCCCTTCCGGCGGCGATAATTTTAAGGGGGGGCGCGCCCAGCGGTATGGGCGAACGCCGGAATATGCCCGGATCAGCCGGCTGACACACGCACGCCAACATCGCTAGAGATCATAAGTCTGGACGACTTGCCGGCCGGTGTCGATCTAGCGGATCTGCCTGCAATAATTTTGCAGGTTAGGTGATGCGAGTGAGATGTATGAAGTCGAATTGTTATCCTTTTTATTTTATTGTGATGTAATCGTCGGGACCTTAAAGATGTATTAAAATTAAGTTGAAGTTTTAATTATTTCTTAGGAAATTGCGTGGGGAATTTTCTCCTGGTTTATTTAGCTTTAATTCGTGCCGAAGTATATAGGTTAAAGTGATAGGAAGGAAATTACAAGTTTTAAATTGTGTCAATAGTAATTTGGATTTAAGTGGATGCGGGCTTAACTAAACTTCTTTTCGTGTATTTTTTTTACCTATAGGTAGGGTTGGGAAAATTTCACTTTTTGCTTGTACTTGAAATTTCACTTGAAATTTTCATGACATTTATGAAATTTATTAAAATTTCTGAATTTTATGAAATTTATGAAATTTATTGAAACTTTCAATAAATTTCAATCACTTTAAGTGTAATATATTAATATTGAAATAAGCCCACTCGGGGACCATGGCAAATTGCCTCTCTTACCTCCTACCCCTCTGTGGGCCCCTGCACCAATAATATAAATAGTAAATACCTATGTTTACCACAAATTTCTTGAGATTTCCTTTTAAAATATTTTTAAAATTACTAAAACTAAAAGAGATATAGCACTTTTTGGTAAGCTAATGAGATTGTGCCACTTTCATTGTTTTATATTTATATATATTTATTATTTTTAAATATTTTACTGAAATTTTACGAAAATTGCAGAAACTTCATCAAAATTTTATGAGCCAAAGGCGTTTTTTATCCGTTTTCCGATGCAATTATATATAGAAAGTAAAAGTTTAAATTAATCATGACTTTTAAAATTTTTTTTAAGAAATACATTTCGATTTATAACCTTTATAATCTGTGTTTATAAAATGTAAAAATGTGACATTTGACGGTGACACACAGATTCCCCTATTGTTTCATAGATGGCGCTCTATACAAATTTTTGATTTAAATCATTTTAAGTATTTGTCTTAGAAAAAGTATAGTATGCACCACAATCCACACAACAAGGTCTGTTCTTCCTCGATAAAATGCGAACGAAAATCAGGACTGTTGTGCGCACCACGTAAACAGTTTAATGGCCACCATCTTTGATTTATTTGCCGCTGTTAATTTAAAAATAAAAAGTTGTTTAAAGTTTCAATGTAAACGCAAATGTTTGTTTTAAACAAAAGCTTTGACAAAAATATGTTAATTGGGGAATTTAATTAATAAATTATTAAAGATATCTTTATAAAAAGGTATTTTGAGCAAGTAAATATATATAGTTGTTTCAAGTTTTAACGTATACGTTTATAAACAGAAATGTGTTAATTAAAATAAACACAAGTACACTATTACTTGTGTAAATTAAACATTATTTTACAATATGGTAATCAATAAATATTTTAATAATTAATAATAATTATTATAACTTTTAATACATTTTCTTAAAAGTTCATTATTGGCAATATTAAAATCTTTAAATAAAATTATCAATGATGAAAGTATTTTAGCAAGTAAAAATGGATGTACATGACCATAGTCGATGATTTTTTTAGAAATTAAAAGTTAAGATAAAGTAATATAAATCAAAATAATTTAATTGCAAATTGATAATTTTTTAGTAAATTAATTTTTGAATGTACGGAAATTATTAATGGTGAAGGTAGGATTTCTAGTAAGTAGATATATAAATAAAACAAAAAAATATAATATATATTTTTAATAAAAAAAATAAATATGAATAAACTTAAACATAAATAGTATTTTTTAAATACACTTAAATTTTTACATATAATTTAACAAAATAAATATATTTCTTCATGCTTATAAAATAATACAATTTAGCATATTTAAATTGATAAAAAAATAATAATAAAACCCTAGGTAACATATTTAATCCCTAATTAGGGTTAACTAGTCAACTACTAACACAAAATTTAATAATATACGTTTTAATAACAATACTTTCTAATAACAATTTCATATAAAATCGAATATTTAAAACTTAATTTTTGCTACACTATAATAGTTTCCACCTTTTTCTTTGGTTTCCACTGGTTAAAAGGTATTGAATTGTATATATATCACAGTTTTGGTAAAATTGATTAATTATTTATTAGTACATTTTTGTTTTTTTTATTTTATTTTAAAAATTACCTTTGGAAAAAGGTCCAATGTCCAAATAAATAAATAAAAAAATATGTAAAGGGCAGACATATTTTAATTTTTTGTTTTATCCTCTTCCTGTAACATTTGGCATTATTAGGCAGGTCATCCAATGGACCATTGGCAATGGTTCAGAACTGCTAATTTAAAAATGTTTTTTATTCCAAATAATTTATATTACCTTTTTGGCACAAGTTGCTTCATTTGGTACAACCATTTCTAATGTTTCGGATCTGTAAATTTCATAGTTGGAAAATTAGTTAACAGATATAAAAAATAAATGGTATAATATTGTTAATTGAAGACTCTTCACTTAACAATAATATAATATTACCTTTCAGGCAAATGCAAAGTTGGAACAGCATTCTCAGTAAGGCCTCGGTAGGCTTTAGGTGGTGACAAACCATATAAAACTTTGTGTGAATGTCTTACCAAATATTTTGGCTCAAAATGTATAGCACAAATTCGATCTAAATAAATAATATACATTAATAACTATGTTTTGCACACATTGTAGTGTAACTTACAAGACTTTGGTTTTTCCATTATAACCATTGAATTATCAGCAGCCTCAATCCATTCTTTGGCTTTTCTTTCTCAGTAAGGCCTCGGTAAGCTTTAGGTGGTGATAAACCATATAAAACTTCGTGTGGATGCCTTACCAAATATTTTGGCTCAAAATGTATAGCACAAATTCGATCTAAGTAAATAATATACATTAATAATTATGTTTTGCACACATTGTAGTGGAACTTACGAGACTTTGGTTTTTCCATATTAACCATTGAATTATCAGCAGCCTCAATCCATTCTTTGGCTTTTATAGAGTTTATTTCAAAATAGGCACTAATTAGTGTTTATAAACAAGTACACTAGTACAGTCAACTGCCAATGACAAAATCAACACAAACAGGAGCGCACTCAACTGATTCAGTGTGAATTTCACACTGGTAACGTCAATAAAACCAAACAGGAACACACAGGAGCAAACTCAACTTATGTCAATAAAATCCAATAAACTAACAACGTTTAAAACGATTATTAATCTGTATAAATAGAGCACAAATCCAAAGCATAAAGATTGTAAACAACAAAAATGGCCGCCTTTAAACTTTTTGCAGTGGGTTGCCTACCTCCGTGATTTTTAGTATGCGCGAAACGAGGAAGAACAGACCTTGTTGTGTGGATTGTGGTATGCACCTCGTTTATAAACTTTTCGATACACTCATTAATATACTATTAAACTTAACGTTTTCAAAACCGAACTTTAAAACCAAACTTGCTTTACAATGAGTAGCAAAAAAACACGTTGTGAAAAAATCTTAACCTAAAGAATGGCGAAGCGGAATTGTATGCAGTGGACCTTCCAGGAAAAATACGTGGTCAGGTAGAAGGAGGATTTTTTCAAAAGATCGCAACACAATAGAAATTCGCAAAGTTACTCGAGTACACTTATGGTTCTCTGTAGGGCCTTACACAACAAGTTTCACGGTTCAAGTGTCTAATTGGCTAATGCATTACGTCAATTGTTTGACGTTTTATTAATAGAATGCAAGTGGTTTAAAGCGATGCGTTATACAGGGTCATCCGGAAGTCCCTTGTTCACAAAGAAACACCCTTACACAGTCACCCTTACATTATCAGTTTGCAGTTTTAGTTTTTTTCCGAATAGGTAGGTAGGTATTTGCAAAATTGTTCAGGGACTGGGATAAATCAATAATTATGACCTGGTGATCAAATGAGGATAAAAAGTGTTTCTATGTTCCTACTGTGCTACATTATTGATCAGCTTACTATTTACTTTAATTTGTAATTTATATTTATTTTACGTTTTCAGTTTATATTAACTCAATTCTACACGGAGAGAAATGTATAGTAAATTTTAGATAGTAAAAAAATATAGTAAAATTTACTTATTTACAATATTATATATTTGTCAATACAATATTGTAATACAAAATACTATTTTTTATTATACAATTTTAGTAAAGATTACAACACCAATATTACTAAATCATAAATGTATAATATAATTTTAATTTTTAATATGTTCGTTTAGTAAATTGATTTTACTATCTACAAATAGTAATATTTACTATATGATTTAATCAAATTTAAGGTGTACATCTAATATTATAATATATTACACATTAATAAAAAAATATAGTAAAAATAAAGATACTTTTATGTTTAAGGTAAATAAACAATATATTTAAATATAGTAACTCATGACATTTTAAACATTCAATTTTCTTAGTTTCTTCGAGAAACTTTCTTGACCCATTACTGGTAATACTTATAAGAAAGAATTAAACCTACTTGGTTGCATAGTATGTACCGATTGCGGCAAAGGTCACGTCGCGACGCGTCGTTGGACGGTGATGTTCTTACATCTCGCCTCTGTTGGCTTACCAACCATGTTATATAAGCTCGGGTATTTCTTTGTTTTAGGTGTGTTCCACTACTACAAGTTGCTCGAAAGTGTCGTGTCGACACTGATGATACCCAATATAGGTCAAAACACCTGTCTGTCGGTATTTGAAGTTGATGGAACGCACTCAAAACAAAAAACTTTGGCGAGGTGTAGGTTCAATTCTTTCTCATAACATTTTTGTATATTAAAAAGTACAATAAATATGTTACAATTTTTAATTGTTGACATAAAAAAATATTCGATTTTAAAATATTTTATGTTTAAAATGGCAACATAATATTTTAAAATTTACTATACTTATTATTAATGGAAAAAATTTAATTATAATAAGAATTAAAAACAAAATTGGTTGAGAATAATAATATTTTACCTTAAGGTTTAACATACATGGATATTTAAAAATTACTAAATATGCATAGTATCTCGCAGTATACAAGATAGTTGTCCCAAATAGTAATATAAATTATAGTAAAGGGTATTCATATTCGTATTCGTATTCATACATACTAGGTACTGTGTGTCAAGTTTGACAGGGCAAAATGAAGAATAATGAAAATTTATGATTTATCCAAAATTTGTGCTGCCATATTTTGTTAAACTTTTAATTGATGTTGACCGGTATAGAAATGAACATGAAAGTTTTAAAAACAAACAAAATATTAATCTTATTTTAAGGGACTTGTTTTGACACATTTTGGTCTTAAAGTAAATAAAATATAGCGTTTCGTGACGGAAAGGATTAATTTCCCGACAATTTACCGCCAGCGCCATTACTAAAGTAAATATATGACTTTTGCAATAATACATAATTCTCTTTTGACTAATTTATGCAAAACCCCTAATTTAATTAAATCGGCTCGATGGCCGACGACGTCGGTTCTTTAATAAAAGCGAACACAACCGTTGAGGACCGGGAACGGGCCAAGAAAAACGGATATTATTTCGTATTCATCGTTCGAGCGAAAAAGCAACGCCTTTAATGCTTTAAGCAAATTCATTATTATGCAGAAACCTTTTAAATTACGTCGCCAAACATCCCCAAAATTTGTCCCAAACTCAAATTTATACGTTTTGCAAAAATAAGGGAGAATATTATGTGGTTTAACATTTAACATGATTTTTTGACATTCCTAAGGTCCTGACAATATTAAAATTTAATTTGTTTTTAAAACATTCTAAATTGTGTCGTGGGCATTCTTAAATATGTATTAAAATTCTAAAATTTGTTATAGCATTCTAAAACAATACAAATTGTGATCTGAACATTCTTAAAAAAGTCCTTCTATTTTAAAATTTGTTTGGAATTACAAAATCTGTTTTGAAAATCTTAATTTCACATTCTTAAATAGGTTTAACATTCTTCTTGCGAACATTTTAAAATTTTAACATTCTAAATTGTGTTTTTGACATTTTACTAAAAACTAAATATGTCCTGACATTCTTAATTTGTCTTAAACGCTCTAAAACATTATAAAATAAGTTCTTGACATTTCTATGGTTTGGAATGTTCTAGGATGTGTTTTACAAATTCTTAAATTCTCTATGGCACATTCTCAAAAAATGATCAGTTTCTAGAAGACTGTTAAGTGGTAATTTTAACTTACGTATACGTTGAACATTCTAAAAAAATTACAATTTTTTTAAATTTACAAATTTTGTAAAGTATCAAAATATGGTTTAACATTCTATGTTTAGTTTAATGCGCTTTTTTGACATTCTTAAGGCCCTGACAATATTAAAATTTAATTTGTTTTTAAAACATTCTAAATTGTATCGTAAGCATTCTTAAAATGTCTTAACATTCTAAAATTTTAGTTTAGCATTCTAAAACAATACAAATTGTGATCTGAACATTCTTAAAAAAGTCCTGATATTTTAAAATTTGTTTGGAATTACAAAATCTATTTTGACAATCTTAATTTCACATTCTTAAATAGGTTTAACATTCTTCTTGCGGACATTTCTAAGGTCCTGACAATATTAAAATTTAATTTTTTTTTAAAACATTCTAAATTGTGTCGTGGGCATTCTTAAACCTGTCTTAACATTTTAACATTTTTGTCAAATTTCCAATAAATGAGAACCCTGTAGGTACTATTAATTTGGTTATTAGTATTAACAATGGCTTTGGTCGATACTTTTTTTCGTTCAAAAGATAAAAGGGGGGACTTATACAATGTAATAAATTTACTGAAATTAATTCTTTATTTTGTTTCAGCCTGAAAGTCACGGTCAAAACATTCTAAATTAAATAGGGGACAACATTTTGCAGCTGAAGCTGAAGCGTTTAACATTTAGTAGCAATGCGTTACACAAAAGTGGATTAACATAATCTACACATACTACTGCTGGAAAAACTCTGAAAAATAAAATGGTAATTTAAAAAGGGGATTTTAAACGCTTTTAATCGCCTGAAAGTGGGTTTAACGCAAAGCAGCGCATCCACCATTATTTTTTATTAGAATTTACTTCACACAAGTTTAAATTAATGATTAATCAGGTAGGTACCTACATTTTTTTTGTTATTGTTAAGACTTTAAATGAAATAATCTTATTCTTAATTAAAGATTAACAATCGATTGGACCAAATTTTGGAAAATTCCCTCTATTCTGTTCTTAAAGATATAAAACTATATTGGATATAAATATAATTTTATTTATTCTAAGATTAGTAAATATTGGTACGACTGGCCTATTCTTAAATATATCCCCCACTCACGAAAGTGTCCGACATTTTGGAAGATTGTTTCTTGTGTTAGTTATTATTTGGTTTAAAATTATGAAAGAGCTGCTAAATTAGTGGAATTTGATAGAATTAACCACCAAATGTATCTGTAGGTAATAATTATTACATAATTATATTTATGTGTGTATTATTATGCATTGAATTTTAGATGTTGCAGTGATATAAGGTTGGCCGAAGAATCTTTGAAACAAACATGGTCATTGTATCCTAACCTTTATTTAAAGTCGAGCAAAAGTTAAAAAAATAATAGACAATATTTGAAAAATTATTGCTTAACTTACATAAATATACATTATATTTAATCCAAAAGTAAATATTGTATCGCCAAGAATTATAACATTTGTCCAAAAATATTTAATCTTAAATTAAGCATAGTGTATATTTTATTTGAGGGTGTTTGCATTTAAAATAAAATGATAGTTTTTCTTGAAATAAGAGTAAGTTTACCCTTGCACCTAACATTGAAATTATATCCAAATAAGTATTTATTTAGTATACCTGCGGAATGGTAAGATAAACATATACTTGGACTAAGATGACCTAAATTAAAATATAATTAAAAACTGAAACAATCCCATTACCTCTTTTATTCTGTCTATATGATATCTGATTATATATTTAATCCTGAATCCATACGATGCACTCAAATCAATATGAACGACTACGAACTTTGTTTTACTTTCAGTTATTAAACAAAACTTTTAAAAACCTACATTTTTAACCAGGATAAGAAATTAACATCAAAATCAAATATTACGGTTTTATAGTACTAGGTTGATATTAAACTTTAAAATCTAGTAGCAAATATGATAATGTGTAACCACTAGTGAAAAAAATATTTTCTATTCCTTTAACTTTCCTAGCATTAACAATTCCTCAAGTAGGTAGAAAAAACAGAACATAGGCTTAACAAAGAGCACTTGACATTTCTACCCTTATTTCGTGAATTCAATGCAGTTTTTGTTGGTGTGCAGTTCTTAATGGATTTGCCTAAATAAATCCCTGCCTTTGACAGTTCCGGAAACATTAATTTACGTCGACAAATCATCAAAATATATTATTAATTTCCACCCTTAAAAACGCTTTTTTTAACTATATTTTATAAAATTTTTGTTGTGGTATTTTTTACCTGGACTGTTCGTGTCACATATTAAAAAATGTACGCACGCAAACCTCTGGGAAAACGGGTAATTTAAAAATTCCTGAATTTTTTATATTTCGATCGAAAACATTTTAGTAAAAACGTAATGTGTTAAAATTAGCGTGTCGTTGCTAAAAACAAGGAGTGTCATTTTGTTTAAAAACAATAACTTTGAATGTTTTTTAAGGAATATTATACAGGGTGAACCACGTAATGTATAAAGTACTGTCTGTCCACTCTAAGTTGGCGGAACTAAGGAATTTTGTAGTTTAGATATTAAAGAATTGTCGTACTGTGTGCTTTTAAAACAGATTTTATATTATAAATAATACTAGTACATATTATATACTAGTATTATTTATAATATAAAATCTGTTTTAAAAGCACACAGTACGACAATTCATTAATATCTAAACAACAAAATTCCTTAGTTCAGCCAACTTAGAGTGGACAGACAGTACCTTATTAGATTCTTCAGTAAGTTTGACATTCTTAAAAAATATATATAATAAATTAAAACACAAGTCCACTATTCCATATTGTCAATATTTTATATGTATGTATGCACAATCTCGTTAAAAGGAATAGGATTAAATTTTCAATACATCTCACTCACATTTACATATAATTTCCCTATATAAATAGAGTTATGAAATGATTATAATGAAGTTCACAATACATCGCATTGTTGCTTACAATCGATTATCAAATATTAGATGAAATTTTCATTCTAAAGTCAACGGTGGCAAATATATTTTTGGCAATCTCAAATGTGGTTATGGCATTCTTAAATACCTTTATTAGATTCTGTAAGTTTGACATTCTTAAAAAAAATTATAGGTACAAAATTTAAATACAAAATCCACTATTCAATATTATCAATATTTTATTTATTACACAAATTCTTAAAAAGTCTCGACATTTTTTATATTTTAAATTTTTTTTGTCGCTTTTAAATATATTTTTGACTAAGTTTGACATTATTTCTGTTTTTGATATTATTTTTGACATTCTAAATTAAATCGTGGGAAACTTATTTTAGGCATTCTCAAATGTGGTTTTGGCATTCTTAAATACCTTTATTAGATTCTTCAGTAAGTTTGACATTCTTAAAAAAATATATATAACAAATTAAAATACAATTCCACCATTCAATATTGTCAATATGTTATATGTATGCACAATCGGGTTAAAAGGAATAGGATTAAATTTCAATACATCTCACTCACATTAACATATAATTTCCGTATATAAAGAGAGTTATGAAATGATAATAATGATAAAACATCGCATTGTTGCTAACAATAGATTATCATATTTTTCAATACATTTTTCAATACATCTCACTCACATAAATGTATGACTTTTGTATATAAAGGGATTTAAACAATTTAACCATAAATCTCACCGATGTTAACAATTATTTCCATCTATATAAGTGAATACGAAAATGGGTAATTTCGTTAATAAAAACTTATTGAACATACCAACCAATTTGGTTATAAACATCCCCTTCTGATGCTGGACGCAGTGCAGTTGCGATTCATGTCTTAGACGTGGAGCACTTGTCCGGCGGAATTTCACGTGCGCACTAAGGGTTGCCTACGCGCGCCTTCACCCCCAAACGCGAACCGGGTGCAACGTTGACTGACTGCGTGTTGGACAATCCAACTTGGATTCGCAGCAGCAGCGACGGTTGTTGTGTTTTGGGGTGGGGGCGCGCCGGCCGCGCCGAACGAAAGGGTTGAAATTTAAAATTTTGCATTTTGCCCTCTGGAGGGCCGTCGAGGACAACAAGTGCCGGTAAATTGCCAGTATTTTGCCGGAAGGGCTGTTGTCATTCAGGATTATTGTTTTTTGAAGTGAGTTTTGGTTGAATTGTATTAAAACGACTATTTCCCTCGTCTTAATTTCCACCAATCACAAACGCGCAATTTTGAATTACAAATGGTTTCTAGGTGAAAAAACTGTGTGACAGCACCTGTCAGCAGTTTTTTCGAGTTTACCCGCGGCAAAACTTGACAGCTGTTGTCACCAAAAATTGCAATTTATATTTTAATTGTTAACTGTTACTCATGAAATAGTCTTGTCAAATACCATTCGGGCATCTAATTTTTCCTGTGAAAAAAATCGAAAAAACACAATGCTAAGTAATATTTTTTAACAAAATGCATTCGTGCAGGTGCAAAAATCCTCCTCTTCGACTCGGATTTTTGTTGCCACCAGCACTCATGCTTCTTGTTAAAATATTACTTATCAACGTGTTTTTTCAATTTTTTTCGGAAAAATTAGATGACCTTATGATATTACTAATACCGTTTAGGAGAGCTTTTACTTGTCAATTTTATGTCCAATTGTTTTAGGTGGTGTAGTAAATATTGTTTGTGGTTGAGAATAGGTTAATTATGACGTAGTAACCGTGTTTCCATGGGTTAAAGAGCGGCTACAATGGGGAACTTTAGTGTCAAATTAACAATTCCACCTGTATTGCTCCTATGGAAAATCGTCTGGAATAACTAATTGGGCGAAGGTTTGGAGAGCATGTCTCGGCATTCGTACCGCACTCACAAAGTCACTGATTTGCCGTTACGTCTCCCGATCAATTTTACACTTTCTACGTGACACGTACAGTCGCAATCATAATTGAACCCAAATTAAACTTAAACCTTGTACGTGTAATTGAAAGCGTCTCTCTAATATTATTGGATCATTGATTAACTTTTACTATGTTGGACAAAATAAGAACAATATTTTAGCATAAAAGAGTATTTACTGCTTGCAAGAACTTTTTTCTTCATGAAGAAAAAAGTTCTTAGTGAAAGAAGTATGGTTCTCTTGAAAACAAATACAAAATCTCTTGAAAGTTTCTTCTTTCAACCAAGTGCAAAGTGTTTTTGTTCAAAAGCTATGAAAATTATTTATATTTACGCAATTTATTCAAGATACATCACAATTATCCCAATAGCATGTCAATTTTCTTACAAAATCTTGTAGCTTCTGATACATGGGAGGGAATGCAAAACGCGCACACCGTTTGCGGTGCACGTGTTTAGTACGTTTTGTATCATTGCAACTTGCAATTCGCCATTTTCTAGGGGCAGTGATTTAATATTATAATCCTATTATATGTATTTTTTATATACATTTTGCCGGTTGTGTTGTGGCGTGTTGTATGTACTTTCACAGTGGAGTTAAAATCATTAAAACTCTTTTTAAATAAAAAAAATTTATTAATTTGTTGATATCAAACAATAAATGTCTTATTTTATTTAATTATTTTTTGTAAACCTTTTTTTCAGTCAATCTTCTAGTTTTCAACGATTCCAATATTTAGGCTTGAACTTGAACCTACGAAGGTCCTTGATTTTAATTGTTAAATGCATGTTTCAATAATTAAAATCAAAAGACCTATGTGGTGAGGGGAATTTAAGCTTAAATACTAACAACGCTGGTAGTTTCAGTGAAGATCAGAAGCTTTTGAATAAAGCAATACATACTATTGGACCAAGAGATATTTGCTCTAAATAAAATAAAATGTGGTTAGGTCAATAGTATATGCTTTTGTAGCATAACAAATTTTCTTTCTTAGAAAGTTCCTAGGCTTTTCATTTAAGAGAGAGAAGTGTTTTTTATTTCTTTTAAGAGATTATTATTTTCAGTGTATTTTCAATAGCGGTATACTATAGTATTATTTACAATAAAATAAAAAACCTCAAAAAAATACTCAAATAATATATTTTCCACTGGTATTCTAAATACATTGAGCTCGTCATTTAGTTTGAGTAAGAAGGCTAGGAGATGTTAAAAAAGACTCGTCTACAATTACCATTAAATTGAAAGTATAAATTGTTTTTGACTGGCAAATAAATCCCTCTATAAGACAATAGACTTTATCGTCTGCCATGGCCCGTATACACTTTCAGTAAATGCCAGCGGAATCTAAATGTATTCTTTATCCTATTGCTAAAAGGGTACGGCTGATAAGAAGGCCATGCTCCTTAAATATCCTGACGCCCTGACTCCACCAGCTCTAGCCATACTTACTTTGTATGAAATAAAAGAAATTTCATTTGAATAGGTCACAATATATCTTGGATATTACCCAAAGAAATTAGACATGAAAATTATTTGATTGAATTATTTTTAACGTTTCCCTACTTATAATTATAATTATTACTATATATATTCCTTCTCCAGAATCGGCTAATATGTTTGCGGAGGATCTACAAAAACTACGACCTGTGTACTCCTCAGGATTGTTAACTTTTAGATATGCAGCTATTTGTGCAGGCATTTTACCAAATGTATTAATTCCTACACATTGGGTAGTGCATGCTCTTCTTTTATAATTGACAAAAAAGCGCTTGTGTGGGGTATTTGATTTTCGCAAATTTGAATATTTTCGAAACAGTTGTAGTAATGACCATTATTGATTTCATCGGATATCACAAAGATTCTTGATGTGTAATTTTTACCGTCCGAAATTTTCACGATTACCAAATTTTCTTTTCACTGTTCAAAATTTCATGACCATTTTAACACCAATTTAATACCATACATGGACTATATCGATACAAACCAAAATGGTGTTAAATATGGTTCGTAGGTCCAGTGTAAATTCAAATACTAAAATAGTGTTAATTTAACTTTCACACAGTATTAAAATAAATTTTACCTGGTATAAATTGAACTCCTTTTCAGTGTTAAATATATATATTTGGTCAAATTAAATCATACTACACAGAAAAAAGGAAAAAAAAGGAAACAGGAAGTTCCCTGACGCATTACTAGTATATTACCAGTGGTATTATTCCAGAAAATTGAACCTTCAACTCGCTAGAGATAATGTTTTTAGTGCGTTCCACCAACTTAAAATACTTCAAGTATTGTTAGCTGTTTCCACCTTTTTAAGGTCTCTTTAGTATCGAACAACTTGTAGTGTCACACCAAAGCAAAGGACTACCTGAGCTTATATACTCTTCATGTAAGTCAACAGAGGCGAGATTTAAGAACATCACGTGATCCACACCGCCTTTGCCGCGATCGGTACACACTATGCAAGTTTTAATCGTTTTAACAGAGTGCTTTAGGTTGAAGTAACTCTTATTTTACCAACAACATATTTAGTAAACTGAACCATACAGCGGGTTGGTTTCACTAAAGTTTTCTGGGTTAATTTAATCGATTTAAAAAAATAAAATATGTATCTGGTTTAGTACCGTCAAACTAATCTTTGTTTATATTAACCTTCCCACAGTTGATTTAAATAAATACTTATGGGTCAACTAAATTAATATAGTTAAATGAACTATTCCTTTTTTTCTTTGTAGGTGCACTTCTCAAATATTTTTAGATAAACACCGTTTTGGTGTTTGCTGTATATAACATTTTCAACCATAATTCATGGTGTTTATATTAACACCACTTGGTGTTGGATTTTGACACCATTTTAAGATTACTCTTTACACCTCAGATATTTTAAACAGTGCACAATCCAATGTGTGGATTGTGAAACAGTGTATCTTCTATATCATCAATCATTATCTTTGAGAGATTTCATCTGCACCATGGTGCTTCTTTAATTAATGAATCTTGAAATGTTATATTTCTCAAACATTTTGGACTTTTTTGGTCGGTATCCCACATTTTCATTTTTTATATATGATGTTAATTTATAATATAGACTCAAATCCAAATTTTTATTAACTTTTAGGACACTTTTTAACATGGAGTACTTACTCCACAAAGTATTTGGCTGATATGATTTTCTTAAATCCGCAAAATAGGCCAGAAAACTTTTTGTCCCTTTGTTGTTGCACCAGTTTTCAAAATGTTTAAATTGTTTCTCATATTTTTGACAGGATTTAGCTGGTATAAATTCTCATTAACAGTATTTGCTGTCTCCAGGATGCCATATGGTGGCTCTTCTTCCAAAATGTTTATTTCAATTTCGCGAAAAATCTATAATATATTATGACGTTTCACTTTTAATATTTTGGGCAGTTTTAGGACTTTTTAGTTCTAAGATAATTTTAAAACAGTTTTAGAGCAAATTTATGACATCTATGCAAATGAAATTCGAACTCAGCTCAAAACTTTGAATAGGAAACCAGTTATTTCTGTTGACCTACCCTGGAACACCCAGATATCGTTTTAATATTATATGAGAATGGCTATTCAAAAGCAAATATACCCGATTAAATTAAATGTTAGACGCTAGCCTCCTAAGAGGCCCCATACTAGTTAATTAATTTCGGGCGAACGAACATGTTTCAGTATATCATTGAGAAAAGGGTGGGAGTGAGCCGAATTGTCACACAAAATGGTCACGATTACATTTTATAAACTATTGTGCTCGAAATTCCACTCCAATTTAACTTTGCCACCACTATCGATATTAAAGGGAAAAACAATGTTCCATTTCTGGAATCATAACCAATGTTTCCACTCTTGCCTAAATCAGTGGCGGCTCGTCAGGGTAGGCCTTGCATGACTGAAGATGTGGTGAATGGCACTTTTTTTTTAATCCATATATATTTTTTTAAGTTCCAGATTTTAAAAAACAAATTTATGTTTTTGAGTTTCAATATCCTATACACCCACGAGCCGCCACTGTTTAAAACAAGACAACATCGC